ACGGCCATCCTGAGGCGGCAGGGGAGGTACACGCGCTCCACGGTCCCCGTGAATGCAGAGGAAGACGCTCAGAGCTTGTTTGTCACTGAGGTAGGTTTTCGTTTGCATCATGTGCATCGTAAAGACAGACAGACAGCCCCTTCCCCCCAATAAAAAAAATCGGTGGTGGGGGGAGGGAGACGTTTCTCATTGTAAAGACCTTTTCCCTTCACCCCTACCTTTCCATTGAATCTTGTTATTGTTTTGAATGCCGTCAGAGACAGAGATGATGACATTTGTAAGACTGAAATAGAGAGTTTTGGGTGTGTAGAGTGGACAGAAATGTCTGCAGAGCTCATTTGTAACTCCCAAATAGCGACTTGTACAGGCACACTCAAGGGTAACTTGTAAAGAGAACCCGGTCATTAGTAGGGTTGGAAATGGTTGACTCCGCAGTGCATTATGGGCTCTTTTGCAGGGTAGGTTCAGGACGGTGATTAGAGCCACGCCTGAGCATCCCTAACCTGTGTGCGATGTGATCACACTCTTTCTTGTTTGGACACACAAATAGTATCCCGAACAAGAGACATCATCACCCACTAGATGGCATGGTTTTGGGTCCCTAAATAGGAGACTATTTAGTTTCTGTAATTTTGTTTCTTGAAATGTTTCTTCCTTTAGAAATGAGTTCGGGGGCCAGCAAGATGGCTCAGTAGGGAAAAATGACTGTCAGCAGAGGTCTGATACCCAGGACCCATGTGTAGAAGGAGAAAGCCCTTCACACATGTGCTCACACACACACACACACACACACACACACACACAGAGTATGTTTATACAGACACAGACTTCCACACACACTAGGTATGTTTATACAGACTTACACACACACACAGTATGTTTATACAGACTTACACACACACACTAGGTATGTTTATACAGAGGTTTTATTAGCACACAGCTGTACCCATCTGTTTACATATTGGGCTGTAGTCATAATAGAACCGACTTGAGCAGAGATAATGTGACCCTGAACGCTCATGGTGTTAGGACTGTCTGGACTTCTACAGAATGTTTGCCGACTTCTGACTTCTGCATGTGGCAAGTGTCACTACGTTCTCCCTGCCCCTTAAAAAAGTTTACCTTGTTTTTGTTTGTTATTTTTTTTAAGGGTAGGGAGAATCCTCGGTTACATTTTTTGAGGTTTTGTTTGTTGTTCTAAAACTGCTCCTATAGGTTGATTTATGTTATGTGAGTGTTTTACCTGCTTGTGTACATTTGTACCATATTCATGCCGGCCTTTGTGGAGGTCAGGGGAGGGGGCTGGATTCCCTGGAACTGGGGTTATGGATGATTGAAAGTCATTGTGTATAGGTGCTAGGAGGTGAGCCCAAATCCCCTGCAAGAACAAGAAGTATTTATAACTCCTGAGCCATGGCTGCAACCCAAGTTATTTTACGTGTATGAGTGTGTGTGTGTGTGTGTGTGTGTGTGTGTGTGTGTGTGTTAGAATGGGCTAGAATGCACTGGTATGTTTCGATTGGACGTGTTTGTAAACGGATTTTTCTTTGGGCCACCGGGTCGCAAAAAAACAACATAGAGACTTACTATAAATTATGAAAGCTTGGCCGATAGCTCAGGCTTGTTTCTAAGTAACTCTTACAACTTAAATTGACCCATTTCTAGTATCTTCTCTCCGCCTTGTGGCTTTATTACCTCATCTCCATAGTGCCCATCCTGCTTGTCCTGTGTCTTCTGGTGCCTCCACCGCCTTCTTCCCAGGACTCTGCCCAGAAATCCCGCCTGGCTACTGGCCATTCAGCTTTTTACTAAACCAATCAGAGTGACACATTTTCACAGTGTACATAAAGCGATTATCCCACTACAACCCAGGTTAAGTAGGTTAGCCAAAGGGGGCTTTTAATTGCTGGACTGCGGTAATCAGCCTGAGGAAAGTCTGGCAAACAGGAACAGCCCTCCGTGTCTTTAGGGACGTTACCCATGGTTTATAAGGAAGAGGAAATGGGGAAGGTCAAAGCCTGCCTGTGCCTCCATGTTCGCTAAGCCCAGGCCTGCTAGTGCCCTCCAGCCTGAGTGCAAAGGCATGTGCATTCGCCACACACAAAGAAATAAATGCAGCTGTCTTAGTACCTTTTCCATTGCTGTGGTAAGACGCCAGGACCAAGGCAGCCTATAGGAGAGTTTACTGGGGGTTGCAGGCCAGAGGGTGAGTCCACGGCCATCGTTGCAGGGAGCACAGCAGACAGACATGGTCGTGAGGCAGGAATTGAGAAGTTACGTCTTCGTTCACAAGCAGGAGCCTGAGTGAGAGGCTTTGGGAATGGTGCCGGCTTCTGGAACCTCAGAAGTGACACACCTCCTCCAACAAGGCCACACCCTCTAACTAGACCACACCTCCTGGTCCTTCCCAAACAGTTCCACGAAGTGGGGCTCAGACATTTGTATGCGTGAACTCTGGGGGAGTTCCCATTCACACCACCGTAGCAACATCAATTTGTTGTTGTTGTTGTTTTCTAAATAAAAACAAACGGTCATAACCCAGGGATAGTAAGTGTCACCTTATAAAAGCTGCTGTCAGGTCACTGGTATTGAACACTTGAACAGTGTCGTGCTTCACTGGTTCAAAGCCCTACACCTCCTGGGAGACTCTGCAGGTAGAATTCTGACAGGAGATGATTGATGGCAGAACTTTGTCTCTAGGGTGCGCCTCCCCAGAAAGTCACCTGACTTTCTGCGTCTCTCTCTCATTTTTCTTTTTTCTGAACCCCCAACAGTGCATCAAAACCTACAACTCTGACTGGCATCTTGTGACGTACAAATATGAAGATTACTCAGGAGAGTTTCGGCAGCTTCCAAGGTGAGTCGTTGGCATGCGTGGGCTTCAGGTTTGTGTGCTCAGGAAGGCGCGCGGCTTCATCTTCACAGTCAGGTTGTGAAAGCACGGACGGCTTCTGTGTGCCTGATGTAGCTTTTGATTGTAGTACCCGATGTCATACTCTGACGGGGTGGGGGTAGGTAGGGGGGGCGGCGTAGTTCTCTTCCGAAATTCCGTTTGGAGAACCAGAAAGTTTCCACTGAGGTAACAAAAAAGATAAGGACTCTGTTATGGAAATAATTGTGCACCGAGGTTTTGTGCTTATTAGGCTGACCACTTTTATTAGCATTTGTTAAACTGTACGAAGTAATGAGTTTCATCATGACATTTCATCCTCGTATAAGGTAGTCTGAGCGCCTCCAACCCTCTTTTACGATGCTCTGCGCCCCTCTACACTGGTCTGCTTCCTCCGTTCACAAGCTCCTTTGACTTTCTTGTGTCCACGTCGTCTTTTTTTTATTGAACATCCTGGATCCTTAATCACATTTCCATTCAAGCCTGCCCCGGGCTTTGAGCATACTCCCCGCGTGTCCACCGCTGTCCACATTCCTGTCTGTCTCGTACATCTTCAGGCTCATTATTTTATGTCATCCATGTTGCCACGATTTCTATGCAGCTGTATAAAATTTAGGCTCCACATATGAGAGAAAGCACGTATTTGTGTTTCCCACGCCGGCCTAATTTCTGTAATGTGACTATTTCCAGTTACATTTCATTTTCTATGCCCGAAAACAGTTTCGTCCTGTGTATCTGTTACACTGTTGACACACATATCAAGGTTTTTTTTCCAGCTTAATTCTTGAGAATAGCGCTCTCTCTCTCTCTCTCTCTCTCTCTCTCTCTCTCTCTCTGAGTCTGTGTGTGTATATGTGTGTGTTTCTTTAAAAGAGTATTTTGAAAAGAAACGTGTGAAGACTGTAGTCTTCACATCGCTGGCAAGGGGAAGTGTAATCGATGCGGGAAACACAGCAGATGGAGACAGGTAGTTTTGAGAGTCACCGTCGCCACTGAAAATCGGGTCTGTTACATCTGTGAGGTTTTGAGCCTTTTGTATTTTTCTCGCTGGGCCTCGATGTTTGTTTTTCCAATGGGTGTGTGTGTGGCCCAGCCACTCCTTAGAGTGTCCAGCCAACTTCCTGATCACCTCCTTTTAAACATCAGAGAGAACACTGCCTGCCAGCGTTATTTTCTCCACATGGATCTTAGCTCTATAGTCCTCAATAGTCGCCCATTGGTCACTTGGGGATTTGGGAATGATTCCCATTTGGTCCAATAAATCTACCTTCCTTGATTGTCTCGCTCAGACTGTCTATATGATGAAAGAAACATGTATTCTGAGTCCATGTATTCCATGTTTAGATTTTAACTGTCAGTTGATTTTTTTGTCCCCCCCCCATGGAGCATTAGCAAGAATTCCTAACTGAATTCTTTGAAACCCCTCATTGATTTATCCCTCATATTTTATATTAAAAATCGTCCCATCTTTTAATGAGTACCCAGTCCCCTTCCATATGTGTAATAGGCCTCATAGCTCTAACAAGCTGTGTCTTCATTTCTACAGTGTGGGCCTCTGGCTGGGGTTCCTTGGCTCACTGAAAAGCAATGGTGTGGATGGTGATATTCTTTACCGTAGACGCAACTGTTGGGCTTGTTCCTGGCTGGTTCCTCTGACGGGTGGGGAAATGGACTCCCCTGATTATGCACTCACACAGCAAGTTTTCTTTCTCGTTTTTTAAAGCAAAGTGGCCAAATTGGATAAACTCCCAGTTCACGTCTACGAAGTTGACGAGGAGGCGGACAAAGATGAGGTAGGGTTCTTGTTCCCTCCTATCTGCCTTCTCACTTGAGACTGATTCCACAGGCTTTGCGGGGAGGTGCCGGCCTTTACCCCAAGCAGGGGTTGGGACGTTTCATGAAGCGAAGGAAGAATTTTTCAAAAATACATTTTTGGGTTGACTTAAGGCCCCTTCCTGCTTTATCTTCACTGCTCAGCATCTCATGTTCCCTGACTTGTGTTTTGTTCTGAGATCACTTGGAAGGCTTGGATCAGGTCTGGCCACATTATTAAAAGATACCAAGACGACTTAGACCTCGGGTTTAGACAGTTTTTCCACGGTGGATGTTTATTTCCCCAGGACTGTTTTAGTGCAGTCTGGCTCCAGTAAGCTCCCTGACTCTTGGAGAAAAGAGTACTTAGAGAAGTATATAAAGAGCTCAGGGCCCTACGAGTGTCCAGCCCGGAGGGGACTCCCACAGAGGCTTAGTACAGACCCTTCTCTGCATCTCTGATCATCTTTTGGTGCCCTCATGAGCTTAGACTCCCTTCCCTTTCCCTTAGCTGTAAACCGAGCACGGCATTAACCATTTGTAGAAGTCAGTATTCGCGGAGCCACTTGTTTTAGGCGTAATTCTCAGAAAAAGCTAACTCCAAGCCCTCACTGGGCAGAGGCAGGGGGATCTCTGTAAGTTAAGGCCAGCCTGATCTACATAACGAGTTCTATGGGCCAGGTCGGGCCACTCAGTGTTTTTTTTTTTAAGTTCTATTATAATGTCAGGAGGACTTAGTGAAGGTGTACATGGACAGGTGCCCAGTAGCTTAGGAAACCCTTGACAACTAAATGATTTCTCAGTTCCAATAATAACAGTGCTGAAACCACAAATGTTTTGAGACAAAGCTGGAGGCCGGCCCTTCCCCGAACTTGTCTGTCTTGTGACAGAGGACATGGCCATTTGTGGTCTGCCTCTGTCTGCTCACGGTGTCTCTCAGGCGCGTCCAGCCTTCGTCATTGCCAAATGATGTCGTCAGCTGCGTAGTCCACACACTGTGCAGTCAAGTCACAGAGGGAAAAAAAAAATGTCAAAAAGTTTCAAGTAACTTCACAGTTCTGTGTTAGACAACGTTGATGTGCATCTATCCATGGCTGCATTGCTAGCTCACACCGGGACGTGCGTGGTGCATGCCTAATAAATTTTTAGTGGCCGCCAGCTCGGTGCTCAACACGCCACACCCAGTCCTCACTGGGCAGGTCGTAGCTCGAGGATGCACCCATGTTCCAGCGCCTGTTTCTCCTTTCCCTACCCTTCCTTTCACATCTCCTTTCTGCATTGCCTTGTATTTCTTATTCTTTATTCACCTTTCCCTGAAGCAAGCCTCTGACCGCAAAGGAGGAGGAGGAGCATAGCTTGAAAACTTTTTGCGTGAAACCGGGTGAGGCAGTATGACTGAGTGATGTGTGTTTTCTGCCGCTCATTCAACCCTCAAAAGCTTTGGCTAGAACTAGCCCAACCTCTAAGGGAGCAGGGTGTCCTGAAATGCAGGTACATTCCTCCTTCGCCGGCAAACGGACTCTAGTGCGACCCCGAAGCACCGGTGTCCCTGATAGAGCCGTAGTTGGCCAACTCGGCACTGGTGGAATGGTTTTCCCGTGCTGAAGCTCACAGACAACAATCTACGCAAGCAGCGGACTGATGTTGTGGTGTTTCCTTCCCTCCTAGGATGCTGCTTCCCTTGGGTCTCAGAAGGGTGGGATTACCAAGCATGGCTGGCTATACAAAGGCAACATGAACAGTGCCATCAGCGTGACCATGAGGGTAAGAGGGCTCTCGCGCTGCCTTTCCTCCACAAAAGGGACATTGTCAGCGCTTTCCTTCTGAAAGACCCGAGTTCAAGTCTCAGGACCCCTGTCGGGCAGCTCACGGCTGCCTGGACCTCCATATCCAGGGCCGTCCCACAACCTCTGGCACATAGTGAGAAAGATTAAAATTAAAAAGAGTAAAAGTAGTTAAGGAAGTTGTGGGGACGCGTAAGGAGAAAAAGAAACTGAGAGGAAGGTGAGGTGCAAACCAGGGAAGGGCTGGCTGCCAGAACGCCCCATGCTCCAAAGTCCTGATGCGGCATGACTGGAAGACATCCCCTGTTGTGTGAGTGAGGGCTCTGGGGACCGAGAGCGCCTCTGTCTCTAAACTGCAACTCCTTTCCCTACTCTTGAGTGGCTGTGTAAAATCTCAAGCTCCGTGGGTGATGGCGAAGCCTTCTCAAGGCAGATAGGCGGGAGGACCTTGAGCCATGGTGGTGGTGGTGGTGGTGGTGGGGTCTTCCTCTAGCCAGTCCAGTTGCCAGCAGCATTGGCTAGAATCCCACCGGGGTTACAGGATCCTGGCTTGTGTTTTCAAGAGTGTTCATGACTTGTCAGCTCCTACTGTCCGTTTAAAAAGAAGCGTTGTCCGGTTTCTGTTTTCAGTCATTCAAGAGGCGTTTTTTCCACCTGATCCAACTCGGTGATGGGTCCTATAATCTAAATTTTTATAAAGACGAAAAGGTCTCCAAGGAACCCAAAGGGTCCATTTTCCTGGATTCCTGCATGGGTGTGATTCAGGTGAGTAGGAAAGAATTCCGTCAAGGTTTGTGGTCTGCAGCAGATTTGGGGAAGCGCTTCCAAACACGGCCGGCATGTTTGGGTGTGATGGCAGGAGAATGAAGGGGCGGTGGGGATTGGGGGATCTTAGGTTCAAGGCCAGCCTGGGCGGTATAGTAAAACCCACCAAACTGGGGCGTTCACTCTCTAATGTGGAGACTCGTTCCCTTTCACAATTCACAGTGTGTAAAAAAAACACAAGCACCCCGCTTGTCAGAATCTGCCCGAGCAGTGGCACAATGAAGGGTGTGAATGTGGTCCTTCTGAGGCCCTAGGACAGAGGTTCTCTGTGGCCGACCGACCAGTGAACAATGTCCCTGTCAGCTAGATAGTGGGAGGGTTCAGCCTCACCAGAGAAGCAGGGGGCACTGGCCAGGAGCTTGATTCTATGAGGAGCTTGTGTAGGAGCGGCTAGCCTGGACACTGCTACAATGTCTGTCTTCCCGCTGTCTTTCATCTTACCCTGTTGCAGAGATTTTCCTATGTGTGCTGTGTGTCTTCACACGGGTTTGGTCGGTAGCTTTACCTCGGCAAGATGGCACAGACCCTGATGGTGTCTCTGTCCAGCCAGGTGCTGAAGTCAGTGTGTGCCTTTATTTTTCTTCTGTTGGGACCACAGGCACCGTGCGCCTACCCTACCTGGGAATAGTGTTTTCGTCGATTTTTGTCCGGTGCTCTGGCGATCATGGCCTCGTCCTTGTTAGAAGTGAAAACTGGCACTCCCGAGTCACAAGTGTGCAGGACACAGACGGAGAGTGGGTAGCAGAAGGGACTAGAGGTGGGGACTGGGACAACCCGGCTGCAAGGGAACCAAAGTAGAGGAATCGTCTGTTACAGCTGATGGCGTAGCGCATCTGGTGAGGAGCATTGCTGGCTTTTGAAAACAGCCAGAGCACAGACGTGTAGTTAGCCCTTGGCATGTTTAATTTTTTGGGGAACCCGTAAGCCACAGGTCAGGACCCCAGACCACTGACAGTGGACATGTGTCTGAGCCCTGGATCTAGGCTGTACCGTGACTTCACTGTCAGCGACAGCCAATGGGCTGGGAGACCCTCTGCAGGCAGCCACCGCCCACCAGGCTGCCAGTGTGAATATCCGTTATATTAAAGCATGTCAAAGTGCGCTGATAGTATTAAGGTGATTCATTAGTGACAGTTTAGTGGCTTCCTGTGTCAGATATCCAAGCTGAAGCTTCATTTGTGTGAAGTTGAAAACTTTGAAGCTGACTTTTTCAGCTGAATTTCCTTGCATGGTGGAAAGCAAAGATATATATATATATACATATACACACACACACACACACACACACACACATATATATATATATATAGTATATATATACATACATACATGAATATATATATATATATATGTATATATATATATATATATATTTTCCCCCCACCAACGTTGTGAAGTAGGACGTTTGTTTGACCAGAGTGTGTAGCTTCGAGTCTGCATCACAGTACACAGGTGCTTGCTGCTGGATCGTTTCCGTCGAGTCACTGGCCTCTTGGGTCTGAGGTCTGACCCCAGTGTCTGTCTGTCCCTTCTGACTCTTTCTGCATATGTATCATCTCCCATTTGCTGAACTACATATGAGTCTTCCAGAGAGTTATTTCCCTTTTACCTTGCCTGTTTGAAGCTGAGTATTAAAGGCTGTAAGTTAAGGCCATTTGTGGTAGAGCACACTTGAAATCGTAGCACTTGGGAGACGGAGGCAAGAAATCCCAGAGTTTGAAGTCTTTCTTGGCTACCTAGGGGGTCTGAGGGCATCCTGGCTTACGGGAGACCCTGTCTCAAACAACAACAACAACAAAGAGACAAAAAGTTGTGATTTAAGTGGTTTTGGAAAAAAAAAAAAAGAAACCTTTAGAATATGTACTTTTAGCTTTTATTTTTGATCATTTATATTTATTGTTCATGATACTGTGTTCATATAAGTATACATTGTATGTTAACACACTATCCTCTCATGCCTCTCCCTCTTCTGGTGGCCCCTCCCCCTTCTGGTAGCCCCACCCCCAAAAGGAGATCTTCATAAAAATATATATAGTATATAAAACACTTCTCTACCCTCTCACGGCCCTCACACACCTCTCTTTTGTCCTATACCCCCTATAAGGAGATATTCATATACATACATACATTTGCTAACACATTTTCCTATCCCTTCGTGCTGCTCCCACACCCCTCTGTTGGCCCCGCCCTCTTTGGATGTTATTAAAAACAATAGCTGATTGCTGCTGTGACTGGAAATGCCTAAGGGGGAAGTCTCCAGGTAGACCCTGAAAGAGAGCTCGAGTCTTAAATACTTAAAGTATGTCAGAGCCACGGGGGTCAGTTAGACTTGTGCTGCAGGTAAAGAAAGGGCCTCAGAAAGGATAACTTAGACTCAAGGCCCAGTGCTTTCTCTTGACTTCTGTCTGTCCGGGGAGTGGGTGGTTCCCCAAATACAAAACTCCTTCGTTTCCAGCTTTCATTCCTTTCGAACCCTACCTCTGCGTTTAAGTGAGACCCAAGGCAGCAATTACTGAGCCTTCAGCCGGCGGTCTGCGCATGGTGCTTTGTGTGGCCTTGCCCAGAGACACTTAGCTTCAGGGTTCTAAACACTGTGATGCAAAAATGGCAGGCCTTGGGTCACCTTGTGCTGGGCGCTACGCCGTGAAGCATCCTTGAACTGCAGACTTCTGGGTGTCGGGGCATCCTGCCTCCTTCAGCCTGTGTGGACTCTGTTCTTCAGAGATGAACTTCTGTGCAATGCGGTTAGCCAGGAGTGTTTGCCTCCGGGATATATTTGTCAGTGTCTGGAGATGTTTTTGAGTCATAGCTGTTTCACTGACACTGTGGAAGGCGGAGGCCAGGATGTCACGAGGCATAGTAGAACACGTAGAATAGCCCCTTGTGAAAAGAATGTTGGACCCGAATGTGAGCAGCACCAAGGGGGGACGGACCTTGGTCTATACTTACTTATCTTCTGTCCCATAATGGGGATGTGAACTGGAGACGGTACATCCCCATGCCTTTAGGATTCATAAATGATGGAAAATTGCAGGGAAATAAGCTAAGCAGACTGGTAGATAGATAGCTGTTAGAAAGGTAATGGTGGAATACAACTTGATTTTGTTGTTGTTGTTGTTAAACTGAATATGACATTTACATGTGAAATGTTATAGATTCAGCTATTTTTCAAATGCCAGTAAGTGCCAGACATTCTGCATGTAACATTAAGTGAAGAGAATGAGCAACCTGTGTCCTTGAGGGTTTTCTGTGCCATTGCAGGGGACAAGTAATACATAAATGGATAGGAAAGGTAATGACACCTAAAAGATGACTCAGTAGGTAAGAGCCCAAGTTTGGTTCCCAGCAGCCATGCCAAGTGGCTTATAGGTGTCCTTAACTCCAGCTCCAGGAGCTCTGATGCCTCTGACCTCCACGGGTACCTGCACTCAGGTGCACATACATACATGCGTGCGCATACGCACATGGAAACATAGTTGAAAATAATAAATGCTAAAATTTAAAGCAAGAAAGCAGCAAAGGCTCTTAATCACTGGGCCACCTCTGGGCCCCAGCACATACTGCTTTAGCAGAGGACCCAGGTTCGATTCCCACCACACATGCGGTGACGCACGGATTGTCTGTAACCCCAGTTCCAGGGATTCTGATGCCCTCTTCTGACCTCCTCCAGGACAGGCCACACACACGCACACACACACACACACACACACACACGGTGCACATTCTAGCACAGACAAAGCACCCACATGTACATAAACTAAAAATAAAGCTTTTAGAAAGATGGGTGATCAGATGGGGAGGTTAAAAGTGGAGGAGGCGGACCGTGGTGGGGTTTGGGGGTTCACGGGGAGGGAGTTTGCAGCTTTGAAGGAGCAGCAGAGTTCCAATAAGATGGCTCCATTAACAACCAGGGCGGATTACCCGGAGCTGCCTGCCAGTGTTGTGTTTCTTTCAACCTTCTCCACCACAGAACAACAGAGTCAGGCGCTTTGCTTTTGAGCTCAAGATGCAGGACAAAAGCAGCTACCTTCTGGCAGCAGACAGTGAGGCGGAGATGGAGGACTGGGTTGCAGTTCTCAACAAGATCCTTCAGCTCAACTTCGAAGCTGCCATGCAAGAAAAGAGAAATGGGGACTCTCATGAAGGTGGGTAGACCCTCAAGAGGCATGGAAGACACGCCCATCAGCAAAGGCTCTTGTCATGCTAGATTCGACTGCCCTGAAGCCAGGCGTGGGGGTTACCTGTAATTCTAGCACGCGGGGAGCAGAGGCAAGAGGCACAGGTTTCGAGGCGGCAGCCAACTGTCTAGGGAGTTGCAGGTCAGTTGGGGTTGCATAGTGAGCCCTGGTCTCAGGAAAAAACGCAAAAGAAAAAGAATCAGTACTTTGTCGGTGTTTGTTTGGAAGGTAAGTAGCATAACAACCATGGTGTGGGGAGGCAGGCCTGGATACGAGTCCCAAGAATGTCGCTTTTTAGTGATGTGGCCTTGGACAAACTACTTAAGTTTTCTGCGTCTTGGTTTCTACTTGAAAATGGAAGTAAGACGTAGGGATGTTGTTGAGTTGGTGGAGTCCTTGCCTGTAAGGCGTACAGGTTTTTCCGCCTGCCGCCGCCCGGTCTTGTCCCGCCGCCACGCCGCCAGCCCCAAATAATACACAGAGACTCTGTATTTGATACAACACTGTTGGCCCGGCTACTTGTTTCTTATCGGTTAGCTCTGTCTTAAGTATTAACCCATTTCTGTTGATCTATGTTTTTCTCTTACCGGGGAGCTGGCAGCATACTGTTTTCTTCAGACCCTCCATCTTGACTCCTCCTTCCTCCTTCCTATTTCCTCCTTGTCTCCTAGTCCCTCCTATCTTCCTTTCCTATTGGCCAACAGTGCTTTATTATTAACCAGTATGAGAAACATATACAGAATGACATCTCCCATCACTTGCCTTTCATGTATGAAGCCTTAGGTTCCCAGCACTGCATAACCCTTGTGTGGTAGTATACATCTGTAATCCTAACATTTAGGAGTTTGAGGCAGGAGGATCAGAAGTTCAAGGTCATCCTTGGCTACATAGTAAGTTCGAGTCTAGCCTGGGCTACCTGATAACCTGTCTTTAAGGAAAAATAAAAGTTGGGTGGGTGGGTAGGGGAGAGCATGATTGAAAAGAATATTTATTACCAGTGGAAGGACTTAGCTTAAGAATGTACCTGTAGCCCCTGGCATGGAATCCATCTCTAAAAGTAAGAAAGTTACTGTTGTTGTTGGTATCACCCTTTGGGATTATGAAGACAAAGTAAAGATAGACAGGAACCTTACTCTAAATTACAGGGAATCAGGTGTGTGTGTGTGTGTGTGTGTGTGTGTGTGTGTTAGATAGATAAATATATAGATAGGGAGAAAGAGAGAGAGAGAGAGAGAGAGCGCTTATTTTATTTTATGTTTAAAGACACGGTTTCTCTATGTAGCCTTGGGCATCCTGGAACTAGCTGTGTAGACCAGGCTGATCTTGAACTCACAAAGATACACCTGCATCTGCCTCTTACGTGCTGGGATTAAAGGTGCATGCCACCACTGCCTGGCTTCAGCTGTGTTTTTGATGTATGTTCTTTAATATTACACAAGCTCATAAATGAAAACTCTGGGTGTATCCCAAATTATCTGAGAATTAGAAAAAGAATCCAAACTACTATTTCCTTGGCCCCACCAAAGCCTCTGATTGGATGTGGCTGTGAACACAGCTGACAGGTTCTGTTGGGGGTGGGCTGTGAAGGATGTTGTGCACCTCTTACTTAAATGCTAGTGTGGAGAAAGTTGAGGATGGGGATCTTAGCTGCACAAGGTCTTGGGTGTTGCCACTCTCCCTACTGGGCTTGGCCATCAATGTCATTCCAAAGCTCTGAGCTGTCTGGAATGTTCTTCCAGACGTGAGAACCCATGCGTTCAGGTTCCTTTGCTTATATTAAACAAGGCAGTTACAACTATGCATGACTCAGTCGGTTGATCTCTTTTGTCATTTAGATGATGAACAAAGCAAACTGGAAGGTTCCGGTTCTGGTTTGGATAGCTACCTGCCTGAACTTGCCAAGGTGAGTACATCCTAATATTCCCACTCTCCACTGAATGCTAAATGTTTCTCATTCCATGGCTCTCTTAAAATAATAACACTGATGGCTTTCTGATTGTCACTGTTGGCTTCCTGACGTGAATGGGGGTGGCGGCGGCAGCATTTACTTTGCACTAGTGACACTTCGGGTCTATTTCCCAGAAAATGCCCTACAAAATATGTTGCTATTTTTAAAACGCCGTCAGCACAAATATTGAGGAAATAACCCAAATACATGCCTATATATACCTAGTATTCTCTCTTACTTGGGCTCCTCCTACTTAAATTATGTTCATTGGACGTGGCTGTAAAGGATGTTGCCCAGCTAACGTAAGTTGATTAGTTAATGTTGCTAGCTCTGTGAAAACTCTATGACCGAAAACAGCCTGGGGAGGAAAGGGTTTATTTCAGCTTCACTCTCCATCACTGAAGGAAGAAGAAGCCAGGGCAGGAGCTCAGTGCAGCAAACTAGAGGCAGGAGCTGAAGCTGAAGCAGGGGCCATGGAAGGGAGCTGCTGACTGGTATTCTCATGGCTTGCTCAGCCTGCTTTCTTACAGCACCCAGGACTGCCATCCTAGGGTGGCACTGTCCATAGTGAGCTGGGCCCTCGCTTGTCAATCAAGAAAATGAACGCAGTCCGGCCCACAGTCCAGCCTGGTTGGGGGCAATGTCTCCACTGAGGCTCCTTTTCAAATGACCTGGTTTGTGTCAAGCAGCCGGCACACTTGGGCACCCGATCTTAAATTAACAGCCACAGTTCCGCCAGAGGATGGTTGTAGTAATTTTCAACTCAAGAGGGACCGCCAAAGTTGCAGAGCGTATTCCTGGGTCACCCAAAACAAACAAAATACAAGGAAACAACAGCAAAGCCAGGCTCTTCGTGAATTTTGCAATTTTGAGAAACCCCAGAGTTACTGGGAAGCTCAAGGAAAAACTAGACCGTGTGGGCACTGCCCAGAGCCCTGTGCTGCCGTATCGCCTCATTAGCATATGCACTTTTTAAAATGTGACCTTAGTGACAGATGGCGGTCCTTTTAACATTGCCTTTGCTCCCATGTTCCTCTCCACAGCCCCCAACACAAGCATTCACTGTGACGCATTATACTTCGATTTTGTTTTGATTAACACGTTTACCGTAAAGACATCGGGTGGCGAGTGTGTGTGTGTGTGTGTGTGTGTGTGTGTGTGTGTGTGTGGTTTTACGGGTGTTCAATAGTCACACATTTAGCCTTGTTTTGGCCAGTCATTTTTATTGTACTGTATAAACACTTTAGCTCGAGCTGTTTGCATTTTTCTTACTCTGAACAATGCTACAATGAATATCCTTGTCCCAGACTCCTGTGAGAGTGTCTGTGCCTGACTCTTTTTAAAGTGTGACTGCCTGTCTGGTGTGTGTGTGTGTGTGTGTGTGTATAATAAAGTGGGTTGGTGGCTGTACACACCCACATGTTAAACACTATAATAGAAACATGGTGTGTCTACATAGAATTGAAAATAGACTGGCTTCCAGCATTGACCTTTTTTCTTAGATGACATGGTTGTTCTCAGATATAAATCTTCCTCCCCAGCTGGGGCTTTATAGAGTATTGTTTTTCTTCAAGACTTAGCTATTTCCACAGAATCTTTTTAGCACCTGCCCATTAAAGCTAACTTTAGAGCTTCCATTGGGACCTATGCCTTAGCCTGGCGGAGTTTTGGCTTCTGTGTTTATTTTCATGCTAGGTGTGTGTGTGTGAGTGTGTGTGTGTGTGTGTGTGAATGTGTGTGTGTTTGAGTGTGAGTGTGTGTATATGTGTGTATGTATGTGTATGTATGTGAGTGTGTGAGAGTGTGTCTGTGTGTGAGTGTGTGTATATGTGTATGTATGGGAGTGTGTGAGTGTGTGTCTGTGTGTGAGTGTGTGCATGTGTGTGTGCGTGTGTGTGTGAGTGTGTGTGTGTGTTGCTGAAACCCAGGGCCTTGTTAGGAAGTGTGGGCATTGGTGGACACCCATACGTGCATCCTGCTCTGTTTCTGGGTGCTCAGGAGCTCCCATCTCACCGTGCTTGGACAAGTTTGATTCTTAGTCTATTGAAGCAGCGTGTTGGTACACTCTGGAAATCAGAAAGGAATGTTGGGTGTACTCGGTGAACAGAATGGTTGCCTACGATGAAGTTCAGGTTGTTTGAGCCTCATGGTAGTTATTTGACATCTGTAATTTTAAGACAGGCATGGCAGCACGCACCGCTGGGGAGGCTGAGACAGGAAGGATGCAAGGTCAAGGTCATCTCAGGTCATAGCAAGCGCCTAGCTTAAGCAAAGCAAAACATAACAAAGCCAGCAAATCTACGTTTCCCGCCATGAAGCTGTGTAAGAATCTCAGTCTTTTCTTCTCCTCCTACCTGGCCATCATAATTTTTCAAGGAAAAGGGGGTTGGGGTGTATTGTCTTTCTCCCAGGGGGCTACCAGGTGGACTATTGAAAGTGTGGCTCTGTCAGTCACCTGTGCATTCTGGTGGCCTACTCAGAGGTGTGACGTGTGAAGGGCCAGGCTTTCAGTGGACACTTGGGCCTGGGTCTGGTCCCGTCATGGTCAGCCTGGCTGTTAGTCCTGCTGGTGAGCCTGGGATGCAGCAGGCAGGTTTGTACTCATTAAGGGAGCGTGGGAACTGCCTAGCAAATGGACATCCTGTTTTCAGGAGAAGTGAGTTCCATGGTTACAGACTCAGATAAAGTGCGTGTGGAATGGGGTCGTGGGGAGGGATGCAGGGAGAGAAGGTCAGAAAAGCAGAAGACGGTTGTAGAGGAAGCTTGGATGGGTAGGGCAAGGGGGAGGTGGCTGGCGGTAAAACCTAGCGGGCAAGCCCCTGAGGATGGCTTCTCTTTGCCTCACTCTTCCTGATGTTCTGGCTTTCGTTTCCCATTGTGACTGAGACTTAGCCAAACAGGATACGTCTGACGGGAAGTTGTTTCATTCTGGAATATCATGGACTTGGATGTTCCTGGAGCATTGACTTGTACTTGAAGTACTGGACATCTTTACTGTTTTCATATCAGGGACATGCCATGTTTACCCCCAAACTTAACATTTTCCTCCTACTGTGTGGCATGGAACCAAACTATTTTTCTTGTAAATGTAACAAAATTCACAGCATCAGTCTTACAACTGCACCTATTTAAAAAGCCTGTATGGACCAGTGAATTGGTTTCGTCTGGGAACTCGGGGTATTCCTTCCTCCTGCTTGCCTTGGTGTTAGGTGGCACTGGAGGGCGTGTATTAAGCTTTCTGTGTAAAGACGATATGAAGAAAACCCTCACACTCTCTTTTAATCTGTTTTCCTTTGGGGTGTGTGTGTGTGTGTGTGTGTGTGTGTGTGTGTGTGTATGTATGCATGTGGATGTGTGGTGTGTGTATATATATGTGTGTGGATGTGGGTGTGTGTGTATGCATATGTATGTGTGTATGTGTGGTGTGTGTGTGGTGTGTGTGTGGTGTGTGTGTATTATGTATGCGTGTGGGTGTGTGGTGTGTGTGTGTGTGTGTCTCTGTGTGTGTGTGTGGTGTGTGTGTATGCATATGTATGCGTGTGGGTGTGTATGTGTGGTGTGTGTGTGGCATGTGTGTGTGTATGTTATATATGCATGTGGTGTGTGTATGTATGTGTGTGTGTGTATGTGTGGTGTGTGTGTGGTGTGTGTGTATTATGTATGCGTGTGGATGTGTGGTGTGGATGTGTGTGGTATATGTGTATGTATGCGTGTGGATGTGTGTGTGTGGTGTGTATGTGTGGTGTGTGTGTGGCATGTGTGTGTGTATGTTATATATGCGTGTGGTGTGTGTATGTATGTGTGTGTGTGGATGTGTGGTGTGTATGTGTGTGGGATATGTGTATGTATGCGTGTGGATGTGTGTGTGTGTGTATGTGTGTGGTGTGTGTATTATGTATGTGTGTGGTGTGTGTATGTGTGTGGTGTGTGTGTGTGCAAACAGTAGCTCATGCTTTGTCACCTTGCATTCTGAAAGAGAGGCAGTGTCATGTGACTCCAGCATGGCTTCTCTCTGATTTCCTTATCATCTTATTTAAGTCAATGGATTTTCCTTTCCAGGTGCTCTTCCATAGTGGAGTGTAGACAGAGCGTGGTGTCTGTATGTTTATAGTCTCTCTGAGACTGCGTAAGGGATAGGGGCCATGCCCAACAGGGCTTGTGGGAACCCGTGCGGTTTCCTGGCCACATTTTTATGAGTTTAAAGCCAAGTCTGTAACAAACACTTCCTTCCCTGAGCCTAAACCAGAAAACCATGCCATTATTACGCCACGGAATTGGCTGTGGTTTGGCAGGCGCTTCCCACTCTAGAATGCTCAAGCCTGCCTTTGTGTCTTGAGGTGAAATGTTAGTCTTTCTGAGTTAAAATTTTTAATTCAATGACTATGTGTTGTGGTAGCCCATTAAATAGAGAAGCAAATGATCTGGGGGCTTGAGAGATGGCTGGGGGTTAAGAGAGCACCGGCTGCTCATCCAGAGGGCCTTGCTTTGATTCCTAGCATCCACACGGTAGCTCACAGCAAACATCTGTCTCTCCAGGTCCAAAGGATCTGATACTGTCTTCTGGCCTTCATGGGTACCAGGCATACACATGGTTCGCAGAAATGTATACAGGCAAACCATAAACAAATTTTAAAGAGTTATATATTCAGACCTCAGGGGATTTTGCTTAATCTGTTTTACCTCACTCTGTCTAAACCGATTTATCAGTCAACACAGTATTTTTTTTCCTGTAATGCACTTTGAAATAAAATAAAATTGGCTGTAGATTTTTCACTTCAAACTTCTCACAGATAAACTTGAGACTCGCCACTGTCTTTTCTGGAAGCTATTGAATATTTGGCGCTTCACTACTGAAGATGAAGGAAGCATGTTGAAGGCATGCCATTTGCGGCTGAGTTTAGCGCTTACTGCGTGAGATGGGGAATGTCTTTGTTTTGGGCTTCTTTGGCTTGTGTGCAGGTAGCAGTGTCTGGGGAGGGCCGCTCTGTTTTGTCTCCTCTCCTCACATTCTTCTCTCTACTGAAAACAGGCCGTGCCATGGTGGAGCAACGCTGTTTGGAGGAAGCCTCTGACAGCCCCACCACGCCCTGACCGACCACAGGCCGTTCTCAGGACAGGGCAACTCCCTGCCACCCTCAAACGTGCTCAATTACGTAGTCTTGGGGTGATTGTTTTAAACAGCCGTATTTTTGTGGGCGCGTAGGCTGTGAAAGCACACATCTTTACTAAACATTGAGTACAGTTTTGTTTTTATGCTTCTAAGTAAAACTACCCGGTGTCGTGTAAAATAAATTTTTTCTTCATGACCCACCCTCACCTTCCTGACAACCCTAATAGTCACTCACTCCAGCTTTTCTCAACAGACTGGGTGCAAAAAAAATGTAGACATACACGTGTGAGGCTTTTCAGTTGTTTCTTAAAAAGAGTCTCGTGTTTTACCTGGCATTTTGGCAGTTTTTACAGATGCCTCTCTGCGTCAGTAGAAGATGTGGTCTCTTTGCAGAATAAGTTTGTAATGGACCACACAAAAGTCAAGGATTTAATGATCCTTAGTAGATATGCATACTTTATTCAGCCGTGTCTTTTGGAGACCTCTTGGTGATTTTTCAGTTTCCAGCTTCTGTAAATTGTATGGTAAGCGTTATGACATGGAATCTGTGAACTGTTGTTTCAGGAGGATGTCCCCCCCAAACTGGGACTTGTAGGTGAAAATGTATTGTGTTTTTGATGTTTTAAATATTGCTAGTTTCTTAGCCTTAAAGAGTCTAACAATTCATATTCCTATTTCCCTGCCTTGGCCCCCCCCCAAATTTTTATACTATTTTATTCTGCTTCAGTATCTGATTTCTGCTCACTGTTCATATTTTTGTGTGTGTGTTTTCATATGTTTGTTTGCTGTTTGGATTTCTATTTCATCTTTGACTTGTCGGTTCATTTTCCTTTTCTTATGAATATTTTCTAAATGACTTTTCCCGTTATTACTCCAAATATTTATTATTTCCCGAGTGAAGCCTTGCCTTGTTCTTATTTCTCAGACCCTGCTTTACTTGGTCCCTTCCGTCACTGTGTAGCGCTTCTCTTCTGTTTGATGCATCATCCTGGGCCTTGGGAGGGATGGGGGAGAATCCAGTCTCGGGGGCTGAAGAGATAGCTCAACAGCTAAGAGCTCTGACTGCTCTCCCAGATGTCCCGGGTTCAATCCCCAGCACCCAAATGTCAGATCACAACTATCTGTAACTCCAGTTCCGGAGGACCTGAACCCATAGCAAAACAGTAATGCACATAAAATAAAGAAATAATAAGATAAATAAGTTTATATAAGTTTAAATAAGACTTGCTTTTTGTCTAGCTCGTGGCACAGCTGGCCATGTGAGGTAGACCGTGGCTTTTACTCTTCATAATCTACATTCTGCCCTGGAAGGACACATTCATAGGGTGTCAGTGCCAAATGGGAAGGCTTCACATCCAATTTGTCTACTAATATTTATTATTCTCTTCTTATGTAAACATCCTTATTTGCTTCCCAGTTCTGCAGAGCTCAGAGTAGTTTTGCTAGCTCCATTACTTTCTTGTTTCCTGACACAGTCAGTCAACTTAGCAATCAGGTCCCAGAAAGTCAACAACCGTTGTAGCCACCATTAAAAGTCAAAGATCACAGCCGGGCTTTGGTGGCGCACACCTTTAATCCCAGCAGAGGAGGTAGATCTCTGAGTTTGAGGCCAGCCTGGTCTACAGACTGAGTTCTAAGATAGCCGGGGTGACACTGAGACACGCTGTCTCAGAAAAACAAACTCTGAAGTCATAGTCTCTGTCTTTGTCAAGGGACTCAATCCAGAATTAGTATACAGTACTGCTCGCCACTCCCTAGGGAAGCACCTGAGCCATCAACAAGATTGTTCTTTGAGCTCAGTTAAGTAGATTCCACTTAGGTGTGTTCTAGTCTGTGTGTGTGGTGTGTGTGTGTGTGTGTGTGTGTGTGTGTGTGTGTGTGTGTGTAAAAGGGAGGTAAAGGGATAGGCAAGATGAAATGAGATGAAGCTCTCTCATAGTCCACATGGGCAGAGCCCATCTCCGCCACAGGGACATGCTCTGCGTGGGAAGCACAAACAGGTGATATGAACAGTGCCCTAACCCATGAGGTCACTCATAGCTGCCAGCAGATAAGCATTGCCGGGTCAAGAGCCTCTGGCACCACCTTGTCATTCTTTTTACGGAGAAATTAAAAGGCCAGGTAGGGAGAGGTGAGTTGGCCTGCAGAGTTAGTTATGAATGTCATTTCGTTTGCAACTCAGTAGGCAGCTGGTTAAGTGTAGTCAGGAGAGATTGAGTCATGGCCAAGGGTCTATGATAACAATGCCATGATGGAAAAGTTAGTAAGAGTCTTAGTTTCTCACTGGGTTAGGTTAGAAACGCATTAGTAGATGTTACTTAGCCATCAGACACGAAGACAGCAGACTCCTTCATGATGGCTGTCACACTGCCCCGTTGTCTAGGGCGGAGACGTGACTCCTGGCTTTGGGGAAAGTAACAGATAAGAAGAGGGCGTTATGGTCAGAACTCCATATTTATCCGTGAAAACGGAGAGTAAATATCCGTGATCGCCAAAAAGAGCGCACCGCGGGCATGACAAATAAGAGGTCAAAGGTGGCTCCATCTCGCCAATGTCGGAGGCCTCTTTCACACTCGCCCCCCCCCCCAAGTCCTGCATCTCCGTCTCCGCCCCGCAACCACGCAACCACGCGTCTCTACTCTTCTGTGGCTTCTCTTCTGCATGCCCCTTCAGTTTGGGAGCCCTGGTGCTCTGCTAAAAGTCACCCCCCCACACACACACACACCCCCCCCCCCGTCTGAGGGGTCACAGCCAGGTCCACCCGCACCTGCGTGCTGTCATTCTTGAGTCTGCCACTCAAGTCCATGGCCATCAGCTGAAAGATCTGGGTTGCAATCCTCACAGGCACAGCTGGGCCCGGCCTTAAGGTTCCAGTGCCGGCTCCTACTGACTTTACAGTAGGCCTCACTGCCCAGGCCTCACACGGTGCATACATCTTGGATGACATGCTACTGACTCCTGGAGTCCAGGCGGGGTAGTCAGATAGCCTGGGTCTGTTACGATCAAGACAAATGACAGAAAAAGGATTTATTCTGAGCTGGGTTATAGTTTTCAGAGAGCATCGTGTTGGGGGGCATGGCATGGCCTGATCCTGGAGCAGGAGCTGAGGCCGGGGGGGGGGGGGGACTTGCTTGGAATAGTGTGGGCTTTGAAATCTCAAAACCCACCCAAGTGACACAACAATTGTACTTCTGAAGGGCTCCGCCAACTGGAGCATTGGAATATATGAGCCTTCTCATTTAAACTTGAACAGGCGGCTTTCAAACATATTCTGGTATCTCGGCGGGGTGGGGGGGGGGGATGCTGTCGGGACAAAGGATTGTGTTCACACACAAAAATACTCATTTTGCCCACAGAGCAGCAGAGAAGCAGAAATCAAGCTGAAAAGCGAGGGCAGAGTGAAGCTTTTCTACTTGGACCCAGATGCCCAGGTAAGAGCTAATTTAATACATAAGATGTAAAATCCATGAAGGTCTAGTATCCAGCGCGCTGTTGAGAGCAGTGTCAGGCCTGCTTCCTGGAAGGCACAGGCCTGAATCCCCAGGTCCACACTGATCCCTTAACCATTAGAGTGTGGCACACACCGCTGTAGACACCCGGGAGGCAGCAACGCTTCTCAGCTAGCTTTCATCCCCGAGAGAAGACGGAGTGTGTGTAACCCACATGTGTGGCGCCACCAAGACCCTCGGGGCCCATGACATTTATTGTGGCATGGCATCGCCATGAAGGACAAGGTCCCGCAATAGTTAATCCTGATTCCCCCCCACCCCCGTGTGGTCCTTTTAATAGACAACTCTCCCTCTTAATAGCCCCTCCCGCTTTGCTTTAATGATAGCCATTTTCTACATTTCTTCACTGACGTCCTAACTGTTCCCACGCGCTATTCAATGTGGCAGCACAAACCTCTTACAATTTGGGCCATTCGAAAATACGTAATTGGAACTTCAGAAAGCGAAATTTAAAACACAGTACATCTATTCTCCACACACAACCTTTACGCCATCTGTTTCCAGAATGTTTGGAAGTTTTCATCTTTGCAAACTGAAACTGTCTCTTAAGCACAAGCCCCTGGTGATCTCTGTTCCACTTTTAATTAACTATTTTAGCAAAATCATCGAAGTGGAATCGTACGTGGCTCCTCTCGTCTTCTACTGTGGCGTCTGGGATCCCACCCAGGTGGTCGGGCTTCTATGGCGCACAGCTTTACCTGCTGGACCGTTCACTGATCCAGAATTTCCTTTTGTTTTTGTCTTTGAAGACCACTTCTTACTGTTTGGTCCTGGCTGGCCTGACACTTGCTGTGTAGAATGGACTGACCTGAAATTCACAGGAATCTGCCTGCCTCTGCCTCCCTAATTCTTGGTTTGCAAATGTGTGCCATTACATCCTGCCCCGAATTTCCTTTTTATTGTTGACTGTACATGTCTGACATGTGTGTGTCCTTACACATATGCCGATGGGTTTTAGGTTGTTTATAACTGTAGTATTAACCCCTGCCTAACTGTGCATCCGGCAGATAATCCATCACTTACGTGACTGTCATAACAGTGAGTGTCCATTAAACATGATGTGACTTCAGAGTCACAGCACTATTGTGGATCTGAGCACACATATATATATATATATATATATATATATATATATATATATATATATATATATGTATATGTATATATGTATATATGTATATATGTATGTATGTATATATGTATATATGTATGTATCCTTTCCATGTTTCAGGCGTGTGTGTGTGTGTGTGTGTGTGTGTGTGTGTGTGTGTGTGAACACTCACGATGGGATTTTTTTAATGGGAGTACTGTGTGTTTATATGTATCCTCGTTTTCGTTTTAAAGAAACTTGACTTCTCATCCACCGAGCCAGAAGTGAAGCCATTTGAAGAAAAGTTTGGGAAAAGGATCCTGGTCAAGTGCAATGATTTGTCTTTCAATCTGCAATGCTGCGTCGCTGAAAATGAGGAAGGACCCACCACAAATGTAATTTCCCTTTTGAGATATACAGGTTTTTGTTTTTGTTTTTGTTTTTTGTTTGTTTTTTAAGCCATCCTAAAACATGCGGGAACCAAACTAAGGACAGAGTCTCCAGAGTCTCTTCTTGCCTCCAGCACTTTGTCTTTTGAGGAGAGACTGTTAGAGCTGTATCGAAGTCCCCCGGTCATGGGCATAGACTCTAGTCTGGGTGATCTGATACTCCACCTGACCAAGGGACCAACGGAGGAAGACAAGCTCACCTCAGCCATACTAAAGAGATGGATAGGTGGGCTAATTTGACCGTTAATGATATTGAGCTTTTCCTTCCCAGAACTCCCAGCACAGGCCCTCCAGAACCCAAGCATCCAGAAAGTTTGGCTGAGTCTGCCCACCTTGCCAAATCTTAGAAAGGTGTGACTCCAAGACACACGCCTTTTTTATATCTTTCTTTCGGATGCTGGCCAGAACATGGGTGCTTTTTCGGGTACTCTGGGCTTCCCAAAACCTCCCTGTCCACCGTGTTTCTGAGTTCCGCGGTGGCTTTAAAAGGCACAGGGTTTTCCCTCTCCTCCACTTTTTCCCTGGGCAGCTACTGAGACAGCTCGATTGCCAAGGGTTTTTTCTTTTAAATTCCAATACAATTGTCCTCAAGTTTCAAAATGATTCTTTTTAAAGAATCAATGTTTTCCTTTTCACATGTTGGTCCGTTTCAGGGTTTCTCCTTACCTTGTAGCCTAGGTGTGGAGATGCAGAGAGATGCAGGGCTCACACTGGGGTGTGGATGGGGCAGGGGAGGAGTTGTGGCCACAGTAAGATGGTAGATTTAAAAGACTTAAGCTGCCTGTTCCAGGACACGGATTTCGTATTGGATGCCCCAAGGAGATCAGCTGTCTTACCTGGAGAGTGTGCATTATCAAACAGTGACGTTCCTGGAGGGTCACTTGTAGTTTTGCTTATTGAAATGCTTTACGTACAGCCTCACTCTGTGTGACAGGGAACAAAAGTCTGGTAATCATTCAAGGAGCCGGTCACCCCCGGGGCCCATCATTCTTCTGGAATAGCAGCGTTCCCCTGCAGCTGTCTGGACTGTCTTGATGATCACCGTATTCTGTCGGTGTTATTGTCCAGGTCGAGCCTTTCTTCGTCACCCTGTCCCTGTTTGACATAAAATACAACCGGAAGATTTCTGCTGACTTCCACGTGGACCTGAACCACTTCTCAGTGCGGCAGATGCTGGCTCCCACATTCCCAACCCTGATGAACGGCGGCCAGAGCCCACCTGCCTTCCAGGATGCCTTCCATGCTGCCATGCAGTACCCAAAGCAGGTGGGGAGCATCCACACCATGCAGACTTCTCTTGCACATGCTGTCAGTATATTAAAAACTGCTCGGATGAGACCTTGTCATGCCCCAGTGGGGCCGTTTAGATTGGTAATTATAGGGCAGCGTGTGTAATTAATTATATAGTGACAGCAGGGGGGGGGGTAGTGGCCTGGGGCTCTGTCCATTTCCTTAAGCCTCTTCCTTCTGTCTTTCCCCACCAAGCAAGCTCTTTGAGCAGAGAGTGGACTGTGGAGCATTTGAGGGGTGTGGCCCAGGTCTCCTGGCTGCTGCCTCACTGCCCTTCGCTGCTTTGGTGGTCAAGGGATTTTTTTTTTTTTTTTTTTTTGCGCATTCATCTAGAATCCTACTGACCGAAGGGAACCGTTTGTCTCCCTAGGGGATATTTTCAGTCACGTGTCCTCATCCGGATATATTCCTTGTGGCCAGAATTGAGAAGGTCCTCCAAGGGAGCATCACACACTGTGCTGAGCCGTACATGAAAAGTTCAGACTCCTCTAAGGTATGAAAGGCTTCCGTGCTTCATGAGTGTTAAAGCGTGACAGCCAAAGGGGTGATCTCTTGCCAAAACATAAACAGTTACGAGGCCAGCGGTAAACCGCGCCTGTCGGTAGTCCAAACTGCATAGTCAGCTTGGGGAGACGGCTCTGTGGATGGGGTGCTCGCCACACAAGCCTGAGGCCTGCAGTTCTGCTCCCCAGAACCCACTTACATTTTCCATCCATAGTGAAAGCTAGGTCTTCACAAAGTGCAGCTGTTTAATGAACATGCCTGACGTTGGCTCTGGTGCTCCACAAACATGTACACAGCTTTACACACATGCAGACATGCATACAGATGTGATGCACACCACACATGAAAAACAATACTAAAAGCATAGAGTGCAGTCCCTTATCTTTATTCTCCATTTAATTTTATGTACCGCGCAGAGAATCGAGCACAGGTGTTGGCATATGCCAAGTGTATGCACTATGCTAAATTTTTACTCTTGTGTATCCTTATGTGTGTGTGTGTGTGTGTGTGTGTGTGTGTGTGTGTGTGTGTGTGTGAGTGACAGGGTTTCTCTGTAGCTTTGGAGCCAGCCTGTCCTAAAACTCGCTATGTAGACCAGGCTGGCTTCTGCCTGCATCTGCCCCCCCCCCCCCCCAGTGCTGAGATTAAAGGCGTGAGCCACCACCGCCCAGCAGTGTGTCAAATTCTTAATGAAAGTATTCTATCATGTAAATAAAATCCATCACTTTGATAGTCTACTCTGATATCTTAAAATAGTTTTCGAAGGAATTATCCACTTGATACTAAATTATGTATCATTTAAAAGCACGAGTATTGTAGTCAACCATTGTTTATTGCATTTGCTAATGCGCCTCTTGGGTTCTGGAGTTATATTGTGACCCATACAATAGAATTACTAAGTGTCAGAAGTTACTGAGTCTAAAAACTTAGAAAATGGAGACTTACAACCCTTTCGCTGTTTTCTAATTGTCCCACGACCGGAGTGGCCAATGACAGCTGACCGTGGCTGACTCACACACCATTCCTTCAGCTTAGAGTAAGCTGTCGGGTGCTCCTGTCTTCACCAGCTTCAACTGTTTTCTGGAGTCTAGGCTCGGTTTGATACTGTAAGGGGTCATTTGAGGGAGGGCCTCAGTGTATTAAGGACTGGTCAGCCGAACCAGTATGAGTGCACATGCCACAGCTCAAACAGAGGTTTGCCAGGTAGACTCGGAGATTCCAGAATTTCATCTTTGTGGCCCACCTAAACACCCTAGGCACAGCTACCAGGATGTGTAGGATGGCATTAAAGACCATGTTCATGGATTAGGAAGGCTGACACAGGCCAGCCTTCCTCACAGGGCCAGGGTACAGATCAAACAGGTCCTGAAGCTGACATTACTTGAGGACACCACACATCCCAAACAGCACTCCCTTCGAGTAAAAGCCCCTTCATTTGTCGGGCATCTTCAAACACTACACAACTTTCGGCTGATAACAGTTGAGTCAAGTTTGTTTCTTGGAGAGAAGAAGCCACCTTAGTGTTCCAAGCCGAGTCTGCAAAGCATTGGGTGAGGATTTCTTTAAAGTGACTCCAGATAAGGCTGCACTAACAGAACATTCTTCCAAGGAGCAAATGCATCAACATTGCAGCTTCTGCCTGCCAGGTGCATGAGCTGAAATTCGGCAGCCATGTCGATGAAGAGCAGACACTTCACAGGAGCTAACCTTTCCTCTGCCCACTTCCCAGCATTCCTTGGGTGTGACTTTCCAGCATTCTTTGGGTGTGTATCCATTCCTCACCACTGCCAAAGTGCTGCATTAAAACAGGGTTCGAGGCTCAGCCATCTTACACCTGAGGAGGTTGCCACGGTAACATTATTTTGTTCTGCCAGTCAGAGTCGTGTCTTCCTTCTTTCTAAGATGTACACAGTTCGTCTAGAACAGCACTTGGGGCCATCTTCATTTTGTGGGGTCAGGGAGGGCATCAAAGGAGAAGCGTCACTCAAGCTTGCTGTCACAAGCATTTTCTGTCTGTGTCCTTGTTTGATTCTCATTGGAAGACAAATCTATCCAAGCCTTGTGTGTAGCATCAGCTTTGTTCCACAGTATACTTACTCATTGCTGTGCAAATCGTTTTACGGAGACTTTGTGTTGCTTGGGGTGAGACCCAGGGTCTTGAGTGGACTAGGCAAGGATTCTTTCCCTTAGCAGTTTGTTTGAGGCAAGATCTTACCGTGTCTAGGACTGCCCTTAAACTCGAGATCCTCCTGCTTCTGTCTCCTAGTGCTGGCATTAAAGGTGCTAACTTTTAAAGTAAACTCTCAGGGAGGAAGAATTGGGTGTCTGTGTTCAGGGCCACACCTCCCCCCCCATGTCCTGCTTCAGGGAGGGGTATACACCCCCCATTGAAAAGAAAGGACTGTAGGTCTCCTGACGTCTGTGTAAACGAGATGCGACTCTGGAAGGACCACAGGGTTCTGTAGTGACAAGGGATCATGAATATTGTCAACCACACCCTCCCCTTCTAAGGTGAGGACAGCGGAGCTCTCAGAGTCACACGGCGGCTTTTGTGGATCTGCACACGGTCATCTGTTGCTCTGGTCCCTGGCTGCCTATTGATGGCACTTCTCACACTTGATGGTGCTCGCAGATCACCAGAGAGCCTGTGAGGGCATAGTCCTGACCGCAACGGTTGGGGCAGGCCCCCGGGCTTCTCTGACAGTGACCCTAAGTCTGCAGCTTGGAAGAGAACACTGGCTCTTGAGCATAAGCAGCTTTCCTAAAGCTGGTGTGACTCTGATGCACTCGAGTCACGTAAATGACCTCCAGGCTCCTTCCTGCACACACAGAAGACACGCAGGCCTCTCCTGACTCTGCACGGCAGTCACACTTTATAGCAGAGCACTGTCATAGGACAAGGACGTGTGGAGTAGCTGACTGGTAAAGGAGCCACTCAGCATGCATGGTGTTGGCTCAAAGCCAATGTGCTTATTGTGTCCCTTCAACCTAGAACAAGCCGAAACTGATCATGAGGAAGAGATAGTGTTTGTGTATAAAGCACAGCTACAACAATTGAAGGGCAGTATCTAATTTAAGCCAGCACTAATCATGGTGTTTCCCAGGTTGTGGGAGTCTGTACAAATCGTGCGCGTTAGAAGCTGGGAAAGCTTAAAATGTTCATTAGTGTTTTCCTTTAAATTCTGGTAAACAGATATTTGGGCATGAATACCACCTATTGGTATTCTCGGTGGCTTGTGACTGGCCCTTGGTCAAAAAGAAATGAAGTTTGTGAGAGGAAAGATATGCTGGTCCCAGAGTAGCCTGCTGTTGCTTATGAAGACTAGAAGGGGTTTATTTATATGCTTGGAAATGATACGCTGTGGTTTTGAGAATGGCTGCCTGGGGAACATTAAATAAAGAATCCCGTACTGGGTTTGAATCCAGCCCTATCGCCACTGTGAGACGCTCGTTTCTGTATGTCCAATGGTATCTGGTGGTATGGTGGGAGCTTGTTTGATGACGCTGTGGGAGCTGCTCCTGTCTCAATGCCCCCCCCACCATTCCTGACTTTCTCAAAGCTCTGTTCCGGTGTGTTCCAGGTTGCTCAGAAGGTGCTGAAGAACGCCAAACAAGCATGCCAAAGATTGGGACAGTACAGAATGCCATTTGCTTGGGCAGCAAGGTAAGGGAGACCGCATTTTATATTTGGGATGGACCAACGGACAGATAGATCGACAGACAAGTGGGCCTAACTATTGAGTTTATTATCCTGAGTTGAGGAAGATTCAAATAGGTGACATTAAGGGTAAGTAATCACCAGATCTGAAAATGCATTTAGTAGTGTCGCAGAGGAGAAAGCCGTGAGCCAGAGGACAGCTGCCGGACCCAGCAGCATGGACAGGAGTTTGTCATTAGAGAGTCCCTGCACTGGCCATGTGCCTCCAGCTGGGATGGCGCATCTGGGAAAGTCCCACAGTGGCCTCTCTCTGCGTTCCGTCCTTGTTTCCCATGTGAATGTGTACGCTGTTTTCTCAGCACAAGCTTTTGGCTGGCACTGCTGTCTGCGTAAATCGAGTTAGTTGTGGTTGTCCTCATTAATGCTCGCCGCATTTGGAGATAATGAGATTTCTGTTGGCCCCAGCCGGTGGGCTCATGATGAGTCCCTGTTCAGAGACCAGAATTCTCTTTACTTTGGTCTTTGGAAAGCTGAGTCTTGAACTATCATTTCAGGACGCTGTTCAAGGATACATCTGGAAACCTGGACAAAAATGGCAGATTTTCTGCCGTTTATCGGCAAGACAGCAACAAGCTTTCAAACGACGACATGCTCAAGCTACTGGCAGACTTCCGGAAGTGAGTTTTAAGGTGTTGCTCGTTTCGTTTCCACACGTGAAGCTCTTGTGGTGGGGAGGGAGAGGCAGGGACAGTCATGCAAATTCCGCCACCCAGAGCTCATGAGAGGCGGGCAGGGAATGGACAGGGCATTTACTGCAATCCATGAGGGGAGGGACAAGCGGGCCCTGGTGAATTCTTGCTGGACGTTTTGGGGATGTGATGGGGGATAGGATAAGGGTGGAGGGAAGCTTGGGCAGGAGGGAGGCAACCTGAGAGACCACTGTCAGCTGACAGGTGACAGCAAGGCCCTATGGGGTGGGGGTGGGGGAGTCAGGTGAAGCCTCGGGCCCAGGCGACAGCGGGGACACAGGGGTTGCCCACCAATGATAAACCATCGCCAGGTTTCTGACTTGCAAGACTGATGGACTCTCCTGATGCTATTAAACAGATGTGGGGGAAGATGATCATTTACATAACCCTTACCAGAGCAATCATTCCCCCCCACAATGCTTTGCACGTATTGATGGGTGTGTTCTTCCCTAGGGCTTGCGCAACTATTGCAAACCAGTCAGTTAACACGCAGGAAGGTGTCCCCACTAAAAGCTTAGAGAAACATTGTTATGACCATACCTCCCAGTCTGCAGGCAACAATACTTTCTGCCTCCTCCAGCTTCCAGGGGCCAGGGCTCTCCTTGGCTTGTAGCAGCTTCACTCCAGCCTCTCTGCTTCTGCCTCTCCATGGCCATCTCCCTGTCTTCCCTGACTTACTCTTTCACGGGAGTCTCAGGACAGCACACCCGACCAAATGCCACCCGGAGAGGAAAGGGTTCATGTGGCTCGCACCTGCGTGTCACAGTCCATGGAGGGAAAGCCAAGGCAGGAAGTGAGGCTAAAGTTTCCTGGCTTGCTCCTCGCGGCTTGCCCAGTTTGCTCTCTTACATAACCCAGCACCGCCTGCCCTGTGTGGTATCACCCAGTGCTCTGGGACCTGCCACAGCAATCATTAATCAAGAAAATAAGTACTCCATACGCTTGCCTACAGGTCAATCTGATGGGCGCATATTCTCACCCGAGGGTCCTTCTTCCCACCTAACCCTAGCTTGTGCCACGTTGACAAACAACTAATCAACACAGACACTGAGCTTGGACGTTCCTTGGCAGTGCTGTGTAAGACATTATTGAACAAGTGGTGTATGAAGAGCCGTGTGTGTGTGTGTGTGTGTGTGTGTGTGTGTGTGAGTGTGTGTGTGTGTGTGTGTGTGTGGCAGCATCCTGTTTCCAGGGCCCGCCATGTCATGTTGAGCTAGTCACCTTGACCGCATCTCTTTTAAACGGGTTGGCTAAGCTGGTGGGCACAGAGGAATGCAAAGCCCGTGGCAGAATGTGTTTGCCACGGCTCTGTGCGGCATCCCATGAATGACTCCGGGATGTGAGTGGGCGGCTGTAGAGCTGTTGGGGTAACTAGTTGCCAGGAAGAGTGCTGAGAACATGCTCTTGCACTTACTCTGTGCCATGTAACGGGATCAGTGATGGCTACTCACTCTGTGCCATGTACTGGGATCAGTGATGGCTACTCACTCTGTGCCATATAACGGGATCAGTGATGGCTACTCACTCTGTGCCATGTAACGGGATCAGTGATGGCTACTCACTCTGTGCCATGTAACAGGATCAGTGATGGCTACTCACGCATTCTGCGCTGGTGAAATATCTCCATGACGTGAAGCTCTTAGGGAGGTCACATTTGATAGTGGAATCTGGATTCAGGAGGAATTTGGGTCGTCTGTAAGTGGCTCAAACGTAAGAAGATGAATTCTGATCAGTACAAAAATGAACCCTATGCTGATGCCCCAAAGTGTAAAGCTCATACTGTTTTTTTCAGAGAATTTGATTCCCAGCACCTACAAAACGCAGCTCACAACCACCTGTGACTCAAGTTCCAGGGGATCTCATGCCTCTGGCCTCCAAGGGCTCACACACACACACACACACATACACACACACACACACCCTTTACACACACAGGCACACACATACAGTGTGGTAGCTGTACATAGTTGAAAGGGGAACTTTTCCTGAGCAAATACTTCAAAGAAGGGAATTTTACCATCCATGGGGGTTGGGGGCCGCTGGTGTCAGGATGGCTGTGTTGGTTTCTTTGACAACAGTAGCAGCTCTTATCAGGGACAATGGGGAGAGTCTTCATTAGATGGAGTCAGATGAATACCAAACAAGTTTCACTGATCGTTTATTCCATGCCCAGCATTTATATGGCTTCTGGTTCTGAATGCTGGTTATTCCAAACAAGCCCTGCCTCCCTGTGGTGAAGCTGAAGAGAAAGGAGACTTTTCATTGTGACTTTTTGGTGATAGTGTGTCATTGTAACTATTTGGTGATAGTGTATCATTGTAAGTAACTATTTGGTGTTAGTGTATCATTGTAACTATTTGGTGATGTATCATTGTAACTATTTGGAGTTAGTATATGATTGTAACTATTTGGAGTTAGTGTATCATTGTCACTATTTGGTGATATTCTATTATCTTGACCTCTGCATTTACCTACCCCATGGGACTGAGGAGCTCTTGAAATACTGAAAAGAAGTCTGAGCCCCAGCATGCACTGCAAAACACTGGCTCTGAAGACTTAACACATTGAATTGATGACATACTAAAGTGATAATATTCTATAAATGTTGTGCTAAGTGAAATGCAATATTTTTACCTATTTTTAATATTTTTCATGTGGTTGCTACAAAGTTGCATACACACACACACACACACACACACACACACACACACACACACACATATATCCTTTCCTGGGACTGCCAGACTGCCACTTGAGAATTTAGACTTCACAGTTAACCTCCCTCATAATACTTGATTTTTCTCTTTCATTTGCAGGCCTGAGAAAATGGCCAAACTCCCAGTGATTTTAGGCAATCTAGACATTACAATTGATAATGTCTCCTCCGACTTCCCTAGTAAGTGTTCAGTTCTATGTAGTAAGCAACCCACACCTTTGTTTAGTTGGCTTTTCCTCTGGTCTTCATTATTTGGGTGGGATTTCTTTTCAGATTATCTGAATTCATCATACATTCCCATGAGGCAGTTTGAACCCTGCAGTAAATCTCCGGTCACTTTTGAAGTGGAGGAGTTTGTGCCCTGCATACCCAGACACACCCAGCCTTACACCGTCTACAGCAATCACCTTTATGTTTACCCAAAGTACTTGAAATACGACAGTCAGAAGTCCTTCGCTAAGGTGAGTGCAACAGTCATGCAAGTCTACTTTACCATTTAGCTCTTAGGTTCATTTATAAATGTGTATATATATTGGGTTTTTTTTTTCTCTTACATCTTTTTCTCTTACATACCACTGTAGGCCAGAAATATTGCTATTTGCATTGAGTTCAAAGATTCCGATGAAGAAGATTCTCAGCCCCTGAAGGTTTGTGTGTGTGTGTGTGTGTGTGTGTTGTGTGTGTGTGCATGTTAAAGAATTGGCACATTTTAATTAATACAAGCCAAATTTATACAGTGTTATACTGTATAATGGCCTATGCTAAATGTCATAGAATGTGTAGGTTGATTATTAGTCCTAACTGACCGTTTGCTGTTCTTGTTGGAGACGGGTTCTCTTATGTGTACATACTTCAGTAAGTGTGTATAAATGCCTACCATGCATCAGACATTGCCTAGGTGTGAAGTCATGATTTAAGTAAGTGTGAAGGTAGATGTATTGATAACCATGGCATTTTGTTAAGTAGCTATTACAGAATAGCAGCTGAGTTGTCTGTAGTCAGCAGCAATGTCGACTGATGGTGTCCCTGGGACCACAGTTGGCAGGCTTTACCCTTCCATTCACCGAACATTCATTCATTCACCGAACATAGATTCATTAAGACTCGTCATTTCTAGCTTCCAAGAAGATTAATTAATGCACAGGCTTTAAATTGTTCTGTGTTAATATACTTTAGTAGAACCGAGTTTTAAATCTAAGCAGTTCAGCTCCAGAATCTAAATTCTTTACTATGTTAAAATGACTTTCCTAGAAAAGGAGACAAAATTATTGCAAAAAAGCAATAATAGTCACTCTCAAGATAGAGTTTAGGCTGGGGATGCTGGAGTGCCTGCCTAGCAACTCAGAGCTCTGGGTTCTGTCTCAGCACCTTATAAAGGTGGGCATGGTGGCCCAAGCTTGAAACAGCCGTACTCCGGCAGTGCAGGCCTGAGGACCTCTGGCCATACAGGGAGTTCAGGGCCAGCCTGCGCTATGTGAGACCCTGTGGCAAAGGGAAGGGACAGAAAGGAGAAAGTGACTGGGAGAGGTCAAAGGAAACTTGCAGTTTAGGGACAGACGTCGTCATTGAGATCAGGCTGCCTGAAACAGGAGGTATTGAATAAGGGTTCCCCCCGTGTACTCATTTTAATGTGGACAAATATAAATGTTCACATGGAAAAATGGGAGGGGTGGAGGCAAGGCTGGGAAGCTCTCTGCTTCTCCGGGACCCCAGAGTTAAAGGGCTCGCAGCCCTGGTCTCACAGGCAGGCAGTCTGAGGAGCCTTTCCTTATGACACACACATCCGACCAATTTCTCGCTCCATCAACTGAAGCCCAGCGTTTGCTTTGATGATTTCTCCTTTTAGTGCATTTATGGCAGACCCGGTGGTCCGTTGTTCACGAGAAGTGCCCTGGCTGCGGTTCTACACCACCAGCAAAACCCAGAGTTCTACGATGAGGTAACGGCGCTTTCAAAGGCGTAGCACAGTCTGGCCAGTCTTGAGAGAGACAGGAAATTTTTTGCTCGTTACAGCAGACTGCAAGAGAAACTTGATTCCATGCTGCAATCACAGCAGTAGAATTGGTGTTCGTCTTACATTTTTTTTTCTCTTTAACATCTTTGTTATTAAAAGTAAAGCCACAAATTAATAAAAGAAAATTGCTAATTGCACCTTTAGTACCATAGCTAGTATTCTAGCAGAGCTCCTTTCCAATCCGTCCTTGACTTGAGATCCCTGGGAGCCTGTTGTTTTCTAAAGGGGAGGGGGAGTGGAGAGAGGGAAAACTGCAGTCCAGGTGTGATTTATGGAGACGAATAAATCGTAAAAAATTAACAAAAACCAAACTCATCCTTGAGCATAGTTACTACCGAACCTAAGAATCGTCCTGTTTATTGGTGGATTTTCTCCTATGGAATGATTTACTCTTGAACTGCTGGAGAGCCACGGGGCTGGCATGCTCTTGGAGTGACCTAAAATTAACGTGGAACTTTTGATTTATACAGAACTTACTTGCTACCCGAAATGTTGACTGGAAGGGCCTTGTCGTCAGCACAGCAGTCTGTTAACACATTATGTGCTCTTTGTAGTCTACATATGAAGAAAAGTTCATGAGAACCAGGAGAGGTCTCCTTTTATTGCCATGTTCTGTTTTCAGGAGAGAGACTCTGTTAGAATTTTAGACAGCTGAACTCACTGCAGGAGCAGTATAGGAGGCGGCCTTTTAAATCACTTCCAGCTTGTTCTGCCATTAATTAATACAGTTGTGAGTTAGCGTGTAGCTTCATGTTTCCTTTGATTGTGAATGTGTGCATACAATTTTGATAAATCTTATCCCAATAATCGATGTGTGCAGATTTCATGGTAGCTAGTTGGGCACTTGGAAGATGGCTGAGTTAGGTAAATGCTTGCTCCAGAAGCACGGTGACCTGAGTTCAAATCTGTAAGGAATACAGGTTTTTCCGCCCACCGCCGCTGGTCTTCCCAAATAACGCACCGAAACTCTGTATTTGATACAATGTTGTTGGCCTGGTTACTTGTTTCTTATCCGCTAGCTCTGTCTTAATTATTAACCCATTTCTATGTATTTCCACGTGGTCTCCTTACCGGGGAAAGGGGCCAGCATCTCCCCAGTCTCTCCATCCTGGCTCCTCTTTCCTCCTTGTCTCCTAGTCCTGCCTATCTAGCTTTCCTATTGGCCAACAGTGCTTTATTCATTAACCAGTATGAGAAACATATACAGAATGACATCTCCCATCACAAATCCTCTGCCCCAGTATAAGAAGCTGGGCGTGGTCACACATGCATCTGTAACTGGGAGCTGGGGGCTGGTCCAGGCAAGAGGACCCTGGGCCTGCTGATGCCAGCCTGTCTCCGGGCTCAAGGAGATGCCGTGTCTCACGGGAAGCGGGGGAGGACTAAACACCTTGCGTCCTCTGGCTCCCTTGCATGTTGGGTGTGTACTTTTGCTCACATGTGTGCATATACCACCCACAAGTATCACTTTTACCTACATATATTTCATGTACTCACAAATACCTAATTTTTTTTTTAACCCACAAATACCTAATTTTTTTTTTTTTAACCTTTTGGGTAATATGTTTCCTGTATGAAGTTTTCAAGCGGCTGCATTATCTCCCTCCCATCAAAAATAAAAAAATAAAAGATAAACCAATAGCCAAATTCCTCATAGGATCGTGGTATGGCACACTGAGACATGTGTGTGCTTAGCATGTGCGAGGTGCTAGGTTTAATTCTTCGAGCCAAAACTAAACCCAAGTCTCCGCGTATGAGACCCATCTAGTTGAGAGCCCCGTCGTCTAAGGTCAACGGTAGTTCGGTGAAACGGCAGTATATGAAGGAATGTTCAGCCCCAGCCTGCAACTGGGTTGTGTGCATCGTGGCGTCTGTCTTCCAATTTGCTTATCCCTGAAAGCAACGCGAGCCCTTCCCCAGTCAGTGAGTTTAGAATCCACCTGTCCTTGGGGTCATTGACAGCTTGGGTGTGTCTACATTTAATCGTAGGAAGAGTTTGGAGAACAGACGTCTACATTCGAGTTGGGCAGCATGCACCTGCTCCCCCCGGGGAACGTTGGCTGTGGTAGGATGTCAGCAAGTCTGTGCTTTTGCCTTTGCAGATCAAGATAGAATTGCCAACCCAGCTGCATGAAAAGCACCACCTGCTCTTCACATTCTTCCACGTCAGCTGCGATAGCTCCACCAAAGGGAGCACAAAGAAGGACCCTGTTGAGACACAAGGTGGGAATCCGTCTTTCTTCACCGCTTGGTTGTTTTGTTGCTGCTGCTGCTGTTGTTTATCATTTGGATTCTTAATATTCACCCTTCAGCAAAAAGCGTCCCTTTGGCCGGTTTCCGGGCAATTGCGCCTGGATTGCCTATGCAAATCGCTGGTTTTCTGACCACAGAGGCCATCTCAAGGCCTTCCAGCCCTTACTTTGATTGATGGTAACCCCCGTTGCCCAGGCTTGCAGTGGCTTTCCTTCAGAAGGGTGTGGACTCACGGTGGATTCTCTTGTCCTTTGTTCTCCACAGTCGGCTACTCCTGGCTTCCCCTCCTGAAAGATGGAAGGGTGGTGACAAATGAACGGCACATCCCTGTCTCGGCTAATCTTCCGTCTGGCTACCTTGGCTACCAGGAGCTCAGCATGGGCCGGGTACAGGACTTTAAGATCAGTTCGCTTTAACCCAGTTTCATCAGAAGGCATTAAAGAATGGCTAAAAACCACACACACACACACACACACACACACCATACACACACAGCACACGGGATTTTTATGCCCTTAACAGTTGGTTTTCTTTATTCATTTTGAAGTAAATGTGTGCAATTTTAGAGGCTGCTTCAGATGACACTCAGTGCATTTTATAAGCCTGGAGTGGCACCGCCATGACAGAGAGGTCCGGCATGAGCCTGTCTGGGAATAACCATCTCTAGTAATGATGAGTTCTCAGTTCTTCTAGTTTGATACAGACCCTGAGAATCAAGTCTTTCCCATGTGATTGTCCGCTCTGTCTGGTGTTACCTTCATTACATCTCAGAACCCTGACCTCGGGTCTGCCTAAGACGCACATGAAGCCAGGCATGGTGGTGTGCACCTTTAATCCCAGCACTCAGGAGGCAGAGGTGAATCTGTGAGTTTGAGGTCTGCCCGGTCCACACAGAGAGTTCCAGTCAAGTCAGGGCTACATAGTGAGACTCTGTCTCAAGAACATAAAGATACTGGTGAAGTAGGATTGATTCATTTCCAGTGAAATAGCCTGTCATCTCAGACAACTTAGGAAGCCCAAGAGGGAGGACTGTGTGCTGATGGGAAGGACCTGGCCCAGTACAAATGCAGACTCAGCTTCACTCTGCTGTGGCCAGGTGCACCTCTCCAGCCGCCAGAGCCCTTTGAGCCTTCAGTCCCCCATAAGGGTCCTCATAGTGAGATAGCTAATCTGATGGGATCGTCTCTCCATTTTTCTTTTCAGCATTATGGTCCAGAAATTAAGTGGGTGGAAGGAGGCAAGCCTCTGTTGAAAGTTTCCACTCATCTGGTGTCCACGGTAAACACTCAGGTACGGGTCAGCCTTCTCATTGCAATGATTATCATGTGACCAAGTTTATGTAAAACAGATTCCTGATGCCCTATGCATATATTTTTGCACTATAGGCCTCTGGAAAAAGTACATGGAAGGTGGCTTATGTGTGCAGGAAAGAAATGTATGTCTGACATTTTCCAACAGCTTTCCTCTGTTGGAGCGACCTTTAGGTGTCATTTGCACACGGTCAACTTTATAATCTTAAAAAACACTCATAGGGCTGGATAGGTGAATGCCACGGTGGTTAAGAGCACCCGGTACGAAGTCATGAGGGCCGGAGTTCAGATTCCACGTAACAGACCGAGCGCGTCACACGTGCTCTTCACCACAATTCCAAGGGGGTCAGAGAGACGAGGGTCTGCTGGCTTCCAGCTCTGTGCTTAAGGAGGAAAAGCCCTGCCTCACGGGGATAGGCAGAGTGGTAGAGGAGGGCTCCCAATTCCTTTCAACTTCCTCACACACACCGGTGTGGGAAACCCTTCACACGTGTTCCCAGACGTACAGGGATGCACACAGAGAGGGGAGAGGTAAATATTTATTTGCTCCCTGAAGCAGATTCTGCCTTTTTTCTAGAAGAATGTACTAACTGACTTTCTCCCTCCCCTTCCCCCCAGGATCAGCATTTACATAATTTTTTCCAGTACTGTCAGAAAACGGAATCTGGAGCCCAGGCCTCAGGGAATGAACTCGTAAAATACCTTAAGGTACCAGATGGCTTTCTCAGTCACTCTTTTAAATGACTTTGAAAGTAAATTGGGTTTCCTTCTAGGCGGTGGGTGTTGTTACTGCCCCCTTGGAAGCTTGTGTGCAGATGCTTTTATCTGGATCACCGTGGTGGCTTCAGATAGTGGGCCAGAGTGAACTCAGGAATAGCTCTGCCCCTGCCTGCGTGCGCCTTACTCCCTGTGTTCTCCCTTGAGAACAATCTCTCCTGCACTCCTGCACCAGACACCGACCTTTGCGTGGTTGTGTACCGGCTGAACACAGGAAAAGCCATCCCGGCTCAGCCTGTTGGGTGCTACTATAGCAGAATGCCCGCGGCCGTTCCTAAAGAACAGAAAGTATTTTCTCACAGTTCATAGGGCTGTGAGAGGTTCGAGACAAGAGTTAGGTGGTGGGGATGAGGAGGGGGAGCCAAACCCACTCCTACCATAAGGAGCCCACTCTAGCAATCTCAATGATTGCTTCCTGAAGGCTGAGCCCCGTGGCCTGATCACCTCCTCTTGCTGATTGTGTATTGGGGATTAAGTTTCTATCCCAAGCTTTGAGAAGGACACACTTAAATCCTAACAGTCCTGAGAAATGGGGTGGAGACTCATATTTGGTCTAATCAAGAGAAAACAGCCTATGAATTTAAAAAAAATGAACACACTTGCCCATTATGACCGTTAGCCTCTCCTCCACTTCAGTGACAACTGCTGTGATCATCCCCCTCTTGGTTACCAGCTTCTCTCCTGCCTCTCTCTGCTTTTGTGATGACATTGGTCCACGGTGTACACCCTGTTAACAGTCCTTCTTCCCCGACACCGTGGAACATCTTCACAGATCCTGCAAGTCCATTCTGCATGCCCTCAGCCTCCCATGTATTCTAGAGGAAGTTCTTCTGCCCTTATCTGAAAAGAAGTGGATATTGCCTTATAACACAATGGGGTGTGGTGGCATGCAGCTGTTGACCCAGGCACTTGGGAGGCTGCAATGTGAAGGTCACCCACAGCCATGAATTCCAGCTCAGCCTGGGTCACATAGCAGGACCCCGTCTCAAAGAGAATAACTGAAATAAAATAGATTGATAACAAAAAATAAATAAATAAAAACATAACATAACCTGTCTCACCATTCTCTGTGTGCAGAGTCTACATGCCATGGAAGGTCATGTGATGATCGCCTTCCTGCCCACCATCCTAAACCAGCTGTTCCGAGTCCTCACCAGAGCCACCCAGGAGGAGGTTGCAGTTAACGTGACTCGGTAAGGGAGGGGATGGGTGGATGGGTGGACTGACCAACGGACGGACGGACAGACAGACCGACCCATACATGCCCTTCTTCCCTTCGGTCCATTCACGCCTGGAGCCTATCTGGGACGCTAGTGTATGCTGATCATTACCCTGGAAAGGCATCTTTTAATCTTGCGCTGAGGCACCCCGTCTGACTCCTTGTCTGCTTGTTTGCTAAGTGCCTACAGCATCTCCATTGTTCTGCTGTGAAGATGATGAAATGCCCCCGTGCCCATGCTGCTACTCATTGCTGTGTTCATTCCTGTGATGTGTAGGGTCATTATTCATGTGGTTGCCCAGTGCCATGAGGAAGGATTGGAGAGCCACTTGAGGTCATATGTTAAGGTATGTAAAATAAATAAGTCAAGCTGCTACAATCACTTGCAACTGTGGCTCTCCAAGTTTCCTTCCAAAGACTTTTTCTCTGACAGGCCTTATTATTCAGGGGTGCATTGGGAATTTAAAACCTACGTGTTCTCTGTGGCCCCTCCACCACCACCAAGGCTTGTACTTGGGGGGGGGGCGGGGAGTTGGAAAAGAGGCAGCCATTCCTTCATTTTCTGAATTCCACCTTTTAAAAGACGAATGTATCCCAACTGGTAGGGGAGGGAAAGGATAATTGTTTTAAGTGATCTCCGGTAGATGTCTTGATACAGTAGCAATCTTTATATTCCTTTTTAGGCCACCCAAAATTCCCAGCGTTCCTGCTGCTTTTGAGACTGGAAGGTTAACTCTGGCCACGATCAAATAAAAAGGCTATGTGGAATAGCATGAGATGTCATTGGGATAAATAGCAATAGGGTCTTACGTAGTGTTAAATAAGCATAATGACAAACACCATTCTAAAAAGTGTGAGTTTTGACTCAGTGGTTCTTTGAAAACTAAAATTTGGATTCACCCTGGATCTGTTACTGTGTCCTGTGACACGTTCCGGGAAGGTCCCGTTACAGACATTGGAATGGTGTGCTAGATGGGCTCCAAACTGATTCGGATGGGTATCAGGCTTTGGGTGGGTTCCCTGGAGACATCCTGGACGCTCTTTCTGTCACATCACAATCACCGTGCCCGCCTCCGTTTCCATCCCTTCTCCCACCCTTGGATGTGCGCCGCCGTCCCCATCTCCGTTCCCAGGGGCCTTACAAGCTTTCTGCCCTCAGCTTGAGAGAACCGGCCAAGTAAAGGCTCCTTCTCCCTTTTTTTTTTTTTTTCAAAGTTTGCCTATAAGGCTGAACCATATATTGCGTCTGAATATAAGACGGTGCACGAGGAACTGACCAAGTCCATGACCACCATTCTGAAGCCTTCTGCTGATTTCCTTACTAGCAACAAACTTCTGAAGGTAAGATGGGGACAGCCTGGCTCTCCTCAGCGCTAGAATTGGTCTCCAATTGCATGGATGCTTGTGTGGCATGTGTGAGGTCTCGTCTCATCTGCCAAAACAACAACAACTCACTGACTGATGAGGGGCTGGGCTGGGCAGGTCGATGGGTGGGTACCGAGAGTTGCTAAGGCACAGAAAACTCTCCAGCACTGCTGCAGAGCACAGTGAGGGCAGGAGACAGTAGGTACTGCGTGTGCAGCTTCCTTTTATTTCTAGGACTATGAAGAAATGAGAAACGTTAAAGTTGGATGTACTTGATCTGAGTTGAGCATTAAATGTTGCCCCGATAATGCACGTAATTTTCATGTCACAGTTAAGTAAATTGAGAGCCAGCTGTGGTGGCACATGCCTGTGGTCCCAGCTACTCAAGAGCCTAAGTAGGAAGGATTTTGTAGTAGTCAGTCAGTCTTCTGTTGCTATGAGAAACACCATGACCAGAGGCAACTTCCTGAGCAAAGTTCACTTCAGCTTTTGAGTACATATGGTGGTGGGGGGGGGGGGGAATCTGACTGAGCACATCTTCACACACACACACACACACACACACACACACACGAGACAGAGAGAGAGACAGGGACAGAGACAGAGAGAGACAGAGGCAGAGGCAGAGAGAGAGCGAGAGAGAGAGAAGTGGAGCAAGGCTATAAACATCCGGTGACGTACTTCCTCCCGCAAGGCCACACCTCCTAAAGGCTCCATGACCTCCCCAGACAGCTCCACCAACTGGAGACCAAGTGTTCCAGCCTGAGTCCGTGGGGAACATTGTTCTTTCTAAACCCAGTAGATCCTGGTTAACATGTATCTGGAACTGTGTCTGGGGGGGGGGGAGGAGTCTTTGCTAATTAACTCTTTTCAAAAGCCAATTAATGAAAACTAGGTATGGTGGCTCACACCCGTGACCCCAAAACTGGGAAGACAGGCATGGGGTCCTGTCTTGCATTATGAGTTACGATCAGCATGAGCTGAGACTCTCTCCCTCTCTCTCAGTGAAAAAAAATAAAACTACAAAAGTGAAGGAAAAGAGAAGTTAAATTCCACGGCCTAATCAACTAAGCCTATTCGTATGTGTTTATACAGTTGTTACCGACACTGCTAAATCTGTGTGATCAGAATCCGGGTCCACACTTGCTAGTTGGGTCTCAGATGAGAGCTGTAAAGAATGAGTTAGCATATTTAACGTGGTATCGCCCCTCTACTGAAGTCGTGGGGGACACTGATAAAGATAACGAAGGCGGCGTCCCTTCATTGTTGGAGGGGAGACCCGGAGAATGATGGGGCTTCTTGCTGCAGAGCTGTTGAGTCTCCAGGGCAGACGTCTGCCTCCCGCCCTTGGATCTGACGAGTCTGCCAGAGAGTCCAGTGTGTTTTAAGGTCCACACTTGCCTCTCTTCGCTAACGTCATCGGTGCGGGAGAGTTCGCCTGTTTCCTAACAGGGTGTCATCTTTTTCTTCTCTCTTAGTACTCTTGGTTTTTCTTTGATGTGCTGATAAAATCCATGGCTCAGCATTTGATAGAAAACAACAAAGTGAAGGTATGTTACTCCAACTGGGGGGCTTGTTTGTGGTGGGAAAATGTCTGTCACCGGGTTGGTGGTCCACGCCTATCTGTGATTTCTGTGCGCCAGGGACAGGCTTGTTTTATGTGCTATACTGTCAGTAAAATGTTTTACAGCCCTGCTAGGGAAGGGCGGTTTTTTACACGAAGAAACCGAGGCTGAAATGTTTGAGTTATTTGCCGCAGCCCTGCAGTTAATGAGCGGAAGGATGAGTCTGGCAACATGCCCGGTGTAGACGGAGTTTCTGTCCCGTAGCCCGTTGTCCAGAATAAACACAACACACAGAGGCTTATAATGTTTGGCCAGTGGCTGAGGCTTCTTACTGGCTAGCTCTCTCTTAATTATTAACCCATTTCCATTTAACTATATATTGCCACGAGACTGTAGCTTACCCATAAATGCTCCAGAAGGTTACTCCTTCGGCAGCTATATGGTGTCTCCTCTTCCCAGCCTTCTCGTGGTAACCCATCTATAACTAGCATTTATTTACCAGACAATAAGAGAAGCATATATATTCACAGCATACAGAAGAACATCCTGCTCCAAGGCCTGGGTTGCTGGCTGCTTACTAGGTTATTAAATCCAAAGAAAAGTGTGCCTTTTTCTTTGACTAGCTTAGAAATCTTCAAGCTCTTTGGACTGGGACCAATTAAGCATTGGTGTGAAATGCCATCATCTGGTGTTTATCAGGTATCTTAACCATGGTAGATGCTTCAGTCTGCAGATGGTTGAAAGTATCACCAGCCGCTGATCCTCCAAAACCGAATAATACATTCTGATATGTGTAGGCTGTGGTTCTGTTCCCCATGGGCCCGCCACCCATTCAGGCCCAAATAAATACACCGGGCTTCTGTTAGCTATTAACTGTTCGGCTGATGGCTCAGGCTCCTTCCTGGCTAGCTCTCTCTATTAGTCTATGTATTTCTGCATGGCCTTATCTTACCAGGGAATGCCCGGCGAGTCCTACATGGTGTCCCCTCCTCTCCCCAGCCTTCTCCTTGTCCGGTAGCCCTGCCTGTACTTCCTGCCTGGCTACTGGCCAATTAATGTTTTATTCATCAACCAGTAAGGGAAACATACATACAGAAGAACGTCCTCATCCTGTAAGCTTCATCTCTCTGGGGCAGATAGACGTCCAGTGCCTCCTTTGGGGAGTACCTGGGTGTGTGCGCTTACGTGACGTGACCTTGGTTCCCACTACCACATTTGGTCCCTTTGTCCTCGTGAGGCTCATTCCCGCAAACAGCTGGTCTTGTCTCCGGACAGGTTAGGATGTGGCCTTCGGTCTCTCCGGGGGTCACGGCAGCTTCCATGAATTCCTAATGCAGGGCGCACAGTGACATTGTCTCTCTCTGTCTGGTGACCGAAGAGCTGCTTCTGAGACAGGAGTTGGGAGATGTCCCTGTGGCCGTGAATGGTGGCCCTGTTGCAGCTGAGGGTGTGACTGAGAACAGGAGGAGCCTGTGTGAGCTTGGGTCGCGTGTCTGTGTTGTGATCGCATGGCGGGAGAGGCTCAAAGACCTTGGCCTTTTGCTCGAGACTCTGGTTCCTCAGAGGAGGCCTAGGCGAGGGCCACCAGATTTTGCCGGCCAGAGGGTTGGTGGCCCAGAACCAGCGTACTTCACCTGTTGGGTGGGCATCGACCCTCGCCAGCCGGTTTCTTTGTCTTTTGTTTCTCAATGCAGCTCAAAGATTATGAACCTGGTGCATGGGGAGGGGGGCGATGCCAGGTGGAGGAGAGGAGTGTGCTTGCCTTGCGCAGAGATGTGCACCCTCTAAATTCATGCCAGGGAAGAGTCAAGCACTGCAATGTGTGCTCTTTCTTACGCGTACTATATTATTCTTCAGTTAAATATGTCACAAGCGCAACAGGATTGTAGCCGGGGTTTTTCCATCGTTGCCGCTGTAGAGACCACCGGTTAGACAATGCGTTTATTTCCCCAGAGGGAAGAGGCTGGGAGTTCTAGGTCAAGGTTTCCGTGTCCTGTGATAACACCTGTCACGTCGGATTGTGCCCACCCTGGTGACATCACTTCTCCTTAGTCTCTTCTCTAAAGACCCTACTGGGATATTTCCGGAGTGCCACAACTTAAGCATACGTAAGGGCTGGGGTGACAACTCAGTAGGTAAAATGCTTGCTATATGGAAGCACAGGTCCTGAGTTCAAATCCCCAGAGCCCCTGGAGAGCCAGGCCTGTTAGCACATCTCTACAATCCCAGTGCTATTGTAGTGAGACGACCTTGTCTCAAATGAGGTGGACAGCCAGGGCCGATGCCTGAGGGTTGTACCTTGGACAGCGCATATATGTTGTGGCACATGGGTGGCTACACACGGGTGGGGTGGGTGTAAGCACTTACGGGGCTGGGGGACTCATTCTCAACATAGGAATTAGGCAGTGTAGTTCAACATACAAGAAAAAAAAGAAAACCCTGAGATAATTTTCATATTTTAACCCTAAATAAATACGATCCCTTAGGAGGACGTGGCAACTTGACTATATTTTAAGCGTATCTGTTTAAGTGAATAATGTGTCAGTGTTATAAAATTAAAGGCATTTAGGCGGGACAAGCACATGCCCCTTGGTGGCCACTTAGCCTTGGAATGACCCCTGCACCTTTATGGGGCTGAGACCTGGAGCAAGCAGCTGCTTGTGGACACTCCACCATCGGCAGCCTGTCAGCAGGCCCCAAAATCTCTGCTCAGAGAAAGTCCTTGGAGTTGCCAACTTTTCCCTGCCTTAATTGTGTCTTAGTCCTAACGCAATATTTAGAGGGTGGTTCTTAGAAGTCTTCAGAGACATTCTGTGCCTGCTAAGAGCTCTGGATTGCCCAAGTAGAGTATGGAGCCACAGCAGAACTGACTGAGGCAGATTTAGGAGCCCCTCCTGACACCGTACAAGACTTACGTCTTCCATTTTAGCCCTGCCTGGCTTGTGCTAGAGGTCCCATCCTCCTTCCCGAAGGTCTCCTGACACAAAGCTTCTGTGACTAGCCTCTGCACATATGTGTGCGCGTACAGGCATACACATACACACACATCACACACCACAAATACATACACACACACACATCGCATACCACAAATACATACACACACACACCACACACCACACTCATGCATGCACACACACACATCACACACCACACGCATGCACACACAGACACACACATCACACACCACACACATGCATGCACACACCACACGCATGCACACACAGACACACACATCACACACCACAAATACATACACACACACACACATCACATCACATACCACACACCACAAATACACACATACGCACACACACACACATACTCATTTCCAGGTACCAACTCATCCTGCAGGCACCCTGGGCCTTGGGCTGGGACAGGAGCCGATGCAGCTTGGGTTATCACTTTGGGGATCTAGTGTGTGGAGCTGTGGTGGACACCTTCAGGGTACATCTGTATGCGTTCCTAATGGTAGATGGGTGATCCTGCCCACCCATGTTGGCTTGAAAGAATTAATGTCTAAATTTGCTTTCTTTGAGTGCTGAACTGTGGCTAAAGGTGGCAATGTCCCCCCTTCCGGTCCCCAGTGAGTCAACTGCATTTGAACCATTCCCTGAAGAGTGGCCAGAAGGTGGACCTATGGCTTCTGATGCAGCACGTGTGACTGAGCCGGACTCGGGGTCAGAGGGCCCAGTGCGTGTGACTGAGCCGGACTCGGGGTCAGAGGGCCCAGTGCGTGTGACTGAGCCTGACTCCAGGTCAGAGGGCCCAGTGCGTGTGACTGAGCCATCGGAGGAGGCGGGTGCTTGGAATTACAAATTTACAATTTTTAAGGAAGGTGGTGTAAAACCCCTGGCAGTAGGGCCTGCTGGGAGGTTCTCTGAGTCCGGATTCTGGGCGATTATTTCGGGAACTTCTTTCTATGACTTAGGTGTGGTCTGTAATTCCCTCAGAGTTGCTTCCCACTTCCTTCCTCCCCCGCTGCATCAGCCCAAGTCCTGGTATCCCACAAATATCCTTAAGAGAGGAGTGTGGGAAGCCCAGAGGTAGGGATGTGTATGTCCTAAGTGCTGTTGCTTAGCCTTCATGCAAGGCAAGCATGTTTACTTAAAAAGTGCACTAGACATAGGCTGGAAGATAAGTGGATGGTTTGCGTTTTCCCTGAAGCAAATCTGAACGCTCCTGTGCCTGTGTGACAGGCCAGATGTTACATCCATGCTCCCAACCCTCACGTCTTTTGAGTCGTTATTTGTTAGATATGGAGTGCAGGAGAAAAATATACAAGGGCAAGGGGCACGCCCTCCACCCTGAAGCTGCCATGGTCGTTGGAGAAAAGAGATGTTCAGTTGGGACAATGAGAAGAGAGTCTTAGGAAGGCGTGTGCGTGCGCGTATGTGTGTGTGAGTGCGTGTGTGCGTGCGTGTGCGCGCATGCGTGTGTGTGTGCGCGCGTGTGTGCATGCATGCATGTGTGTATGTGTGTGTGCATTGTGTGCACGCGCACGTGTGTGCGCGCATGTGTGCATGCATGTGTGTGCGTGCGTGCGTGTGCGTGTATGTGTGTGTGTGCGTGTGTGTGTGCGTGTGTGTGTGCGTATTTGAATCAAGCATGGTGAGGCAGGGGTGGAGATAGGCATTGAGGGATGCCACAGTAGGGGGAGAGGAGAATGAGCTCACACAAAGGCAGCAGGTCATGCTCAGCGATGCCAGTAGTGTGTAACGAGTGAGGAAGAGACGTTGAGACAGTGCCATTCATTCTCGGTTTTTCCTGAAAGGGAATGAAAGCACGCAGCCACACAAGGTCCTGTGGATGGATGTGTACGCAGCAGCTTCCTTCACAACAGCCCACCTGTGCATTGGATGGGAAACGAAACAGATAGACAAATTGTTGGTGACTCTTTATGATGGAAAACCACTTAGTAATAACTAACAAAAATCAAAATATTTATTCTTTCAAAAATATAGACAATGTAGGTTGAGGGTTTTTTTTTGTTTTGTTTTGTTTTGTTTTTTTGTACCACCAGCCCATTTCCAAATAACCACACTGAGTCTATGTTAATTATAAATGCTCAGCCATGTTACTAGCTCACTCTTTTTCTTTAATTTAAAAAAAATATATTTTTCATTTTACATACCAACCCCAGTTCCCCCTCCCTCCCCTTCTCCCAGCCCCCACCTCCTCCCACCCTTCCCAACCCCCGTCCACTCCTCTCAGTGGGTAAGGCCTTCCTTGTGGAGTCAACAAAGTCTGGCATAGCAGGTTGAGTCAGGACCAAGTCCCTCCCCTCTACATCACAGCTGAGCAAGTTGTCCCACCTTAGGGAATGGGCCCCAAAAAGCCAGTTCATGCCCCTGGGACAGGTCCTGGTCCCACTGCCAGGGGCCCCCAACAGATCAAGCCACACAACTGTCCCCCACATTCAGAGCGTCTAGTTCAGTCCCATGCAGGGTCCCCAGCTGTCAGTCCATAGTCCGTGAGCTCCCACTGCTCGGGTCAGCTGTCCCTGCGGTTTTCCCCATCATGGTCTTGACCATCCCCCCTTGTTCATAGGATCCCTCCCCCCTCTCTTCAGCTGAACTCCAGGAGAGCTCAGCCCTGACTGTGGATCTCTGCATCCGCTCCCATCAGTTACTGGATGTAGGTTCTACGATGACAGTTAGGGTCATCACTAATCTGGGGAACCAGTCTGGGAGATGTGGACTGGCTCCTTGATGGTGGTGGTTATGCAACTCTGTTCATCTGTCAGAACTTGTCAGACTTTGCACTCAGACAGTCTGAATTTAACCGAGTATAGTGGTGCATGTCTATAATTCCAGCCCTGGGGAAGTCAGAGTTCAAGTCTAGCTTGGGCTACAAAGCAAAAACCAACTAAATGAAGTCTGGGGGCGAGAGATATTACCCACTGGTTAAGAGTACTTGCTACTGCTGTAGAACCCCAACCCCGCTCAATCCCCAGCACCTGCATGGTGGCTCAAAAAGCTGTAACCCCAGCTCCAGGGGATCTGACCCTTCAAGCCCTGGGTTTTAACAGCAGTGTCCACAGGGATGTGTGTGCCAGCAAGTCTGGGGCTAGGGCCATGTCTTCATGGAGAGCCCACACTGAATGGCACCCAGGTACCACACTCACAGCACGGCATGGAGATATTACACAGTATATGGGTTACAGGGGGCAGGTCTGTGACTACAGGTTCTGGACAAGGAAACCTTTGCAGGCAACACCCATTAGGACAGCAAGTGTCAGTGCCCGGGGCCGGCGAGGTCACTGCAGACGTGGTGACACGAGATGTTATGCCAGGCTGTGGCCGAGGAGAGAGATTTTGCTTGCCTGGGAAGTCTGTGTCTTGGGCATTCCCACTCTGCGTGCCAGCCCGGTATTCTACACTTTATTTTTTCCTTTCGGTTTATAGTGATCTCCATAAAAGCTTCTAATTACCTCTGTCTTTATTACTTTAACTGCCTCCAAGTGTGTGTCTTACCACATAAAAGGGGCCTTAATTTGTTTCATTGTCAAAATAGAATTCGTTACTGTAGCTGTTTGTTGTTGCCAGGAGGGTATCCCACAGGCTTCAGACCCCCCCCCCCCGCAACCATGGCGATAGGACTGTTGACAGCGTTACTGACGGGCTGATGGGTAAATTGCCCATCACTCATCAAAAAACTTACGGTAGAGATTCATCCAGGAATCACAGAGTAGAGAGGGTGCCGTAACGAATTTTATGTTACCAAGAGTTCAGCTTGAGCAGTTAGCAGAACTTCTCCTATTCTGGCTTTCTGTGCCCACCTTCACACTCACTGTGTCCTCTCTGGGGTGGGGAGGGAAGGCTTTTTTGTTTTGTTTTTTAAGACATCACTACTACATTACTCTGAAGCAAAATTAGCAGTACGTCTCTGTTATCGTCTGACACCTTACTAAATGCAGCCTTTCGCCCGGTGTCCCCAAAGTATCATTTCCTCAGAATGTAAATAAGGCCCCCTGTGCTGCATCAGCTGATGGAGCGTCTAGGATTGGCCAGTTGGTTTCCCACCGCGTTATATAACAAGCTCTTACTCCCTACATTGCTCACACACTAGCAGTTACACTTTAGACACTTGGTTTGGTATTCCTTCTGGCAGGGATACTTCATAGCTACTACTGTCATATGCTTCCTGGGGAGTGTATGTATGATAGTGCCGTTTTTGGTGGTGATATTGGTTAGTGTGTTTCCTGTTCATGACAGGTTTTTTAAATCCATATTTCCTCGGTTTGTAGCTGTTGAGTCAGCCCAGCTGTGAAGGCCAGTGATTCAGCCTTTGTGTGGATTCCGGAAGCTAAGCTAAGCATCTGTTAAGTGTTGCCATCCCAGGACACAGTGTTTGGTTACAAAATCCTTTGAACTTTTCAAAGCAAGTTTTAGAGAATTGATCCTACCTCACTGTGTTCTTGAGTGTCTGTATTTAGAAAAGGCTGTTAAAGGCTGGTTGTTAGCATTGGCTTCCCTGCTTATAAACCAAGGTGTTCCCTTCCCTTGGCTACTGGAATTAAATCCGTGGAGGATTAATGGGGGACTTAGCCCCCTTGCTTGCTTCACCCGTAAGTAGCTCTGTTTATGGAGCCAGGGAGGAGGCACTGTGGTCTCATCTGGCAGAGGACTTTGGACTCATGGTAGACCTGGGTAGGAATCATTCGAGTTGTGTGACTAAGTTGTGCATTTACCTGCCCGCCCCTCACCGCCCATTCCATGCACAAGTCAGAGGGGTCATACAAGGATTGAAAGGAGCGTACTTGACATTGTGAGGAGCAAGGGCCTGCCATGCAGGCATGTGATAATAAATGGAGCTGACTGCTAAGTGGTCAGTACTTTTTTTTTTTTTTTTTTTTTTTTTTTTTGATGCGCATTGAGAGGAAAGATCATTATGTGAAGTGACTTGCAAGCAGAAGGCCGCCGTACCCTTTAGACTGGCTGTGTGCACTCCTCTGTTTATGAATGCGTAGCTTGGAGCTTAAGCCTAGCCAGTGCCTTCCCCGAGGAGGGCCAGCAAGATGCCTCAGGGAGCAAAGGCTTTTACCGCCAAGCCTGATGACCTGAGTTCAGTCCCTGGGACCCACACGGTAGGAGTAAAGAGTCCTAAGAGTTGTTCTCTGACCGCCACACACACCTACTATAGAATGTATACGTGTGGAGGGTCTCTCATACACACACACACACACACACACACACACACACACACACCTACTGTACAATGTATATGTGTGCCCTAGCAAGCACACACACACATACCTGCTATAGACTGTGTATGTATACACGTGCACGCATGCACACACACACACACACACACACACACACTTGCTTTTTAAGTCTTGAAGAAAGAATATAATGGTGCCTGAGAAACGCTAGCCCCAGCATCAGAGGAAGTACAGGCTGCTGCCTCTTTTCCTGTCTAAGCTCTTGCATCAGAATTTCTGTCCTCGTTTATATAAGCTACCAAGTCTCTTTTTGCCACATCAAAGCCGTTCCAAATGTTTGACAAATTTGAGCATTTTTCAAGTACAGTTTCATATAGTGTACTACAATTTGATTTTTTTAAATTGGGTTAAATTTTTTTTTTACTTCCCAAAAATGTTGAGAAAATAGCATATGGAAACTTATTTTTCAGCAGACTAACTAGATTGCATTAGATAGAGTATAACTCACTATATCCAGCTGCAGACAAGTTAGATTAGAACTCTATTCTGTTTTGTTTTAATGGACTCAGAGCTGAGGTTACTCCACCCCTGAGTATTACAACTTAAAACATCCTAAGTGTTTGCCGTGAATCCCTTTCAGCTACTACGAAACCAGAGGTTTCCAGCCTCCTACCATCATGCAGTGGAAACTGTGGTGAACATGCTGATGCCACATATCACACAGAAGTTTCGAGATAACCCGGAGGCATCTAAGAATGCAAACCACAGCCTTGCCGTGTTCATCAAGGTGGGGGCCTCCAGGAGGGAAAGGGTGTCCGCTGTGGTGGGCTTTACCCAGCAGAGTAGCAATAGACGTGCTCTGCCAAGTAGAGGGTGTGCGTTCACATCAAGGCATGAACTAAGAATGCCAGGTTCTACAAGCTGTGGGTCTCAGCTAATGACTCTTGGCTTGTTGGCCCGCAGAGATGCTTCACCTTCATGGACAGAGGCTTCGTCTTCAAGCAGATCAACAACTACATCAGCTGCTTTGCTCCTGGAGACCCCAAGGTAGGGAGCGTGGCCCTTGGACATCATTCCTTCTGTCTGGCTGTTCCCTCTGTTTTCAGAGTTTTCTTTCGTTCCTCTGGAGGGACCTCGGTCCCCTCTTGGGTGTACTGGCTCTTATCTGTATGCACACATGTGTTAGGGGCTGAGTAGTCCTGAACGAGAAAAAGCCATGCCTGATGACGTTTGCTCTTCTGTACCTAGACTGACTTAGCAACCAAAAGCCCCTGCGGTGTGAGCATTTGCCAAGACCAGAGAAGTAACCATGTAGCCTTCCTCACAGATTTACCTTTATTGCCTTCCCGTTTGCCGGTGTTTTTTAATTGTGTAATTGTAATCTGTGTAATTGTAAGCTACTTGAAACCCTTTTAGACGTGAGGAGCATAAATAATGAATGCCATAAAGTCTGCTGACGGCATCATCTAATGAAGTGTATTCTTGTTTTTTTTTTTTTTTTCTTTTTTCTTTTTAACTTTTACACAAATGCCTTCAGCCATCCTAACAGTTATAAAGAAACAAGTGTTCAGTCCCCACGGATCAAGGAGCTGGCACTAATTGCTTGGGTACCTTGCTTCTAATAGGTTTCTTAGAATTCAATATGCAATCTCCAACGAGGTTTTCACATTTCTTCTTGCAGACTCTCTTTGAGTACAAGTTTGAGTTTCTCCGAGTGGTGTGCAACCATGAACACTACATTCCTTTGAACTTGCCTATGCCGTTTGGAAAGGGCAGGATTCAGAGATACCAAGGTAATCTGCCTCTACATGGTGTACTTTCTTACTAAGAGAACTTTATCATTTGTAAAAAGGAAAAAAAGTGTTGATTCAAATTTAATTCTATTTGATTCTATTCATGGATGAGTGTCTTAGGGCTTGTGTGTGTGTGTGTGTGTGTGTGTGTGTGTGTGTGTGTGTGTGTGTGTGTGTGTGTGAAAGTGGCTTTTCAGTAAACCTAGAGACAACCAAACAGATGAGGGCAGACCTGGGTTTGTCAGACATAGACACCCTGACTTGTCTTTCATTTCAAAACTCCTTTACTTAGCAGAAATCTGTCGTATTTACTGCATTTGCCTTTGTTTTGCTTTCCCCTCTTGTAAATTAGCGTTTCTTTCACCAACTGTGGAGTCAAAGGACACTCCTGTAGGTAGGTGTGGGGCAGAGGCTTATCCTTGCATTTTCCTCCAGTTTAAAAAGAAAAAGGGAATGCAAGTGATCACTGGACTGCTTCCTACGCCATCCATCCAGGCCTCTCTGCACATCCCATCAGGTTTTCAATTTCTGATGAATGGGTAAAGTTGCTGTCCACGGAGATAGGACATTGCTCTTACACCTCAGACTCAGGGTGTGCTCCTGGGCTGTGTCTTGGCTCTCCAGCATGCTGTTTCAAGAAGCAGAATAAGCAGACCCCCGCTTTACCCCCAGACTGCACCCCAACACTCGCACAGCCCTTGTCCGTGGAGGCGCCGGGGGTGTGAGGCACGTGGCTCCCCCCCCAAGCTTTTTGTGTTTGCATGCTGCTCCGGGCCCTCCAAGTCTGGAGAGATAAGAGTTCTGTGCATCCACTTCCTGTCACGCACTGGACTCTAAGCCAGGCACAGCGAGACCTCAGAGCTTTAGGGGAGCCCCAGCTATAGAGTACAGTCTGCAGAAACGGTACTCGGTAAGCAGCTGAACATGGTCATTCTGGAGAGACGGATATCCTTTCTTTCTACTGCTGAGCGTGCTCGGTAGGGACTGATGGCGGTGTGTTGGGGAGACTTGCCGGGAACCGTCCTTGGGACTTTCTTGGACGATGGTGTCAGGGTGCTGACTCGGCCGTCCTGTGTGCGTCCTGCAGTTTGGGGGCGTGTGTCGCTGCTGCTTCCGTTGACCCTTCCAGTAGGCTTCGTGTCCGCCCTTCCCTCTTTTCCAGATGAGCTCCCTCCGCCTTATCAGTGGTTTGGTTTGGTACACGTGCTTTTCATTTTAGTTTAAGAGAGACGGTTTAGAAAAGACTGTAGAAATCGTGCGTGTGTTTAATGGAAGCAGACAGGTAGGGTGTGTACGTTTGTGCCATTTATAAAATATGCTGACTTCTTTAGGGCTGTAACAGGCATTGGTAGCCAGGGAACGTATTTACTCAAGAAGTAAATGACATCTGAATAAATCATTTGTATTAATTCTTTAATAGTGTTTTATTTTTTAAAAAAAAAAACCATCTTCTGTAGTTCTGTTAGCACAGTAACTTCATTTTTAAAAAGTTTGTCACTAACATATTTTTAATGTGATTGCTGTTGTGTATTCTAAAAAACTAGTACTGAAGCCAGTTCCACACTCAGAATCCAGGGCAGATGTTTGTATTTTAGTTTGGCTTTCCTATTAGAATTTGAAGTGTTAAGAGCAGGGCAGCCTTGCAGAACCACCCGTCTTGCTGTGTGAGGCAGTCTCGTCCTCTGTAGCCACACGACAGTGGACGGGTGGGGACGGGTGACATTCCAGTGCTCTTGTCCTCTGAGACATCTCTTCAGCTCTGATGGGTGACATTCTTACGTGGCTCAGGCACCATCCGGCCCTCCTGAACCTCAATGCTCTCTCTCTGCCTCTTTACTTCAGATCTTCAGCTTGACTACTCCTTAACAGATGAGTTCTGCAGAAACCACTTCTTGGTGGGATTGTTACTAAGGGAGGTGGGCACCGCCCTCCAGGAATTCCGAGAGGTCCGCGTCATTGCCATCAGCATGCTCAAGAACCTGCTGATAAAGCATTCTTTTGATGACAGATACACTTCCAGGGTGAGTGGCTCCCAGAGGAGGGCTGTATGCATTGCTAAATGTCCTTTAAGTGCTGTAAGGGAAATAACCAATTAAATTAATCCTGTTAACAGCTTTCTTTTCTTACCGGAAAAATCCATACAAAAGCAACAGCCACTGTGACTCAGTCTGCCATGCTGTTGTTGCTCAGAGTCAGGGAGCACAATTACCATGTCGTCTGTCTTTTTTCAGAGTCATCAGGCAAGGATAGCCACTCTCTACCTGCCTCTCTTTGGTCTGCTCATCGAAAACGTCCAACGCATCAATGTGAAGGATGTTTCACCCTTCCCTGTGAACCCGGGCAGTGTACGTGAGCGGATCTGCTGGCTGCATCTCTGTGTCCCTGGGGCTGCTATAACAGAGGGCTGTAGACTATGACTCAGACGGTGCAGTTTTAGTCCCTCACATGGAGAAGGAGGCTGCAGCTGGGGAGGGGTGGTTCCTCACATCTGACCTTGCTGGTAGCAGCTGCTGGCTTTGCCCTTCTACTTTGCCTCTGTCTCCACGCTGTGTTCTGTCTTTTTGAGCCTACCCCCTTTCCTCCTCCTGTAAAGACACTAGAGGCTGAGGTGACGGCTCACCCAGTATGAACTCTTAATGTACACCCCGTTTATACGTGGAAAGATACCATTTTCAGGTATGATAACACTGACGCTCCAAGTAGACATGGATTCCAGGGGACACTACTCAACCCACTACACCCTCTACCCTTATTCTGCTAACATCATACTGCATGATACCCAAGGGAAATTACATTCCTTCTCTAACAACTGTAAGATGTGTTTAGAGTGTGTGTGTGTGTGTGTGTGTGTGTGTGTGTTGCCCACATGTATGTGTGCCTTGAGTATGCAGCACCCGTGGAAACCCAAATACAGCATTAGCTCTCCTGGAACTGGAGTTAGAGGCAGTTGTGAGCTGTCGTGTGGGAGCTGGGAACCCAACCCAGGTCCCCTAGAAGAGTGACCAGTGTGCTTAATCATTGAGACGTCGATCCAGCCCTGGGAAATGACATTTCTGACTAAGATGGAATCAATCAATAAACCTTAGGCCCTGGCTCTATTAATAGCCTAATTCCATCTGCTCAACAAAGTGCTCATGGTGGCACATGCTTGCTATCCCAGCACTCACTCAGGAGGTCACAGGAGGATTGCAAGCTCAAGGATAGCCTGGAATACATGTTGCAAAATAAGGAATCCAGCTCATGGAACTAGAAGCTGGTGTAGCACTAACCCTTGTCCATTATTGCTCATGTAGGGCCTGAGTTCTAACTGTACCCCATGCCCACTCTGGGAAGAGCCACCTCTTTGAGTCCAGTTTCTCTCCATTAGCTGTAAGTCAGTGACGTCAGAAAGAGAAACATGGGACACACGGGCAAAAGAGCCATACATAGAAAATAAATAAATAAATATTCTTGGAATCATCCTAGAATTCAATATTTTCAAAGCATGAGCATCTGATTCCTTGTTGTAACTAAACTGTAAAAGGCTTTTTCCTTATTAACTTACAATGAAAAGCAAATGCTCATCATGTGTGCGTGTGCACGTGCACACGTGTGTGTGTGTATGCATGCGTGTGTGTGCCTGTGTGGGCACATACGTGCATGTGTGTGTGCATGTGTGTGCGTGTGCACATGTGTGTGTGAGTGTGTGCGTATGCATGTGTGTGTGTGTGCGCACATGCAGATGCGTGTGGTATGTGCACATTTAGAGAACAGAGGTCACCATCTTCTTCAGTCTCCACGTTGTCGGGGGACAATAGGGTCTCTTAGTGAACCCACAGCTTGCTGACTAATACACTGGCTGCCTTGAGATCTGCCTGTCTCTGCTCCTCACCCCCAGTGCCGGGCTGTAGACACACTCCACCAGGCCCAGCTCTTACATGGTTTTTAGGAATCTGAAGGCAGGGTCCTTGCTCTTGGTCACGAAGCACTTTACCCAAAGTTGTCTCCTCAGCCCATTTCTAACTATTAAAATATATCAAAAGTTCATAAACCAAAATACATTCCTTCTTCCCCAAGTTCTTCTTCCGGCCTCAGTGGCTCTGTCTGCTAATGAGTGTTGACAGACATCGCTGGATTCTTTGCCTTTATATTCTCCACCGTGAGCTGATTCCGTTGTTAATCTGGCCACTGGGGAGTTTCCTGGTGCTTGGTTGGTTGGTTGGTTGATTTGTTTGTTTGTTTTTATGTGTATGGGTGTTTTGCCTTCATCTGTATCTGTGCACACACGCGTGCAATGCCCACAGAAGCCAGAAGAGAGGGTTGGACCTTCTGGAACTGGAGTTACAGGTGGTTGCATGCCACCATGTGGGTGCTGGGAATGGGAATGAAGCCAGGCCCTCTAGGAAAGCAGCCAGTGCTCTTGCTTAAGCCATCCGTCTTATCCCCAAGCTGACCTGTTGTTTGCTCTCTCCACCCTTAAGTAATTGTGTTCTAAGTGGATCCAGGTTAATAGCAGTCACGTTTCTGTCCCCAGAAACTTCTGTTTCCAGTGTAAACTTGACCCTCCTCAGCCTCGCTCTGATCTGATTATCCTGCCTGGATCGCCATCCACGTGTCTGTCCCCAACTCCGTGTGCTTCTCTGAGCAGGGCGACTCAGGACAGCATGTGACCTCCCTGTGGCCTTCTAACCCCGGAGGGAACGATCAGAAAGTCTTGCTTTGAGTTTCACCAAAGTAAAAGTCCACCTTCTTGTTACATTTAAAATTAATATTCGACCTCCCGGGACAGTGAGTTCCCATCTGAGCATCCAGAAGCCGTAGCTGATGCCTCTGACTCAGAAGGACAGGAAAACCTGTGGCTGAAGTCAGGAGTAGAAGCACTACCCTCACTCCACACGGTGGCGGGGTGAGGTTGGGGGGGCTTCAATGAGCCAGGAAGGCAGGAAATGGGAGTGTGGCCAGAGAGGGGATGGGTGGAACCAGGATCAGGCTTTGTTTGCCTCCTGTCCTCTCCTGTGGACCCTCTGCCACCTTCTCTTGTGTGCCCGTGCACACGAGACGCTGAACGTGTGATGCGCCCGCCTTCATGCTCAAAGGTCACGAGGCTCGTCCAACCATCTCTCACAGCCTCTTCTCTTCCCTTCGGCAGGTTGTGAAGGACGAGCCCCTTGCTGTGCCAGCCGGGAATCCGCTCATGACTCCGCAGAAGGGAAACACACTCGACCACAGCCTGCACAAAGACCTCTTGGGCGCCATCTCTGGCATTGGTAATGTTCCTTGCTCTTACTGACCTTGCCTGTGTCTTTAACCTCACAAGTCGTTAAGTTAGGGTAAGTTAGGACTTGGTCTTTCTGCCTCGGATACTCCCCTGGTTGTGGTCGCTGAAGCCTGTCAGGCACTGTGGTCAGGGTCCTGTGGATCCCTAACAGGGTCACACGGACGCAGAGCTCCTGGGGCGAGAGGAAGATTTGCGTGCATTATGCTGGTGAGCTAGATGAGATGTGACAGTCTTGCTCGTAATTCTGAAGGAGGAGGCAGTTTGTGGCTGGGATTTGATCCTAAAATTCGGTTCTCTCCGAGACCTTCTGTTCTGTACCCTTTTCCTCCTCCGTATGAAGAACAGCTCCACGGGAAGGAAAGCAGATGGCATAAATCAAGACGCAAACAGAGAAGTCTGTCTGTGGGGGAAAATGCACCCACTTATATTCTGACTAATTGAGCTGCAGCTTTATAAAGGCGGTGTGAACGGTGATAGAGATACCAGAGGGTTTTAATAGGAGGTTCACAGTCTGATTCTGTCTCCAGCCGCCCCTCTGCTAAACACACTTTGTGTAAGGAAAGCATTACACTGTGGCTTCGTGGCTAAGCCACCCATTAATGCTGCAAATTAGACACGCCTTTTATCCACGGGATCCACGGGACTAAGCCATGCCTCCCGAATCGGTGTTCTTACCTTCTCTGCTGTTAACGCGTCATCTTACAGAGAAGGCAATGAAATGAGAGTGCATCGTGACATTGGAAAGCCCGTGCCGATGTCTACAACTATCCTACACTGCCAGTTGCAGTCCTGGAGCTCATTTGTTTTTATGGAAAATTTACATGGCTGTATTCCCCATATATATGTATGTATATATATATATGTATATTATCGGTATAGATATAGATAGAATGAGATAGGTAGGTAGGTAGGTAGATAGGCAGGCAGGCAGACAGACAGACAGACAGATAGGTACATAGATTGATATGTAGGTAGGTAGGTAGATAGGTAGGTAGGTAGGTAGATAGATGATAGGTAGATAGATAGATAGGCAGGCAGGCAGACAGACAGACAGACAGACAGATAGGTAGGTAGATAGATACATGGTAGGTAGGTAGATAGATGATAGGTAGGTAGATAGACAGACGGACAGACAGACAGATAGATAGATGTGTTTCATAGATTAAAAGCTGATACATAGGGAACACTGGGAGCAGAGGGAAACCCACGATAAATGTTCCACAAACGTCGACTGTTGCAGGACGTTTTGTGTTTCTGCCCTGCTCTGCACAGACACAGAGACCCTGCTGTGAGTAGGGACGTGGCCTGTAGAGGGTTTGGTTCCAACACTAGCTTAGCTCAAACAGGTGTGGCTTTGCATCCGGGCTCCACCACGACCTGGTTGTCCCTTCGGAGTGTTTCGACTCCTGCGCCCTCTGTGTCCTTATTGCTAAGCCACCATTATCAGGAATAAAAAGCTATAGTGCAATGTAGAGTGGTTGCCATGGAAACATGTGCTGCCTCTGTTGCAGCTAGCTAGCTTGGTTTGCGCTGTGGTATCCATGCTGTGGAATGCATTCTCAGGACCAAAGCCTACCCGTGTGTTTGGAAGTCTCAGTGCTCTGTTCTCTCTGGCCAGTACTTGACAGGACCACAGGGAAACATTGCCACAGTGAGGGAATATTCGGCTCATCCGATTCCCTCTTATTCAGAATTCACAGTGTTTAATTCAGAGTATTCAGTGTTGGGATCTGAGATTCCTTGGGAAGGTAGCAAGCAGCCCCTGGGTATCCTTAGCTTGGTCCCACGGCAGGCTCGGCTTGCTGTGTGTGCGTGGTGCAGTTAAGAAAGGGCTTGTGACTGGTCTCTTTCGTTATTGAATTTCCACAGCCAAGCCTACTTTTTCAGAAGGCGACCACAGCAGCTTTCTCTTTACCCTTGGCTTTCTCTGTGTTTCCTCCCATGTAACAGCACCGATCCTCGTTCCCTTAGAAACCTCCTCCGGGGAAGCCACACCTGGGAACTGGGTTTGCTGCTAGATTAGGGTTTTGTTCTGGGTGTCTCTCATGAGGACAAGTCCCTCAGATGTCTTCAGAGCATGTGAATGAGATTTCCTAGGACTGGTTCCTGGATAAAAATTGCTCTGACATTCCTTCTGCTTTAGAGGACAACTCCTCTCAAATTCACAGTCCGCCCCCTCCCCTTCGCCTGATCTGTACAAACTTAGGCCTTCACAACTCAACCCCTGAGGGCTGGAGAGATGGCTCAGTGGTTAGGAGCACTTGCTGACCTCACAGAGGACCTGGGTTCCCTCCGGAGCACCCATGGCTGTCTGTAACTTCATTTCCACAGGATCCGATGCCACCCTCTGGCCTTTTCGGGCAGGTGCATATGCATGAAGGCGAAACAGCCATATTCATAAAATAAAAGTAGTTTCTGGTGTCATTCCCTGTGAAAGTGACATCACTGATTAGCTTCTGAAAACAAATGCACATAAATAAAAGTAGTTTTTTTTTTTTAAGTAGTTGAAATGAAATTAAAGCAATTCCTTGGTGAGGACACAAATACACATAAACCTGCATACCTGTGCATGCATGCACACATACGTTGTGAGAACAAGATACACATGTTGATTTTGAGTTGCTACATTTGAACCTGTTTGCCTTAAATTAGGCCTGCAATTTGGAACCAGGTCTGAAACCCGAGAACGGTGGGTATAGTGTCCATTTCTTGGCGCCTTTCACCTGAGTTCCGTGCTGTGCTACCTCCACTGTGAGCTACGATCGCTTTAAGAGAATTACAGTTCCAATGTGGGCTTAGCCTGCACTTCCTTTCTCTCCCTATAGAAAAGGTGTTATAATTTCTTCCTACGGGTTTCACCCAATCCTGTGACCGTCTACAGAGCTAGGGTCTCGAAGCCTTGCATGTACCTTACAGTACATGCTGGGAAGAGAAGGATTTACATGTGTGTTACACACGCATCTTTACCCATCAAGATCGTCTCCAGGTTGACGAGAGTTGATGAACCAGGGCAATGAAATTTAAAGTATGACAGCTAAGAGACTTAGAAAACCTGAGCATGGCTTATAGTCATCTGTCCATCTGCCATCTGTCCATCCATCTCTCAGTCCGTCCGTCCATCCATCCATCCATCCTATGTGAGCCTGTTTTCCTACTGAAATATGCAATGGCCCGTTGTGTTTTGCAGTCCTGGTGTTTTGGGGCTTGGGTCTTCAGCACTGTGCTCCCATAGCTCCTAAGCACAGGGCCAAGAATCTCCTCCAATGCCATCTACAAAACCTAGCCTGGTTCATGATAGAGCTCACTTTCTGATTAAATGTTTTTGGCTGTATTCATCCTTTTTGCTCTTTGGATCCCATCCCGAAATAATGTAAGTGCTTTAGTCTGAGCAAACAAAGGTAGCTTCCGGTAGCTTCCAGTAAGCGAATTAACAGTGCTTCACATGAAAGGCTGTTCTGATCTCAGTCTGACCTTGCCTGGGTTTTCAAAAGGGGATGTACCTGACACAGACTGCTGGGCTAGCTGGCTCAGTGGTTAAGAGCCCTTGGCGGTCTTGCAGAGGAGAGGACCGAGGTTCAACTTCCAGCACCCACATGTCCATTTATAGCCATCTGTCACTCCAGTTCCAGGAAGCCTGAGTCCCCTCTTCTGGTCCCACAGGCACTTTACGCACATGGTGTACGTACATACGTACAAATAAACACTTACATAAAATGAAAAATGTAAGGAGTATGGGTTTTTCCGCCTGCTGCCGCCTGGTCTTGTCCTGCCACCACGCCAGCCCCAAATAATACACTGAGACTCTGTATTTGATACATTACTGTTGGCCCGGTTACTTGTTTCTTATCAGCTAGCTCTGCCTTAATTATTAACCCATTTCTGCTGATCTATGTATTTTCACATGGCCTTCTCTTACCGGGGAGGCGGCTGGCGTCCAGCTCTCTCCAGACTCTCCATCTTGACTCCTCCTTCCTACTTCCTCTTCCTCCTTGTCTCCTAGTCCCTCCTTTCTTCCTTTCCTATTGGCCAACAGTGCTTTATTTATTAACCAGTATGAGAAACATATACAGAATGACATCTCCCATCAGAAAAATTTTTAAAGGGTGAAATAAGTAATTACAACTCTCAGGTCATGTCCTTGTAGATAAATACTCTTTCTTTTGCCCTGTCTAACCAAAACTGTGTCTTGCTTTGATTTCCACGTAGCGTCTCCATATACAGCCTCAACCCCCAACATCAACAGCGTGAGAAATGCCGACTCAAGAGGTTCTCTCATCAGCACCGACTCGGGGAACAGCCTCCCGGAAAGGAACGAGAAGAGCAACTCCCTGGAAAAGGTGATTTCTTTTCACTTAACACGGTCTTTCTTATGTGACGGGTGTGGCCAGAGTAACCTGATTCTCGTCCTGCTTTTGTTACCTGTGACCTTTCGGGTTGTTGCTTTTAAACACCTCACACAGCATGCAGTGGATGACAAGAGCTTTTCCTAAGGTTGTGGCTCTTATGTCGTTACTCGTACTGTTTTAGTGTGCTGCTGGTAACGGAAAACCAGAGCCCTGTCATGGAGGTCTCTATCCCTGGGGTCCCCTGAAACTCCGACTCCTGTTTCCAGGGTCTCGAATCCAGGCAGTGTTTACAATGGAGCATCTTGCCCTCCAAAGCCCCCAAAACCGATGGGTTAATCTTAGCAGCCGTGGTTGGACCACTCTAGTTACACCGTATCCTCTCCTAACACGCATTTTCTTTGTTCGACTAAATCGTCCCCGATCACGTTTACTCGCAGCCTCAGCCTCCCTCGAACTTGGTAGGCAAAGATCAAGGTTGATATCTAGGGATGTGCCCCTCGTTCCCAGAGCATCCTTCCTCAACCTCAGCACCGGGTTTGCGACCTTGTCGCAGATTCTGCGCCTGGCGTCGTCACCGTTATCTTTAGGCTCATGTGTGGCGATCTCAGTCCGGGTCTGTCGTGACGTGCTGACCTTTTCCCTTGGCCCCCGACATGCCTGCGTGGGTGCGTGCGCGCGTAGAGGGACAAGCTGCTCCGGAGGCATTCCGCCTGTGTCGTGCACAGTGCAGGAGAAGAGGAGAGCCGCCGGTCAGCCAGGAACAACCGGGTCACCATGGACTTTTCCCTTCTAACCGTCCCACCTTTACCAGAGGAAACACTGCATGCTACACCGGTCCCCTCCCCGCAAGAAGTACCGAGTTCCCTGGTCAGCCCTCCACTCGGCTCAGGGCTGGGCGATGCACCCACACGCTTTTACCACTAGTGACAGCCTTGTTTCTTCCTTAAATAGAAACAATCACACATTTTATAAGTTGAACCTACTCATTTTATATGTATATTTTTTTTCAATTGACTACCAACACTTTGAGGGGGGGATTTTTTTTTTCCCATTTGGTAATTGGCAAAAAAAAAAAAAGAGAAAGAAAGAAAGGAAGGAAGGAAGGAAGGAAGGAAGAAAGAAAGAAAGAAAGAAAGAAAGAAAGAAAGAAAGAAAGAAAAGTCTCTTTTTAAATTGGAAATAGAACCTGAAGAGTTGTTTTTAGTCTTCTGTGTCTTCAGCCAAGGAGCTAAGATTCTTACTCGGCTGTTTCGATGTGAAACTGAGCTTGGCTGCTTCCTGGTGGTAAAACTCCAGTCCCCCTCAGGCCCAAGCTTTCTGATATTGCTGTATCAATGAGCTGGCTGAGGAGCGGCCTCCACAGTTAGGGTGGTTGGCAGTTCTGTGTGTGTGCTGTGTGTCCCTGCGTGCCCCTTGGGGTATCTGTCATGAGTTTGTTTCTCCGTCCACTCTCACAGCATGCCCATTCGGTGCCCTCAGTGACAGGCTCTGCTGCAGGCTGGGCTGGTTCGTAGCCTCTCTTCAGGGCTCACTTCGATGCTCTGACAGAGAGGAGGGTTGTGTTGTGCCTTGGACCAGAATGGATCCTCATGCACATGCGTTTGGGGTCTTGTTTTGTCTTGTTCTGCGTGGTTTTACTTGGCATTTCAGACGATTTTCCTCCCTGTTTGCATAACGAAACTGTTTCTCGGGCATGAAAGGTGTATGCTTTCCGGCTTGCCCCTTAGTCAGAGCCATAGGTGGCAGCCAGCACATATGCCTCAACTGTGTGAGAGGCATCTTTGTGAACTTGGGCCTGTGGGTTGGCTGCCAGTTCTTTGCAGCTTGTGTGATCAGCCTGAAAGCTAGAGCCTTTCCCTTCCAGGGGAGAGGCGTACATCACGGAGTAGAAAGCTAACCTGCATTTCCTTTCAGCATCAGCAGAGTGGCACGCCGGGAAATTCTGTGGTTCGCTGTGACAAGCTGGACCAGTCGGAGATTAAGAGCCTGCTGATGTGTTTCCTCTACGTGCTGAAAAGCATGTCCGACGGTGGGTAGAGAGAAAACATGGCTGCTTCGCTTTGGTGGGCCATTTTTTTTTTTTTTTTGGTGGCATTTGTTGAAAATTTCAAATATTTAAGAGAACCTCATCATTGTTTCTTAATGTGTGTAGTAGAAATAGAATCCTTGAACTGGAGAATCCGTTACTTTTATTCTAGAAAACATTCTAAGATAGAAATGGGATTTTATATATATATATATATATATATAGTGTTTCACATAGCCTGAGCTGGACCTTTGTAGCCAAAAGTGATTCTGAACTTCTGATCCTCCTGTCCCCCCCCCCACCATCCCCCAGAGCCCTGGGATGAGGCACAGGCTACCACACCTGGTTTCCAGTGTATGCAGTGATAAAGATTAAAACCAAGTCTTCTAGATATGTATGCCCCATTCTAGAAATTCAGGGTCATAAAAAATACTCTCCATATTTCCTTTAAAGGGTAGCGTTAAAAAAAATTTTCACTCAGCCAGGGGGTAGTGGTGCACGCCTTTAATCCCAGAACTCCCCTGGGGAAGCAGATATCCCTGAGTTCAAAACCAGCCTGGTCTACATAGCGAGTTCCAGGACAGCCAAAGCTGCTAAACAGGGAAACCCTATCCCGAAATACAATAAATAAATAAATAAATAAATAAATAAAGCTGTTATACAGGGAAACCCTATCTATCTCGATATACAAAAATAAAAAATTAATTAAAAATACATTAAAAAAAAATTTGGTCAGCCCTACAAATCTACCTGGGCTCGATTTGCGTGTGTGGTATAGAGGCAAGGGAGAAGGCCCCGGAAGAGTTTACCAGACCACAGCCATGGCCCCTCTCGACTTCTCCTTTCCCACTTCGAGTCCCTGTGCACTGTGCTTCCTCCAGCCCCCTCCCCCTGAGCAGCCCGAATCCAGAGCCACCAAGGATCCTGCTGGCCACTGGCTGTTCCGCGCCTGGTGTGTGGGGGCCACAGATGCCTGCTCCTCAGGGCTCACCTTCCGGAAGTGACTAGCCTCAACTCTGCTAAGTGGAAGCTAACACCCTTCCCATTAGTCAGATGAGTCACGCCTGGCCCGGGATGTGGCCACCCACCACTTGGATAAAGTCTACATTCAGCCATGGTTATCTAGGCAGGAAGACAGACGGGAGAAGTACTTAGCTGCTCCCAGCCTCTGGCGGTACATCCGTCAATGTGAACTCAAGTCGTCCGTGTGGGATCACAGTGAGGACTGGGTAGCAACACTCCTGGGAAATCGGGTCAGCACCTAGCCCAGCCGGCACAGCTCCTTGCTAGCTGTTGTCCCAATTTCACAGGACTGTTGTATCCCATGTCTTTCCGTCCTGTCCGTCCCTGCCACGGATGAATGTGGAGTACAGACCTGCAGCCATTGGTCTCTGTGCTCGCCTGGTTTTCAGCGTCACGTGAAAGGGAGCTGAATGTTTACACTCACATATCAAGTGAGAGCACCCTGTATGCTACCCGTTCACGCAGAGATTTAAATGTGTTTGGCGTTGACTACCCTGTGTCGATTTCAAAGATTTCTCCTGTAGGATGTAGCTGGTCCCACGCATGTGTAAACCCACATGCCAGGATATTCGGCAAAGCATCCTCATAGTAAGCTCAGAGAGAAAAAGGGTCATGCCTTGACGTCCATCAGTAGAGATGGTCATTTGGCCGCCCTTAGAGGGCATTCTGCATTTTGGCAGGGTCTTAGCAGGACCAATCTGTATTGTTCTTTTACAACTCAAAGGCAGAGGCTGCAGGGATGGCTCAAATGTTAGGTTAGGAGCAGCTGCTTCTTCTGCAGAGAGGTCTCAGTTCAGTTCCCAGCACCCACGTTGGACAGCTCAGAGCAGCCTGCAACCCCAGCTCCAGGGATGAGGTGCCCTCTGCCTTCCAAAGGCATCTGCAGTCTTCTGCACACACCCAACACAGGCACACACAGTACACGTAATTAAAATACATCTAAAAGAACTTCAGGAAAGCAAAACAGCAGACGTTTTCATTTTCAACGAATTCCGTGAAGAGGAAGGAAAGGTTCCGTAGGAGGGACATGGAAAGGCCGACTATGGACTGAAGTGGCCACTTACATCCTTCAAGTTCTCATCCGTTTGAGAGCACACCGTGTACAAGTTAAATGGGTGGGTTAGTACTGCAATGTAGCACTAGGTAATTTATCACTGAAGTTCAGGCGTCCGAGTGTTCTTTGGGTGTAGTGAGCCTGCTGAGTGTGCCACCCAAGAGAGCCCACCGGTGTGCTTTGCCTTTTGGTCCAGTATAAAACCGTCTGTGATGGAGACGTATACCCTTGGGCCTATTCCCAACGTCATAAGTGATTGTCCTTATCCCGTATATTGTTATTCTAACCAAATAAATGCTCCGTTTTAGATGCGCTGTTTACCTACTGGAACAAGGCTTCAACCGCCGAACTGATGGATTTCTTTACACTATCTGAGTGAGTGGGTTTTGTCCTTACCTGCCCTTGCCTTGCTCATCTTTCCAGCTAGGAGGTGTGAGGGACACTGTGGTTTCCTTCACGAGTCAGTCAGCGGTGGCCAGCCTTAACACGTGTAAACAATGTGGTCGATGAGAAACCTCCGTGTTTATGTTACTTTGATAAACCTGTACAAAATATTTCCACTGCATTGGTGGCTACTGGTTTTTGTTTTTTCTTTTTATGTTGAATCTAGAACCTATTTTGACTCCTCAGGATAAGTTTCTGATTTCACTTAAGCTTTTTATTATTTTTAGAAACACAGATCCGTTGCACTTTATCTAAAACAGCAGAGGGTAGATAAGTAATCGAATTCAGAATCTGGGCTGTTTTTGAAAATTTACACTTAGGGCTTATCAGCCTACAATAGCACCTCAGACAGCACCCCTCGGTCAAACACATTATACCCTGGTAAAAGAACGGAAATTCTTCGGTTCCATTGTGGGTTGTTCGGTTCCTAATTGAGCACGTGACTACTTAAGCCTCTTCGTGTTTATCAGTTTGCTGCAAAATACATTTGAGGAAAGTCACGTCACGTGGAAACCTTATTCTGAGCTCGGTACCTATTGGAGCTGTGAGGGAGAGCCAGGAGACCTGTCCTGGTGACGGGAGTGGTTCAGTCCCATGACCGATTCCCAAGGCTGACTTCAACGGGAAAATAGTCATTTCTCCATCTCCCCGGAGAACTCAGTGTGTTAGCTACCGCCTGTTAAAACGCGTGGATTTTAAAGGTTCGGTTTTGTGGCTCTACTGGAAACAGAGAGTTTTGTACTCGAATCCTGTAAGGAACCACATTCTATTGCTTGAGCCTAAAGAGAGAGCGCCTCGTTTAGACTCATAGCAACATGGAAGGTCTCTGCCAGCCCCAAAGGGGTGAATGAATACCTTTATTCCATTCTCCTCCATCCACGCCCACAGTTCTGGTGGCCGCATGCTAATGCTTTTCCCTGGGCAGAGGACCTTATATGAAACCCTGAAAGCCAAGAGTCAAAGGCTGGTTAGTCATCAGCACATTTTTGTTGTTGTTGTTATTGTTATTGTTAATAGACTTAAACATCGGACTGAGTACAACTTTAACTGCACACTCCCTAATGATTGCCATCTGTCTGCAGAGTCTCCCTGCACCAGTTCCAGTACATGGGGAAGCGCTACATAGCCAGGTACTGTGGGACGGCCTGTGAAATGCTGTGTCATTGTCTGTGAGGCTGTGTTAGAATGCTCTCATCTGTGGTGGTGATTGGCAGGTTGGGTCCAGGTAGGCAGCCCACGACCTTAGGTTGCTACCACAGAACGGTCCGTCCAGTCGTCTCTGTCACATCCCTACTTCCCTTCTGTCTTGTTTTGTTCTGGTCTCCTCCCATCGGGATTGTCTCTAGTGCACTGTGGCTAACTTCCTTCCAGATTCTAACACGCTTCCACACGCTCGTCTTTCTCTTCTGCGTGCTTCCTTGACATGTTCTGTTCCCTCCCCGGTGCGTTCTCGTCCTGCCTGGCTTTAAATCTGTCCCTGCTCCCAGCCGGGAGGACGACACATTCTCACATAATCATCCTTTCCTTAATTTTCCTCCGTAATTAAGAGGATGTTTTTAAAATCCTGTGTCAAATTTGAGGGCTTTTCACTGGCCTTTAAAAACGGAGCCTCTCCTTTGTTCATGTCTCCCCGCTGACCTGCCCTGCCTAAACTTCTCTCCCGTATCAGGAGTGCAGATGTATCCCAGACAGCCCTTCCCTGGGGCATTTCCTCCCAGCACATTGTGTCCTTACCTTACCCTGTCCGGTTGTCCTGTCAATGTGTGTCTTTCTGTGTCGGGGGTAGGGTTCATACAGAGCATCATAGTCTCGTTATTTTTTTTTAACAGTTTGATTATAAGTAAACTATATTTATTTTAAGAAAGTCTGCCATGTCTAGTTTTAATTGAGATTTGTTTTCCTTGTGGTTTGTAGCAGTGAAACAAAACAGACGTCGGTAGACGCTATGTTTCAGTGGGGTTGGCTTTTCAAACCAATACTGTCCCTTCTGGGGAAATTTGAGAACTTTTCGGGATTATGTTTCATGAAAGCTTGTATTCTCTTTTAAAGAGAAATAAATTCAGTGAGAGCATGTTGCACTTTCCTCCTAATGATATTTTGTTTTAATTGAAATGTGGTAGTTTTAAAGTTTTCAGGTCCTAACCTCTGTTTTTATCACCACCGTAATTTTGTTTGTTTGAGTACGAAATGCAAGTATATACAGGGTGCCTTTATGCCAATAAACATGACTTGCCTTCCCCTGTCCTGCTGCTGCCCCATGAGGATGGGCAAGCAGCACATCTCCTTAACCACCAGAAAGCTCTGTGCTTGCCGACCGCGCCATGCCTTCTTGGCAGTTTCTGCCCGTTACATCACAGTAAGGCATGTGTGTGGGCAATGTTCCGCCAAGTAAGATAGAATCCCCGAGCTTGCACTGGTGAACGTGGGCAGGTGCAGCTTCCTCCCTGACAAAATATTTTAGAATACTTTGTAAAGTGGTTCTTTCTTTACCCTCCTCCCTACAGTGGGTATAAATTTAGCTTTTGGAGGGGAAAAAAAATTATCGCTTTGTAAGTCCCTGTATATATTTGCATACAATAATATGGACTGCTTAAGAACGGGTGGGCGGGGAGGCGCGCGTAGAGATGCTGTTTCCTTTGTCCCTTGCACTGTGGGAAGACACACCCTGCTTCATACAAACAATTGTCATGGTCTGTGCTGCATGTGACCAGGACCCTGGACCATGACATGAACATTGCCGGTGTTTGTACCCTTCTTGTGATCCAGCGGCATGCTGCTGAGACAGTCCATGCATGTCCCTGTTCTACACACAGTAACACAGTAAGGGCCATGGTTGGCTCCGGGACGGGGGACAGGCACTGGTCTGGTTCCGTCTACTCTGGTGATGGTACACAGTAAGGAAGTGAGCTGTCTGACTGCTAACCCAGACTCATGTCTGTTTTCTCTACTCGGCTGCTTGACAAGTTTAACCAAGTGTGGCGCTTCCTCCTGCTTGGGTAAGAATACAGGTGTTCAGCTGACTCATTTAACCCCTGCCATTGCATGCATGCACCCCCTGCTTGTCTGGGTGCATCAAGTTTTTTTGCTCGTGCCGCGTACGTAGTTCAGAGGGGGTTTGCCATGCCGTCTTCTCGGCCCGTCAGATGCCGACTGTCAGCTCCGCACCGGAGCAACGCTCGCTCCTTATTAGAAAAGTCGCATCAGCGACTCGGAGTCGCTGTCTCCGAGTGAGAAAGACGCGATGCCTTGGTAGCTTTGCCGAGTGCTATCAGCTGTGTCGGAACTGCCGGCTGTCTGTCTGTCCGTGTCCCCGGCTGCTTGGCTTCCTGTAGCCCAGCTGCCATGCGCCATGTCCTCCCAGCTTTACTAATGCTCCTGTCTCGCTCCTGTAACCCATCTAACGTTTGCTTCTATCCCGTTTCGCTCGTGTTGCAGGAACCAGGAGGGGTTGGGAGCCGTAGGTCATGATCGAAAGTCTCAGACATTGCCTGTTTCCCGTAACAGAACAGGAGTGATGCATGCCAGATTGCAGCAGCTGGGCAGCCTGGATAACTCTGTCAGTTTTAACCACAGTAAGTCCCCATGCCATACCATCGTAACAGCCAGCCATCTCTGTGCCGTCTCAGAGGGGACAGCCCCGGCCACACCGAAACACATCACCAACTTGATTTTTTTTTCTTCCAGAGCAAAACGATTAGGAGAAGAGTTTCCTTCCTTGGAGGAGCAGTGGGGGGTGACAGAATGTGGAGCCCAACCAACTACGGCACCCAGCACCCGTCTGGAAGTGCTTAGACACTTTGCCCTAACTCCAGACAGAATCCAGCAGCTTCAGGGGCCGGGCATGGCCCCATTTTTAAATTCAGCACACACATTTGTTGTGTGGATTTTATACACACACACACACACACACTTCCTCCCATCACATCTGGGTTAGATCTGCTTGCCTCTCCTGCTCGGTGCGTGTAATTGGTAGAGCGTGCACAACCTGCCACTCCACCTGCCAATGAAATGTTAAACCCATGAATCAATTGCGAGGGTGTGGAGAAGCGTCCAGTAACAAAGTGACTTTTTCTGTGTTTTCAGTGTGAGAAAGATATCAAGTGTGCTTGGGATTTCTGTAGACAATGGTAAGACTGAGTCAGGTTGGGATCCGCCTCCCAGACCGCTTCACTTGTGCATCGGGCCTTTCCGTTCATCTTGCCTTCCTTCCTAACCATGGGCTTTTTCCTAGCCTCCTAGTCTCACAGTAGGCTGTGCTGGGGGTGGGGGCGGGGGGAACCATCTCTTAGACTTACTTTCACCAGTCACCCAAGCAGCTTCCGTTTCTAGTCATCACAGCGCTTTAATCTACCCAAGCGTTTCGCAAAGCAGAAAGCCTGAAAGGCGCCAGCCGTGCAGCCCGTGGGAAATTAACATGACCGCCACCTGTGGGCTCCCACTGCTATTCCTGTGGTCTTCTCAAGACAGCCCCTCCTTCTCTCCAAGCTCTGACGTAGCCAGTTCCTGTTCTAGAAAACCACGTGTTCTCATTCCCTAGCACTGTCTTCAATACATGGCTGTTAATATCGCCCCGCCATCCCTGACCGCAGTAACTCCACCCGCTGTGGTCGCCATGCCTCTCTCTTCTCGGTGCAGCGTAAAGACAGTATCCCCACCACCTTGTCTTGCAAATAGTCCCAGGACAGGCAACGTGAAGTAGGGAGTCAAAGCACAGTGCTTCTCAGATGTGGTGGTGCGTGCCTTAAATACCAGCACTCGGAAGGCAGAGGCAGGTGGATGGCTGTCTGTGGGCTCAAGGCCAGCCTACTCTATATATGGAATTTGAGGCCAGCCAAGGTTACATGGTGAGACACTGTGTCAGCACACACACACGATTTAGACTGTCCGAGATGACTCAATGGTTGAGAGTATTGATCACTGTCTTTCCCTCCAGTTCAAATCCCAGCACCTACATGGTGGCTCAAAACCATCTGTAACTCCAGTCCCAGGGCCTTCTGGCCTAGTGTATGGTACACAAACATACATGTAGACAGAACGTCCATACACGTGCATACTTTTTTTTAAAGAAAAAAAAACACACACACACACACACAAAGAAAAGCAAACCAATGCAACAGCTTCCCACCTCTACCAACCAAGTTAACCGTGATGGGAGCAGCCTCCCCCTGGGCCCAGCGTCCACTTTGGCCAGTGTCAGTCTGCCGGCCGCTGGACCGAGAGCCTCCAGTTCTGTCTCTGTGCTCTTACACTTGGAAGTAGGATGCACGTTTATGATACAGCTGTAGTGCTTGCATTCTCAAACTTTGTTGGGCCCGGTGAACAAAGAGGTCGAAGCCAGGAATTTTTTTTTTTTTTTTTTACTTCCCGTTTCCTGTTTTCCAGCAGCAGTGCAGTCCCCTGTGGCACACTGGACTGTTGGATTTCACTTTCCCCCAGATTATTCGTGTTACTGTCCGCTGCAACAAATGACAGAAACATTGGAGGATTTTTTGCATAAGCAAAGGAAGGCCCCATCTCTAGAGGTAGTCGTGTGGGAAGAATAACAATAACAGCCCCGAGAAGAAGCCTCTTCCTCCGGCAGATGGACCCAGCAGCAGGAGCTTGAGCTGCAGGGCAGACACAGTGGACTAGGCTAGCCTATCAGCATGGCTGGTTCCCTCCCTGCAGCCCACAGAGAAGCTGGCTCTCTGCCTCCCTGTCAGTTTTCAGGGCTTCGCTGTCCTCAGTCACATGTTTCTCCTGCTCTGCCAGGGACTAGAGTTCCTGTGGCCTTCTCTCCTGTCTCCACAGTCCTTCCTCCTCTTTTGCTGAATCACAGCATCTTCCAGGACTCGGCCTTCCTCTCAAGCTTTAGTTCTCGTTAGCTGGCGTTAGCCTTTCCTGACACCGCCTATTTCAGCTCCATAGGGAGCTTGGCCAAAAGCAGGCAAAGAGAATGGACGTCTACTGTGATATGTGCACAGTGTATATGGCATGCATGCATGCATGCATGCATACCTGCTCATCTACCCCTCGGTATTCTGGGGAAGCCATGCACGTCCCTTTGCAAAAACGAAAAGAAAAAATCAGCAACCTTAAGTAGTATTAAATGCAGCATCTTCCATTAATCCAGGCAATATGAAACATTGTAGGCATAAGTAGGCAGCCTGCCTGCCAGTTAATAAGCAGAGACTGGCAATTTCTTCCCTTTTTGTCAGACATCAGCTTGGCCAGAAGGGGGCAGCAGAGGCCCGCGACAGCCTGTCTTCTGTAGACCTGGCTGCCTGTAAGCTTCCCTAACTTCCCAGAGAGAAGGATGTGGGGGGGGGGGGGGATATCCTCTGCATGTGCTGCCCGTGGAACACTAACATCTCTGAAAACGGGCTATCTTAATAGGTCATCTGACGTGGTAGTCTGTCAGTGGCTCAAAGTTAAGAATGAAAGGCAGTTCCCGCTTGAGGTTAGTCGTTTGATGTGCTTAGAAGGGACGGGTGTGTGTGCCCAGTCTTGCCTTGGGTGTCCTCACAGTTTGAGGCTGTATACTCAGTACCATCTTCAGACTCAGGTAGCCTTTATTCTGCAAGCCAGTGCCACGACCCCTGTGCCTCATGGATCACCGCCCAGGATAGGAGCATATTTGTTTTCTCATGTGAATCGGTGGGGATGAGGTGGGGAGCTAGCAAATTATACCATGTTGCCATAGAATGTTACTCTGTATTCTATAGCCTTGCTCATCTGTGAGGAAAACCTTCTTGGCAATTAAATGAGAGAGGGAATAAATAATTCACTGTTGATCACACACACATATGTATACATATATATATATTTACATAAAACATTGGCACCTTATAAAGCCATATGCAATTAATTCTCGTATCTAAGGTGGCGGGTCCCCATTTGAGGAACCCTTCGGATAGGAAAGACTCCTTGTCATTCCCTGTTTGTTTCATACCCCCCCCCAGACTCACTGTGTTTCTGGATCTGAATTGTGATCCAGAATGTGGGAAAGTCAAAATTGCAGATTTTGGTCCCACAGAGGAAAGAGGACCATGGGAATGGAAACATAGCCTGAGAGACTGAGGGCCTGGCCCATCCCTCACATGTCCTGACCATCAGAAGGTGGCTGTGCCTGGGGGTCCTGCCCAGTCACTCTGATGCAGGGTCTCTGGGGTGAGGTGGTTACAGATGACGTCAGCAGAGTTGGTAGAGCTATCGGGCAGGATGGATTTGTAGAGTACGGTAGGTTTAATTAAATTCAAACCTAACAGAGGCATGGAGGTGTGCTCATTGTTTTGGCCCTTGAGTATTCATAATACTTGGAAGTTCTAAAACAAGTCTTAGTGCTGGGTCAAGGACCAAGCCGAAGTTCCCGTTATCCACATAAAAGCTGGTGTGCTCATAACCCCAGGCCTGACTGTATGGAGACAGGGCTCGCTCACACCAGCCATTCTTGCCGAGACAGCAAGCTCCAAGTTCAGTAAGAGGAGACCCTGCCTGAAGAAATAAGCCGGAGATGGGCGGGTGAGATTGCTCAGCCACTGAAGGCACTTGCTGCTGACCACTTGAGGTTGATCTCCAGGGTCCACGTGGTGGAGAGAGAGAGAGAGCTTACTTCTGCAATGGCCTCTCCCCTCCAAACACGCATAGTTTTAAGTTTTCTTAATAAAGTGGAGAGCAGCAGAGGAACACACGCAGCGTTTACCGCTGCCTCCAGGTGTGGTCACACCACACACAATCTCAGAAACAGGCGTGACAGTGGTCTGAAAATTTTATAAACGTGAGCTGTAAATGCCGAGGACTCCCAAACCAGCCCACCGCGTTGACACCCAAAGATGTCACCCCTGTGGCAGAGTCCTGTTGCTCCTGCAGGCTGAGCAGGGGTGCAGGGAATCCATACCAGGCTGTAAAGCATTAATTACTTCCCCCTAGTAGAAGGAGTGGTATTTACAACACTCACAGCTGACCCCTTGGGCTGGGACATGGTCTAGTGAAGAATTCACTGACGAGCATGGGGACTTGAATTTGACCCACAGAGCCCACATTAGAACCAAAACGGCCAGATGTGGTGGTGGTGGCAGCGGCGGCGGCGGTGGCACACTTGTAATTCCAAGCACAGGCTACTCCCTGAGACTTCCTGACTAGCCAGCCTGGCAGGCTCAGTAGGCCCCAGGCTACTAAGACGCCCTGGTAAACGAGACCTGAGATGGAGAGCTTGTGTGAGCTGCACTAATCAGTCAGCCTTCAGCTAAGACATCTTGGTCTCTGAAGACCGCTCCTTTGGATTTACTAACGTTTATTTTCCTGTGTTCTCTGCTGTAACTATTGGTAGCATCTTCCTGAGATGTCCTGTCTCAGGGTCTGTGACTGAGGACAGTCTGAGCTGCCATTGGCGTTAGGGATTTTAAAAGGATGGACACAGGCCGTTGGGCTGGAGGGATACCTCAGCCGTTAAAGGCTAGGCTCACAACCGTAAATGTAAGAATTCAAGGCCGTGTGACAAGCTGTGGTGAGAGATCAGATTTCCATATGACCTAGATGGACTCAATCTCCACAAATCCGAGTTAACTCCTTTTGTGGGAGGGGGGTTGTTTAATTTTTGTGACTTTTAGTTTTTTTTTCATTGATGTGGAGAACAAATGGGTTTCATTATGACATTTTCATACCTGTATATCATCATAGTGTGCTCATATATGCACCCACCCCAACACCCATCTTTTTCCCTCCAACCCTATTCTTGCTGGTCCCAAGAAATTGGTAGGTTGGTTACTTTGTCATTGCCATATCTCTGTACATGTATACATAATTCTGTCTCTTGTGGCATGGCATGTTGGGTCTGTTTTTAAAGCAACAACACATGTGAAATTCTGATTCTCTGTTTCTAGGCTTTGGGCCAATACTATAAGGCTTGCTCAGTAGGAGGCCATCTCATTTATAATGCCTACCTTTGTGCACTTAGCCTGGATGTATTATAGAAAGAAATGGGGCGAGTCTATAAAAAGAAAGAAATAAAAATTGCCAGGAAACCACATTCTTTTCTGACTCTTAGCCCAGACCACAACTCCCTGGGAGTGAACAGCACTTTCCTTAGAGGTCGCCAAGGGCTAGGGAAGTGTTTTCACCTGGCCTGATCACAGGTGTTGATGTTTCGGGGGTTTTGTCCTCTCTTCCCATGGTTTGCATTTCCTTTCACTGTCTCCAGTTCTTATCCTACCCCCCCCCAAAGGAATGCCTAGGCAGTACAGTGGCATTAGTTACCCCCCCCCCCAATAGCCATCTCTCTTTTCTCTAGACCATTCCTTGTTCAAAAACAGACAAACAATGGCTAGAGAGATGGCTCAGAGGTTAAGAGTACCGGCTGCTCTTCCAGAGGTTCTGAGGTCAATTCCCAGCAACCACATGGTGGTTCACATCATCTGTAGTGACATCTGGTGCCCTCTTCTGGCCTGCAGGAATGCATGCAGGCAGAACACTATGCATAGTAAATAAATAAATCTTTTTTTTTTTTTAATGGACAAACAAAATAGAGGATTGGAGTTAACATGTTGTCCAATAGGTCCTATAGCCTCATGAGGAGGGAGACAGCCCTGGCACAAGGGGACAGAGACCCACAGACATAAAAGCCCAGAACTACCTGTTGAAAAGCAGAATTGAATTAAAACACTTGATAATGTTTGCACGGCAGGCTCAAAGCACCTCTGTGGCTTTACAAGCTCTTCTCTAGCATTTGTAGAGCTATAATTCTCAACATTTCCTTCAGTCAGAAACCAGGTCTTCCGTGGCTTTAAAAGCTCCTCTCTAGCATTTGTAGAACTGTAATTCTCACATTTCCTTCTGTCAGAACGAGGACCTGCTTTTCTCTTTTCCTCCCATTCAACTGTTTCAGTGCTCTGATGAAGTGACCCAAAAAGGAATTTGGAGTATAGGTTCTAGGTGGGGGAGGCTCCCACTAATAATCTCAAGGAAATTCTCTAGGCTTTCTGTACTTTATTTTTCTGATCTCTGAACTACTGTCTTCCTCTCTAGAGTATTAAAAGCAAAGAAAAGACCAATTAGTAGATGATGCTTTCTCAATCACTCCTTGGAGAAAGCCATTACATTGTGTCTCCTGCTGTGCTGCTATCTTTCTGTATAAGCTAGACGCCATGTTAACATCTGTCCATCCTCTCCACGTGTTTCTGCTAATGCATCCCATTTCATAGTTTAATATCTCAAACTGTATGTCAAACTGCATTCATATCATTACTAAATTGATTTTTGTAGCCACTGTTGAAGATTGTAGTTTATGTTTAAATTGTGTATGATGACGCTAAATTTACATGACAGGTCTTTCTGGTCCTTTCCTTTCCATAGGCATTTCTTTCCAATACATTGGCTCTTACGCTTTTTATTAAAGCAAGTAGAAGACTATTTGTGGTGCAGTCAACTCTTGATTATCACTTGATTCTAGCTACACACAGGCCTAACGCTTTATGTTGCTCGCTTTGTCTTGGGCTCGTTTCTGTGAACCTCACAATACTGATGAATCTATCCTCACTACAGCCCTTGGAAGTGTGGGCACTGTGTCCCTGTTGTACAGATGGGGCGCTGAAATGTAAAGAGGTCAGCTAACTTGCCTAAGGTCGGATAGTAAGGTGTGGAGCTAGGTGGGGTGACCAGCCATCAGCCTCTTCTCAGGCTTCCTTCACCGCATGGTGCCTGGGACGTTGTGACAGCCCAGTCATGCAGCTGGTTTCGGTGGGTGTGCTGGCACTACCATCTCACCACCCTAAGACCTCAGCCAAGACCTGTGGCTTACCTGTGCCTCTTCCCTTGTCTGTAAAAGGTCTTTAACAGGGTGCACACTTCACGGGGCTGCAGAGTGACGGGATAATAATGTGGTGTTCCCAGACTCAGCCGGCACCGAGCAAGCATACTGTGAATGCTGTCACGCAGCCTGTAGAGTTGAAAAAGAAACACCATTGAATGGAAACGTGATCAATGCCACCTCCCTACAGAGGCAAAGGGGGAGATGGGCCCTGAAAAGGGGACCTTCTATAAAATAATCAGAAGTTGACTGTCACTGCCGTATCCTGCCAGCCCTGTTGCCTGAACTCTCAGACAGTAACGCTGTGTTGATTCACACAGGCTACGGCCACTCGGAGGCGGATGTCCTTCACCAGTCACTTCTGGAAGCCAACATTGCTACGGAGGTTTGCCTTACCACTCTGGACACCCTGTCTCTGTTCACACTGGCGTTTAAGGTTTGTATTGAGCACACACTGTCCAAGGTCAGAGTTTTTGTCTGATGGCTCCAGTCAGCTCACTAAGCTCAACTTGCCTGGTGTACATTTTTACTGTGGCTGTTTCTGCTTCTATAAGGAGACTGCTAATCTCCAGGTCCCCTGTACTGAGTGATTGCAATTCCCATTCTTATTTTTAACAAAACTTACCCCGCCCACATGTCCTGCGTGCTTGGGGATGCCAGAGGACTTCCCCGGAGGCAGCTGTCTTGGCTAGAAGAAAACATTTTTCCTAAGCCCTCCATGTGATAAATGTGGGATTTCTTCTCTGTCTTTAAGCAAAGCCAAATGTCTTAAATTAGATATTTAAAGAGAGGGGTGTGAGTTAAGCGTAAACTCGTCTTTTTCAGAGTATTTATTTATAACTAAATTAAATGGCAAAAGCATGTCATGAAAAGCAAATGAAAGAGTTTAGGTCTTATTTTTTAAATTTAGCAAATAATCAAATCACTGGTGCAGGTTCTCCAAGCCTCTCTGTATTTGGGGATGGGTTGACACAAGACCAAACCCAGCTGAAAAAGATTTTTTTAAAGTTAGTATAGGTTCAGTTGTGTTATTTATACACACACACACACACACACACACACACACACACACCATTGTACTGTGTTTTGTCTTGTTGGGAGCCTAACACTTTCCGTTTCCAGTCCCTTTCATTTCTGGTACAGAAAAAGACATTGAGTTATTGTTTATATCTATGAATATTGGAACCATATGTTTGATTTCAATGGTATTAGGGAACTGTAACAGGGTCATACTCTGTTTTGTTTTCCCTACTTATTATGAAACATACTTCTTGGGCTGAGTTAGGGTACTTACCTAGAATGCATGAGGTTCTAGGTTTGATTGCCAGTATTCCAACACAGGTGTGGCGGTGCCCCCAACCCAGGTGTGGCGGTGCATGCATGCAGTCCCATCACCTGGGAGATGGAGGCTCACAAGTTCAAGGTCATCCTTGCGTACATAGAGGTTGAGGCAAGCCCGGGCTACATGAGACTATCTTTAAAAAATTGTTTTTTCTTTATCAGTGACACTAAAAATAATGCACCCTGCCATATCATGTCACTTTACTATAGTGTGTCCTCCCCTGAGGTCCCAAGCGACCCGTGTCCCCCATTAAGCATGTTACTGGGAGCTGAGTTGAGACTCGGGAATACCCACACTCCAGGAACACATGCGGGAGAGCAGTGCGTGCTCACTTGGAGCCCTCCTATGGTGGCGCCACACCTGGAAACATACTAGAAATGCCGCTTCTCTGGCCCAAGCCAGACGCTCTGAGTGTGAGGTCCAGACCCCGTGGCTGGAGGAGCACACTCTACTAGAACCCCACAGAGGGGTCTTGGATTCTCTCCCTGTGGATAGTTTCAGTGTAAAAGTCTAAGCAGTAAAGGTTCTGAGGGTGAATATGTCCAGCCATGTGCATTGTATTTGCTGGCACAGAGTAGAGGTGACAGCATGCCTCTTTGCTCTCTGCCTGGACCCTGCCGTGTGAGGTGGCAGGAGGCTTCGGTGGAGGGACCTCTACAGAGCAGACACGTGGGCAGAAAGCCTACTTATAGCCCAGGAGCATCATGGGCCCCTCTCCCTCTCCTGGAAGCTAACCCTGGCAATATTTGCTGTCTCACAGACGAGACTGCCAGGCTGTTTACCTGTGTGACACCTGACCAGAGCCTATGCATGCTGTCCCTCCAAACTGTCTGATTATATATAGCTTAGCTGAGTGCCCAGGAACCCGGGTTCGAGAAGGACATCACTTTGGGAGGGCAGGATTCATGTTCCCCACCCATCGGTTCGATGATAACCCATAATGGCACTCCCACGTTAGACCGATACCCCCAGTGTCACCTCCAGAGTCAGCGGTGCCGATACGTGCTTACAGATAAGTTTGTGAAAACACAGCACTAAGCCTGCAGAAACCATAGTGTAGTCTTCTAGAATACCTGCCCCAGGTGGCCGCTGTTCTGATGGACTTGCCTGGCCTACAGGAGCACCCGCGCTTTTCCTGGGGCGCTTGTAGCAGAATTGGTCGTGCGACATGACTCTAACAGTGATGTCGATGTGTGTTTCCAGAACCAGCTCTTGGCTGACCACGGTCATAACCCTCTCATGAAGAAAGTTTTTGATGTCTACCTGTGTTTTCTTCAAAAACACCAGTCGGAAATGGCTTTGAAAAACGTCTTTACTGCCTTAAGGTCACTAATTTATAAGGTAAGTTACTTGGAGGCCGTGGTTGTACCGATGGTTACAGGTTCCTCGCCTTCTGCCTGGAGCTGAGGACGACTGGGATTATTGACCTCGCTGGTCTGTCTGCCCTGTGTTTCGTTCCAGTTTCCCTCAACGTTCTACGAAGGGCGAGCAGACATGTGTGCCTCTCTGTGCTATGAGGTGCTCAAATGCTGTAACTCCAAACTCGGCTCTATCCGGACCGATGCTTCCCAGCTGCTCTATTTCCTGATGAGGAACAACTTTGACTACACGGGGAAGAAGTCCTTCGTCCGGACACACTTACAGGTGTGTGCCTCAGCTCTGCCAGGGCACAGGTAACCCGGTGGAACCCTGGGTCACTGAGGGTCACCCTCGTAAGTGCTACCAAAGGCTGTGAGTCAGAGTTGGGAAGTCACATGTACTGGTTGTGTTTGTTTCTTATTCCATACTGAAAGATCCTGGACCAGGGTGTGACCCATCAATTAGCTTGACATCTAGATATTGAACTGGCATTGAACTAACTGATACTCTGTTGGCTCAAGGTACTTAATATCAAATATCTTTTAAAAAAAACAAAACAAAACAAAAAAACCCAAAATAGGTTTTCCTGTCTTCTGTTCATGAGTACCTCTCCTGTGTGTCCGGTTAAAACATCCAAAGTTCTTTGAGAACCAACATAATAGCAAGAACTCTGTTTCCACAGATGTATGTTTTATGCAGTGTGACGGGAGGGCCTTTCCTGTCTGAGTTTGTCCCTTGGTTAGCATCGCAGTCATTTTCCACAAGCCTAGTGTGCTAGAATTAATGGCTGCAACTGCCAACAGGACAGCAGGTCGTCTCCCAGCACTCGTGGAGTGCACATTCAGGGAGACCTCACACACCCAGGGCGCCAGGGACAGTGTCTGGTTAGGGATTCTTGGAGAACAGGGGCGGCTTCTCAAGGACCTGAAGGATGGGAATGGGGTGTAAGTTGAAGGGTAGTGAGTAGGCATGTTCCGGCATGTTCCGGGTCATGGATCCCCCATGGGAATTACCCGTAGGTGAAAGTGGAGCAGTCCCTTCATGCTTAGAATGCAGGTGAGAGGAAGTTACAGAAGACACGCTGTGACGTGTCCAGATCTTTGCATATTTGGAAGACCCACCCATCTGAGCTTCAGTTTTAAGGGCAGACCTTAGGGGGAGCACACAGAACATTGTCCCATCTAGGACAGAGAAGATGGTATTCTGGATGAGGGCTGGCAAGATTGAGAGGAAGAGGGGAATCCCGTCCGCATCCTCCACGGCTGTGCTTGCATGCTAGGAAGGAGAAGGGAATAAGAGTGGCCACCATGTTTTATCTCGAACACCCGATTCAAGGCCATGCTATCCCCAGACTCCAAAGAAAGCAGACCGCCCATCGCACAGTTGACACCTGCAAAGAACCTTCCACGTAAACTCAAAGCAAACGCCGAGGGGAGACTAGGGTCCCCCGCCCCCTCCCTTACCGCAGAGTGCAGTGGCTGAGTAGCAATCTGAGTGGTGTGGACATACCTGCTTCTTGCTCCTTTTAACTCGTGAACAAAACGCGTCAGGAAAGCAGCCATACACGGTTTTTCGAAAGCGGTAGGAAAGAAGGAATCTCAGCCACGCACTGCTCCCCACACTGGTGTGGCCCCCACCCCACTTGCCTTCCCATCGGCTTTGCGCGCATCCTCCCGGAACCCTGGGTAAATTGACTTGCTCGCGTCTCTGCCCCTAAGGTCATCATTTCCGTCAGCCAGCTGATTGCAGACGTGGTTGGCATTGGAGGAACCCGGTTCCAGCAGTCCTTGTCCATCATCAACAACTGTGCCAACAGCGACCGGCTCATCAAGGTGGGTAACTTCCCGTCCTCACCCCCTGACGCGGGACATGTGTCCGGGAAGCGGGTGAGAGTCCTCTCCCCCCTCCTCTTGTGTAGCACACCAGCTTCTCCTCTGATGTCAAAGACCTGACCAAGAGGATCCGTACCGTCCTGATGGCCACGGCCCAGATGAAGGAGCACGCGAATGACCCAGAGATGCTGGTGGACCTCCAGTACAGCCTGGCGAAGTCCTACGCCAGCACCCCCGAGCTCAGGAAGACATGGCTGGACAGCATGGCCAGGATCCATGTTAAAAACGGGGATCTCTCAGAGGTAGGGAGCCCTGCCCGACCAGCTATTCATTCACGCTCTGGGGCTGCTTTTGAGGAAAAATGCGCCCTCAATCAGAAGACGCCTCGCCTGCTGTGGAATCTGCTATGCTCTCCGACGTGGTCTCTAACCTTGGGGACACTCCCCCCCCCCTCCAGCTTTATCCTAAAACTGTAACAAAGGAGCAAAACAAACACTTACCTTCAGTTTTGATAATAACTGGACAACTTAGTGAAAGCATTTATTTGCTGTCCTCTGGTTTAGGGTATTTGTAACATTGATCTTTGTGGTTTAGGGTAAGAGGACTTGAAACTAAGGCACACCAACCACACACACACACACACACACACACACACACACACACACACACACACACGCTCTGCTACTGAGCTGTACCCCAGCCCAGATTCTGATTTAGAATTGTGTTTGGAAAAAAAGAAAAAAAAAAAAAAATCCAGCCTTGGCTGGAGAGGTGTCTCAGCAGCTAAGGGCACTGTCTGCTCTTGCTGAGCATCCAAGTTCCGTTCCCAGCACCCACCTGGGGCACCACACAGCCGGCCACCTATAACCCCAGCGCCAGGGATCCAGGGCCCTCTTACAGGCACCTGGACACATGTAGAAGTGGAACTTGGCACAAATTCACACACGTGCACACAGGTTAAAAATAAATGTGTGAAAATAAAGTTGGAAGGAAAGGTAATTGGCACCTGAAACGTGAGTGTGGGAAGAAAACTAACTCTTCAAGTGTTTCCTGTTTTGCTTTGAGACAAACGGTATAATTCTGAAAATGCTGGTTTCCTCTTTTACGATAAAATGCAGTAATTGTGAGCATGCCTCGCTGTTCAGCTCCCGGGTGTCAGCTCCTATGTGAGGGGCGCCACCTTTTCTCCAAAAAGCCGTTAATAGCTGGTATCCTGAGAGCCATCAAATGCACGTGGATGCAAGGTGTCTGAGCGACTACCCTAAGCCGCTTGTCTTCGTCTTCTATTACAGGCGGCCATGTGCTACGTCCACGTCACAGCCTTGGTGGCCGAGTATCTCACGCGAAAAGGTAAGGCCTGATGCTTGGGCCTTTTGCAGAGCGCCGTGGGGGCTGACCTGGAGGCAAGGAATTGCGTGCATACAGGCATGCTGGTTGCTCTATTCCCAGATGCAGCATTTGACTAACTTCATGGGCAGAGCAAAATAAAATGCCAGTGTTCAGAAGAGAACACAGCATGCTGTCCTAGTCGCGTACTGTTCTGCAAAAAAAAAAAAAAAAAAAAAAAAAATTAGCTGATGAGCTTTGCATCTGGCTGTTCCCTACCAGCTAAAATGAGCTGAAATAGCTTTATTTTCCCTTAAACTAATGCTCTCCAAAAATGTTTATCAATCAAGTTGACGGTTCTAAGGGGAAGTTACTGGGCAGATTCTCTGGTTGGCAGCCTTTTGGCTTTAGCATGGGAAAAAGCAACCATGCTAACCAGAGGTCAGGGGGCAGCCGTGTTCCATACTTGTGTTACACAATCATTCCCATAGGTTCCTTCATGGTTCCTCCTGGTTAAACACCAGTTACTTGAGGCAGCCCTCAAGGATGGCGTCTCAGTTTGGGACACTGGAGGGTCTGGGAAAGCTGGTAATCTGCACAGGCAATACTCAAGAATATAAATGCCTGGCTGAGGCTAACGAGGAGTGTGTTACACAGTGAGAGCATTCTTTAGAAAGTGCCAGGTGCCAGGGCCATGAAACATCTACTTCTTAGAACGAGTTTGCCGTACATACGTCAGAGTCAGAATGAGAGAGGAAATCCAAGGGGACGTGTTCATGTAGGATTTCCTGCCGCGTCATTTTGTCGGGTGATGCCTTTGCTCGTGTTTAGAAGCTGACCTAGCCCTCCAGAGGGAGCCAGCTGTCTTCCCCTACAGCCGTAACACCTGCCAGAGGAAGAGCCAGGGAGGTGAGCCTGAGGGTCACCCAGCTCCCAAGGGTCCCCACCCGCTCTGGCCACGTGCCACCCCAGGGCTCCGGTGGCTTCTGTTTCAGTTCTGTGCCCTCCTTCTATCGCTGAGCTGTGTGTGTCACCCGCCGTCATTGCTGTACGCGGTGAAGGGAAGCAGTCTGGTCCACATGTTGGCCTGATCAACGCCAGCGGTCGATTTTTTTATATCTTTACTTTCGGTATATTAATGTATCCTCAGGTTCCTAGATCAGAGCTTCCCTTTGGGGGATTTTTTGCTTTCTGTATCGCCAGATTAAAGCAAGGCTCTACGAGGACCATGGTGGAAATGGCTAACACGGGGTTGACTGGAAACCTGGACAGATGTGTAGCGAGTGGGAGTTGTCTTTGCATCTTTGGTCTACTTTTTCAAAGCCTGGTTTCAAAGTACTGTGTTCCTCTTCCCTAAAATCATCTCAAACTAGAGAGGCTGAACATTTCAAGTCCTTCCTTGCTTACACATGTCACGCAGCTGGTGTTGAACTGGCTTAAAACTGTGTCCCAGGATCCGACCTGAGCTGTGACCCTTACTTACCAGGGACACTGACCTCACTGACAATATCAGTCAAGAGTTTCGGATGCTGAGGCCCTGCAAACTGCAGCCTTCCATTTCCTAAACCAAAAGGGCTTCTCTACCCCAGGCAGCCTCTGCTTGCAGACGTGATTGTTGGATTATCTGTGTTACTGGAGGGCATGAGGAGAGCCCCGGCCTGAGTGGATGAGATGCCCAATTGCTTGAAGGAAATGGCTGGTTGAGACTACTTCTCTCTCGTTGGCTTTGGGTACTCTTGGTATCTGACTATGGGTCCCTTGACCAAACATTTCCTCATTAATCTACCACTAGCTTGGCTCAGTTATGATTTTTCAGCGTATGGTTTATTTGAAGATTGAATTGATTTTACTTGAGGTGGGTAAAAAAAAAAAATTAAAAGTGAGGAGGAAGGTGAAGGTTAAATGTGGGAAATGGATGGAGATAGGACACACTGGTCCCCAGCCTCCCGTGTGGACGCCGGGCTGACACAGAGGAGACTTCAGACATGAAGGGCTGAATACAGAGGGTCGGGGAATCCAGGTTTCAACAGAGAAATGCACCAGGCAGGAAGGACCCAAGAAGAGCCTCTGCCACGTTCAGGTTGACAGCTCTCCCTCTGCTTCCTCTCTGCCCAGGCATGTTCAGACAGGGATGCACAGCCTTCCGGGTCATCACACCAAACATCGATGAAGAGGCTTCCATGATGGAAGACGTTGGGATGCAGGACGTGCATTTCAATGAGGTAAGTGCCGTGGCTCGTGTGGGCTAAGTACAGTCACACACCACATGACATTTCTGTCCGCAGCACCTGCGTACAGAATGGTGGTCCCACCAGATTTTACCACCTAGGGACAGTCTAGCCATGCTGTTTAAACATTGCTTGAGATATTCCTCCTGCAAGAAAATCACCCAGGGCCCACGTTTCTCAGAACAATCCTGTTTGAGGATACTTAGAGCCTGCTGAGCCCTGGGAGAGAACCAGCTCAGTGCCTGTTCCCCCCACAACTGCTGCCCATGCTGAGCCTAAGACGCCTCTGCGGACAGCTGAAAGATGGCCAGTCAGGGCTCTGCCACCCTCCCTCCAGGACCTCCTTTCTCCAGGGGAGGAGTGCTCGAGAATTTACGTGAAAGGTCCAACACATGTTAGGTTGTTTCTCAGCCTCTCTCTACCAATATCTCTGGATCTCAAGTTTCATTATTATCTCAATCTGCCTTTAATTTTAATTAGTGCCCCTCTCTCTGGACACCTCCTCCCTAGCAGACAGGCAAAGCCCCAAGAGAGCAGGCTCGATGGGCTTTTGATGGGAGAATCCCAACATGGGGCCTGGTTCCTGTGTCCACTTATGTGCTGAGGCCTAGGGCCCCCTTGTCCATCTCCGTAGACTATAAGACAAGCATTTTCTGTTCTCTGCTCTGGGAACCTCTGCTCAAGGACACACCCGTGTGTCTGTGTCTCCTCCCTGCCCACAAACCCACGGTAGAGTGAAAGACTCAAACGAAATCTTTTTAGTGCTGCCATACCTCTGCCTCGACTGAACTGTCTTCTCTTGGCTTGGGGACCGTGATGTGGTGGCACACAGTTTATAGTTCTCGATTGTTTCCGTGCCAGAGAGAAGGGTCCATGAACAAGCATCTCCTATGACGTAAACAAGACCTGCCGCACCCCTTTCCAAAAGTGTAATCTAGACCCCTCTAAGGAAGCTTCCGACGCCCTTACTGAGTGCGGGATTCCTCACACGCGTCAACTGAAACAGGACTGAGTGTAGAGGGCAGGAGGATCTGGGTTCCAATAACCGAAAGTTCTCTGTGGCCTTCAGTAAAATGTGAGATGCAGAAGGGCCTGGAGAGGTGGCCCAGGAGTTAGGAGCTTCCTGCTCTCCCAGAGGACCCAAGTGCCAACAGGTTGCTCATAACCACCCATACTTACAGCTCCCTCTAGAAGACTCCAGGCATGCGCGTGCTCACACACAGTTAAACATAAAATCTTTCTTTATGCCAAGCACAGTTGCACACGCCTTTAATCCCAGCACTAGGGAAGCAGAGGCAGGAGGATCTCAGTGTGTTCAAGGCCAGCCTGGTCTTCATAGGGAGTTCTAGGACAGCCATGGCTGTGTAGAAGGGACTCTGTCTCAAAAACAAAACAAAACAAAAAAAGTCAAACGCCACCTTTTATAGAGGTAATCTTAAATGCAAAAAAATTTAGGGGCTGCTATTGTAAATTGTCTATTCTCAAAATGGCTCTCAAAATCAAAAGCTAAATATGAAAAAGGAACAAGTATATATTGAGTGCACTTCATGAGGTTTAGATGTTAAAGTGGGGCTTGAAAGACAACTCAGCCATTAAGCGTGCTGGCTGCTCAGCCATGGGGAGCTTAGTTCAGCTCCCAGCACCCACACAGACTCTCTAACAACCGCCTGTAACTCCGACGCCAAAGGATGTGACACCCTCTTGCGGTCTCTGTGGATACCTGCACTCATGTGCATACACGCTGAGACACGTCCACAAAGGTACACACATAAATAAAGTAAATCTTTTAAGAAAGAGTAGGCTTAACCAAGGTAAGTGAAATTGTCTAATTATCCCGGGGGAGAATGGAGGTGTCTCCTCCACAGCGTTCGGTGGCCGTTCTCTGGATCTCAGTAATCTGTTTGGAATTAGATAATGCCAAGAGGAATCCGATTTGAGAGTCTAGTTTCCAGGAACCCATCCTGTGGGGACAACGTGAAGCTGCTCACGTTTGCACTCACAGATTGAGATGATTGCGAGAACCTGATGAATTAGAGTCCGAGATCAAGCGCACACACATCCCTCGGGAAAATCGTATCAGTGGCGCCACCTCTGAGTAAGGATTAAGCATGTGACAAAAACTACTTCGTCAGCTGTGTTCAGATATGGACGTGCCACCCTGTCCTTGAAGCATAAAGTGGTAAATCTTTAACAAGGTCCATAGTGCATGGCTGTCTGTGCCGGTTAGGATGAGACACTGTGGGGCCATAAAATCCTACTGACGGAAAATCACCGGCTCTCAGTGACAGGCGCACAGAAACTGCTGTGTTGATGGTCAGGTTGGCTGCTCGGAATTCTCGTGGTAAAAAGGGAGATGTAAAATCTGTCCCCGAGAGGAAGAAACGACAAGAGTTGATGGGAAAGAAGCAAGCGTGTGACCCGGTGATAAGAGTCACAGCCCCTTTCATCTCCGTCAGTAGAAATGGCGATCGATACGCAAAAGTCTTAGCAGCAGGCCTCGGGCCTGACGAGTGTTTGGTACGTTTCTGCCTTCTCTGGTAAAGGCACAGTAGAACTTCCGGGTGGCTTTGGCTTTGTGGTGCTGGTGGCTGGCTCTGTCCCCTTTAGGTCCACCTAACCATGCCAGCTGCCTCCTAACTCCCACATCTGCTATGGTAGCAGCCGCTCATGGCGGGGCCTCTTAAACAGGCTGCACATCTGCATGCTGCAAGCGCTGGGCGCTGCGCACACGCCCCGTATTGGGTGCCAGATGTATCGGGTATTTTTCTGTTCCTCCTGCCAGCTCCCGAATAATGACAAGGAGACTTCTTATCGATTATGAAAGCTTGACCTGTAGCTCAGGCTTGTTCCTAACTAGCTCTTACAGCTTAAGCATTTCTGTTAATCTGTGGTCTACCACATGGCATTGCCTCTCCATGTTTCCTGGCATCTCCCACGTGATCCGCACACCCAGATCCCTCCTTCTTTCTCTGCCTGGAAGTCTCGCCCACGCCTTCTGCCTAGCTATCGGCCTTACGGCTTTCTATTACACCAGTCACAGCAATTCACACGGTGTGCAAATGTCCCACAGCTGACGAATCCCAACTGCGCAGGGTCACCGTTGCGTGCAGGGAACCCTGTGTGAACTCCACCCAGCGAGTCTCTGGCCTCCTTGCGACAAAATCATTTCTATTGCGAAACAGCTCCCAGGAACAAGCAGAATGTTCACTTCCGTGGGATGTCTCGGAAGACAGGGAAGTCAGCAGAGTAGTGGGTGGGTGGTTTTATTCAGATCTCATCCTAACTCCGGCAACCGTAACCACCCCATCTAGCTGCTTTACCGGGAGTGTTCTGGAACGATCCAGTTTTGCTTGTGTTCCCTCGACGTTACAGAACTGGTCACAAGAAGGGAACTTGTGTGGTGGTTCTGCCCTCGGCTGCCACCAGAGCAGTCTTCACCTGAAGCGAGTTGGGTACCCTCCTGGGCAGTGAGCCGCGGGGCAGAGACAGACAGAGGGGCAAGATGGAGTTGCTGCCACGGCTCCAGATGTTTTCTTCCCATTGAGGAAGGACACCCCGATTCACAGTCCCCTGGGGTCATGACTGGAAAGCTGTCAGTTCCCCTGTCCTGGGAGTTTCTGTACTGACCTGTCGATTCAGCCACAGACTAACTGTACGTGTCCAGTGCTAGCCGGGGTTGGGGTGGGGAGCTGTGTAAGTATGGAACCTGCCTCGGAGGCTTTCACTTAACGCAGTAGCTCCCAGACTTCCCTCTGCTTAGGAGTTATTTGGATTCCTGTTATAATAATCCAGTTGATGTGCTCTTGACCCTTCATCCCCAAATTCAGTTACGTGTGAGAGGGACACGGTTGCTGGCGATTCTATCCTACCTGGTCCCGCCGCCCTTCAGCCCCAAATAAACACAGGGACGGTATATTAATTATAAAACTGCTGGCCGATGGCTAGCTCTGTCTTAAACTTTTTAACCCATTTCTATTAATCTATGTATTTCTATGTGGTCTTGGCTTACTGGAGAAAGCCCAGGCCTGTTGTTACTCCTCTGGCGACTATGTGGCGTCTCCCGACGCCGCCTCTCTGCCTCTCTCCCCAGCATTCTCCTCGTCTCCTAGCCCCGCGTACCTTCCTGACTCTATTGGCCAACAGGGTTTTACTCATCAACCACAGACAGAAACAGATACAGAAGGGCATCCCCCAGTGGGGCACAATCAGTATGGGTTTTTTTTTTTTTTTTTCAGATCTTAAAAAAAAAAAAATTATTTGTGCATTTGGCTATACCAGAGAGACTGTTGGGTCCCCTAGAGCTGGAGTTGCATGGGTGCTGGGAACCAAACACGGGCCCTCTGGAAGATCAGAAGTGCTTGTGTTCTCCATGCTATCTCTCCAGGCCCTGGAACCAGCATTCTAACAACTCCATGTTAGAATTCCATGAGAAACAATGACACAGTGGAAATGTGCGGAATGCATTGATAAATACACATTGTCTGAGCCAACTCAGACTCATTTATGCCCAGCAGTAGCATGTGGCTTTATTTTAATTAATTGCACTGACTTCATCCTAAGATAGAAAAATAAGTACCCTGCACAAACACTTTCTCATGTGGGACTGAAGTGTGTAGTGCATATGCACACACGGGCATGTGTGCATACACACCATTGATCCGTGTGACGTTTCCATAGACCGGTGTCTGATGTCCTCAGTATGTTACTACAACATCCTTAAAAGTGAAGTTGGCTAATTTCATGCTTTAAGGCTTCCTTGATGGCTTACGGGTGTAATGTAGTGAGAATTTTAAGCCTTGTCTAGAATGTGTGCTTTGTGGATGCATAGAGTCCACACAGGCCCTCCCCAGCCAGTTCCTACGCATGTCTGTGATTATAGGAAGCAGCTTAGTGTTTGTTTGCCCAAGTGGGAAACCCATTTAGGCATTCTGCATGACCACCGTTCAGGGTTATCACAGTCAGCCCATTACGTGTTTTCCTTCTGGTTCCCAGGGACAGTGATGGCTGACTCAAAGCAAATAGAATTTCAGCTTAGAATTTCATATATACGCTCCAGTGTTTAGTTAGTGTGTCCTAGTTTTATGACTTTTATAATTTTATATTGACACATATGGGATATTAAACCTTAACTGACTGTGAATACTGCCTCTTATTTTCATCCAAACCCTTCTCACTTCATGAAGCAGCTGTAATCGTCTAAGTTTAGAATTAGCATTAGTTTGGTTTACCACGGGTGCCCTGATATTCAGTAGTACACCGGTCGCACTAAAATTCAGTGATTTGATGACATGAGGAAAAGGCTCAGGGTTTTTAACGTGTTTATTGTTACGTACATGGTAGTTCACCTGTGTGTATGTCTGTGCACCACATACAGATACCCTGGGGTAGAAATTGCAAGGCCCAGGTCCTCTGGAGGAACAGCCAGTGTTCTTAAACACTGACTGAGCCGTCTCTCCAGCCCCTGGGTTTGTTTTGTTTGCTTTTAGTTTGTTATTGAGAAACGCTATACTGATTCTGCCTTTTGTAGCATATATTATCATTTCTTTATAGTAAGAAATGAATTTTTGGTTGACAGGTTATAGATCGTGGATGCCTCCTGACCAAGAAACGGGGATAAAACAATTTTCAGTAGAATATAAAAGCGCCTGGCATGTTCTTTCCTAATTTGTGATAGTGATACATGTGTCTTGGCGATGGCATCTGATATCATCCACTAGTCTTTATTTGTTTTATCAAACTCTGCCATTCCTAACCATTCTGGGGAATCTTTCCTGGTTGCACTCCATCTTTTTGGTGCCAAATATAACAGATTTTTTTCCCCCTAATGAGCTTATCTATACCCTACTATGTATACATACCATAGATCAACATACACTATTCGAATCCAGGCTATATTTTTAAACCTCTTCCTGTTCCTAGGTTGACTAAGCCAAAACAAACATATATTTAAGTCTTAATCCTCTGCTTAGAGACTGTTTACACAAAAGAATATGCACCAGTCTCCATATATGTATGTTATGTATGTATGTATGTGGTGGCAAAATCTAGGGTTATTTGAAGTGTGTACACCTGGGAAACTGGGTCTCCTAGGACTCCTTCAGCCGCCTCTGTGGTTCTGTGGCAGCATTGGGGTGTAGGTGCTTGGGAGATACGCATTGGTGGTGAGTGAGTAGGAAGAAGAGGGAGGGAGGGAGGGAGGGAGGGAGGGGGGAGGGAGGGAGATGCAGGAAGTTTATTGTAGATAAAAGAGAGAGCATAACTAGAGGCAGGGACCTCTGGGAGAGCCCGGAGTGGACGAGACCAGACTGAGCCAAGAGAGATTGGGGAGCGGAGAGGAGCTGCAGACCGAGAGGGGCAGCCTGGGCCATGAGGCTGAGGAAAGGGCAGCCCCGCGCCTGGACTGGAGGAGTTTACGGCAGGAGGCAGTGTGTAACTAGGAATAAAAGCAAGGTAGGCATCTTTGTAGCACGTGCGGATGCTAAGGACAAGGGCTGGTGCTGGAGAGCCCTCCCGGCTCTTTGCTGCTGTTGTGGCGGTCACTGTGCGCATCTGACTCGGATGCAAGCGACAATAAAGCCGGAGACTACTGTCATACCCGCCCTCTTACGACAACTTTGTGCTGTGCGTGTGTCATAAATGTGACAGGAGTTAAGCGGGTCATCTGGCAGCCTGATTGATTTGAAATGGCATTTTCTTTGGCTCTACAAACCGTGGGCATTGGACCTGTGGTGAACAGTAGCCTGAAATGGAAAGCATCTGAAGTTCTGGAAGAACTAATCAACACGGAGGTGTTGGGGGTGGGGGATAGCACATAGGACCGGGAACGTGGCTCCACTGCTAGAGTCCTTGCCTGGCATGTACGAAGCCCTGTGTTCAGTCCTCCACCCCATATAAACCATGTGAGTCCAGCCTGGGATACGTGAGCTGTCTCAAAACCGTGACAGTATAAGAACAAGGCAGAGCCCGCCTTCCCGCCCCACTGTTAGAGACGAGACGAGAATGTTTACCACAGTGAATCCACGCCTTTGACAAAGCCATTGGTTATGCAGCCTCTTGGCTGGAGCAGAAGAATGGTTTTAGTCCTTTCCGTGGCCTTCGGATGAATGCTAGCCCCTTCCAGCTCCATGCCGTGCAGCCCCTCAGATCTGCCTTCGCCACCCCAGCGTTCCAGGCTGGGGACCTTAAACTTGACCCATCGTGGCACCATGATGAACCAGCAACTGTGGCTAAGAACAATGTTCATGATGATTAGTGTGAGTAAGCCATAGGTAGTGTTTCTTCCCAAGTCCAAGAGCTGTACCCAAAGCAGAGGACGTGCAAACTTCTATAGAAAGAAACTGCCGAAGGAAGGAGGAAAGGGTGGTGGTGGAACAGGCCTACGCACACGCCCCCCCCATGTACACCACCGCTGAATAACGTCAGCACTTTAGCTAGAGTTGAAGTCATGCTTAGCAACATTCCATGTCTCATTGCCAGTGGCCGTTCATCAGGAAGGAAAAGGAAATTTCCAAGTTACGTTTCTAAAGGGAAGAGCTAATAGACAAGAGCTGAGAGGCATGAGAGTCGACCAGTACCTTGAGGGTTTTGTCTGTGTGTGTGTATGTGTGTGTGTCTGTGTCTGTGTGTGTGTCATATTTGCAGTGCCCACAAGAAGGCAGCAGATTCCCTGGAGCTGGAGTTACAGGCGGTTGTGAGCACTGAGAACCAAACCAAGGTCCTTTGCAGGAGCAGTCAGTGCCCATAACCGCTGGGCCATCCGTCCCTCAGCCTAGCTGTTGTACCTTTCTGGGTTTTGCGTGTAAACATGATCTGGGTGGAGGAAACAGCCCTTAAGGAACTTGGTAGTGAGTTGTTAGAATCACGGAGTTATTCCTCAAAAGCTGTGCATTGTAAATTCCACTGCCCGCAACCTTAGGAATGCAAGGACAGATCCCCCGTAACCTCTCCTGGCCCTGCCCTTCCTCTTTGACCAGGAGGTATTGATGGAGCTGCTGGAGCAGTGTGCCGACGGACTTTGGAAGGCCGAGCGCTACGAGCTGATCGCTGACATCTATAAGCTCATCATCCCCATTTATGAAAAGCGGAGGGATTTCGAGGTATCTCACTATCTTTTTTCCTGTTTGACGTGCCCCAGACCTCATGCAGAGAGAGCCAGCCAGCAGGCCTCGGTCCAGTGATGCCCAGTGGTTTCCAATTCCCCACATTATTTCAGTCACCATCCGTAGAGTTACCTACCACACATCACATACCCTGGGCCCCGCCGGTGCACACACCCCCACGTCTTGAACTGCAGGGGTCCCAACCCACCACTGAACCTTGGAGCAGTTTCCTTAGACAGAATCGTATGATTTCCGGGGGACTCTGACTGAAACTCTTCCTCTGGGTGGGGGGGGGGGTGGCCATCCCGCCTTCCAGGGTTCCGAAGTCAGCCATTGCCCCAGCAAATCAAACCGAGTGTGAAGGGCAGAGGCTGTATACCGTCAGAGGGTTTCCTCCGCCGTCTCCTGCCAGTTGGGAAGCAGATCTACAATGGGCAGTGGGTAGTTGGATAGACGAGGCTGAAGTCCACCAGTGGGTCACTGTGGGGTTCACAGTCAAAGCGTGTCCTTGGATCTGAGGCGGCGACCGGGCAGTCAGTGAAGTGCTAGCTTGCAAGCCCTGAGTTCAGTATCCTGGACACACATACAAAGCGAGGTGTGCTAATCCATGCTTAGAATCCCAGGGCTGGAGAGACAGAAACAGGGGAGAGCCTAGGGGCGACTGCCCACCTGACATAGCCTGATGAGCTCTGAGCCCATGAGAGCCCCTGCCTTATAAACACAAAGGTGGACGAGGGGCCCTGAGGAGCCCTGAGGAGCACACCTGAGCTTGCCCTCTGCCTTGCACGTGCGTGCACACACATACGGGTACATCCCGTGCCCCCTCACACTCATACAGTGACTTTATCCCACTCAAAGTTCAGGTATTTGCAGGCAGCCCCCCCCCCAGCACACGCATTGTTTTGAATTTTGTCCCGCTACTTGCAAATAGGAACACATGTGTTGTCCTCTGCTTTCCAGAGACTGGCCCATCTGTATGACACGCTGCACCGGGCCTACAGCAAAGTGACGGAGGTCATGCACTCGGGCCGCAGGCTCCTGGGGACCTACTTCCGGGTGGCCTTCTTTGGACAGGTAAGCCTTCAGGCCGTCCTGTAGTCTGTCCGGAGGCCTTTTGTCTTCCCTCTGTTACAGTGGTATCTTGGGGACCCTCCCTTCTGTAAATGCTAATGTGACAAATTTGTGGTGTGTACCGTGGTTCTTATCTTCCTCTTTAGTAAACTCTCTACTTTTTTTTTTTTTTCTTCCTTCCTGTCTTTCCTTTATTACTCTCTTAAGGCAGCGGTAAGTTCTTCCTCTGTAAGACGTTCTTAGTGTCATCTTTCATTTCTCCATGCGGTTTGCAAGTTTCCCTTTCAAGCCTTGTATGTGTACTGTCTGGTCATTTCAAACTCAAAACAAACAAAACAATTAACATTTTATTCCATTTACAGAAGCCATCAGTTTCCTTACACATCTATAGTGCATGTTTTAAACCAAAATTAAGACCTCTTTTGTGCCTGTGTGTCTCAGTATTTTATATGCTGTCTGCACAAGTACAGTTACCATCGTAGTACTCGGGCAGCCCTGTCGGGTGGGGGGTTTGTAAACAAGTTTTAACCCTCAGGCTCTAACCTTATTAAATGGCACAGATTGTCATCCATTTATCTAGGGTGTGTGGTTTTCCTATGAGCACTTTATAACCTTCAATTTATTCTATTATTGTCTTTTGTAACTTTGTAGCAATACCAGTTTACAGACGGTGAAACAGATGTGGAGGTAATTACAGTAAATGCTTCTAAAGCACCGTCAGTGAAGTGAGCACCTCTAAACCCCAGTTTGCTGTGGATTTTTCATTTGTCTCTTTGTTTCGTGTTAGCCTGGTCCCCACTCCGCCCTCTGCCGCCCATATATATATATTGGGTTTTTTTTTTTTAAATCTCCTTTTCCTTTAGATAAGAAACTTTTTGAACATTAATTTCAAATATTAACCCTCAGTCTGGACATTTTAATTTTCAACCTTTTTCACTTCCCACGCAGTCTTCAACCCGTGGGCACATGTGATCGGTGCTGTCGACATTCAGTGTTTGCGCCCGCCGGCCGTAAAACACAGCTGAATTCATTCAAACTACTCCAGGCCTGACGTGTGGCCCTGGTGTGCCACGCGGCCTTTTTCTCATGTGTCTACCTCCTGGGAATGTGAAAACAGGCTTGATTCCCATCACACCCCACTGAGAGAGTGCGGCCCCGGACCCCGACTCCTTCATTGCACACACTTACGACTCGCGTAGATCCGCTCCTTCGTGTGGTTTCCTCCATCTTAATGCACCTTAGAAACCTCTCCTCCCTTGTTGAACTCCCTTTTTGGATGGCCCGTTTAACTGGGGTTTTGTTTTGGAATCGTTTTTTTTTTTTTTTTTTTTTTTCCCATCGCTTTGGTTGCTGCCGCTGTCACTGTTTTTCACGGTTGTACTGGCCCCGGGCACGCTCTGACTGCGCTTTCCCTCACAGGGTTTCTTCGAAGATGAGGACGGGAAGGAGTACATCTACAAAGAACCCAAACTCACTCCTCTGTCGGAAATTTCCCAGAGACTCCTCAAACTTTACTCGGATAAATTTGGTTCTGAAAATGTCAAAATGATACAGGATTCTGGCAAGGTATGACTGCTGTCTCATAAGCTACGTAGCTAGCTAGCGTCTTTTAAATCTCATGCGATTGGCTGTATGGAGTATGTACTCACAGATGTGAAAATCGAATCGGAGTGGGGTAAGGAGTAATTGCCTGTCTGTGCTTTCACGACATGCGTGACGCTGAGGAAATCTTCACTCCGTTTTTTGAAGGATCCTCAGTTAGCTGGGGGGGGGGGGGGGGGATACATGACTGTATTCCCAGAACTCTGGAAGCTGAGGCAGGAGGGTCACAACTTACAAACCAGCCTGAGCTCATCTCCAAGGAAGGAAGGAAGGAAGGAAGGAAGGAAGGAAGGAAGGAAGGAAGGAAGGAAGGAAGGAAACACATAAGCAAAAGTGTTTTTCTTTTACCACGTAATCGACTCTCGGAGAGCTCAGCTGAGTTCTGCCCCTCGCTTTCCCTTCCCTTAGCCAGGCATCCGTGACTTCACTGCTACCGCCCTGGTAATGGAAGGGCGGGGCAGACCCAGCCTGTCGCTCTAGCAGAGTGACTGAAGAGACCCGCTTTCTCTAGGGCGGCTCTCCTCTTGTTTCTCACGAGGACCCTTCCCAAGCCTACACGGTTGCCCTGGGCATTTGTGTATCCCACCGTGTTCGGGAGACGTCCAGGAAGCTGGGTGTCCCCTCCACTTCCCAGAGTTGTTCCTTGTCCTCATTTAAAGATGCTCTGGGTTTAACTAAAGGGGGTGGCGGCTCTGCTGCCAGATGTGACAGCCACCTGGACTCGCAGCAGTTGGGGAGCTTGGATAGGATGGTTCAAGGCCAGCCCGATCTGTGTGACCAGACCCTCCCTGTCTTAAAAAATAAATGGGAGGCAGAGGCAGGCAGATCTCTGTGAGTTCAAGGCCACCCTGGTCTACAGAGCGAGTTCCAGGACAGCCAGGGTTGCACAGAGAAACCCTGTCTTGAAAAAAAAAAAAACAAACAAACAAACAAAAGAGAGTGTGCTACTCCCCAGCAGTGAAAAGCCCTGCTTCTTCCTAAGGACACCAGTCTGGAGGCATCTATAACCCTTCTTCCTGAGTCCTCTGCTGAAGCCTGCTTCCCGGGAGCCACATTTCCCTGACCTCATGCTCAGGTGTCTAGGGAGCTGTCCATCAGGGAGCGGCTGACTTCAGCTGGGTCCTGGCCCAGGCGGAGGATGGGACAGTCCCTCCTGTGCCTGTGGGCTCTCCGCCTCCCTTACCCCTCTGTATGCTGGCCCTGCTTTGACTGAGCCTAGTAGACTAGGGGATGTCTCCAGCCCAGTTTCTCTGGAGGCTGATGCTCTGTGGTATGGTGAAGGGACCAGAGAAGAACCCAGTTCACAGCCACAGAGCCTCAGGCCGTTTGCCCTGTTCTCTCCTCACAATCCTGGGGTCCCATGTCGATCCTCTGTGGGCTTCTCGGGGATGTGCTGACTTCTGTGGAGTCCTGGGTTGGGGACAGACCTCTGCGAGCCAGTCTTCAAACACTCACGAAATCTCTCACCTTCCAGGAAGCGCTGTGTTTCGCTAGAAGCCTCAGCAAGGCTTATCATTAAGACCCGCCCTCCAAACACATGGAGCTCCTGGCCGGGTTGGGCTTCTTCTGGGAACAGCCCTGTGTACGCAGAAGCAGCTTCCATAGTCACCCTTTCACCCGGGCTCCCGATTCTCCTCCTTCCCCATTTAGGGTGTGGCCCCACGGAGCCTATGGGTCACAGAACCCTCCTCCCAGATCAGTGTTCCGTTCCTGCTGCCTGTGCATGCCAGCAGCCTTGAACACGAAGGGTAGGGAGGTACACCCAGAACCAGGCGGGCAACCATTGAGTTGATTTTGCTAAAGGAAGTCAGCTTTAATTAATTCAAATGCAATTATATGATTGCCAGGCAAACTAGATGCTCTTTGGGTGGAGGAGCTTGCACACCAGCCTGAGGGTTCAACCCCCAGATTCCACAAGGCAGCTGAAGAGAACCAACTCCTGAGAGTTGTTCTCTGACTTCTGCATGCATGGGCCATGACACACATGCACATTCAGTCACATGTGCAAACAAATAAGTAAGAATGGTTACGATCGCCCAAGTGGCTTTTTCTGAAATCCAGCAGAGTTCCGTGGATTTGTTTTTGTTTTATCCTCTACACTCAGAACTATCACACTAACCTTTTCCTCCTTTCCTGTGTACGTCTCTGCAGAACCATGAAACCGTCTCTCTTTGCCCACCCCAAGCCTTCCGCAAGCCATTTCTTCTGTGGCCATTTTATTGCTCTAGGTTAAATACAATTAGAATTCGCAAAATTGATTTGCCTCGATAATGTAAATCAGCTTTTGTCTCCCTGTGGGACTTGGCTGTTTAATTTCCCACCATGTGTTAGACACCAGAGGACCGGTTGGTTGGTTGGTTGGTTGGTTGGTTTGCAGTCTGGTTGCAAAAGCATCCGTGTGCGGGGTCAGTCAGAAAGGAAACCTAACTGTTGATTAGGTTAATTGCACTTGCATTCAATGAGTTCATCTGCAGCGTCTCATTTGATCTGGCGACCAATTAATAATGATTTAGGGCCCACATTTGATCCTTACTCCTAAAATAAGCTTCTTTTCTGACCAAGTACATAAAAAATAATTGTTAAAACAAACAAAAAAAAAAGGAGAAATACAGGCTAAGGCAGAGAGAAGGTGGATCCAAGCAAGATAACAACTCCCAGAGTTTCCTCAAAGAACTCGGTGTCACAGAAAAGAAATAGTGAGGGATTCCAAACCAAGAGCCAAGAGACGAGCCTGGTGCGGTGACTTATTTACTCTGTGGTCCCCTCACCTACAGAGTGGACACAGGAGGATCAGGGTTCAAAGCCGCACAGGGCTACATGAGACCCTTCTGAAAGAAGGGGGATCGGGAAGGAGAGGAGGGCTGGAAGGAAGGAAGGAAGGAGAGAGGGAGGGAGGGAGGGAGGGAGGAAGGGAGGGAGGGAGGATAGAAGGAAGGAGGGAGGGAGGGAGGAAGGGAGGGAGGGAGGGAGGAAGGGAGGGAGGGAGGGAGGAAGGGAGGAGAGAGGGAGGGAGGGAGGGAGGAAGAAAGGAAGGAGAGAGGGAGGGAGGGACGGACAGGCAGACACTTAAATCTAAAGTGTGTGACGGCTGTTAGATTCTGTCGATCTGGAGGCTTCTGAGGGAGTTAGATGTCTCAGATATATTTGTCGTTAAGTATCGTAGTGCATTGCATTCACATTGTGTCCGCAGAGGAAAATGTTCTCATTTTCAGGAAAAAACTAGGCGGTGTGTCATGATGGCATACCATTGACGTTGAAATGTGCATGCCTGATGCGAGTATACGCGCATGTGTGTGTTTTTGTAAACGTCTGATAGTTGTAGACTGACACGTGGGTGACGGTGTTGTGATGATGAAACCCACACACACGTGTGTGCATATTTGCACACGTGTATATGTGCCTCCTTGAAACAGATACAGCGAGGTAGATTTGTTCTTCTACAGTTTTTTCCACCCTCCCTGAATTTTTCTAACTGAAAGTTTAGAAAACTCGTGCCTCAGAGTGGGAGGAGCCCCTCGGAGAGCGCCTGACTTCAATTTGTCGCTTTATTGGTTTAAAGGTTAACCCGAAGGACCTGGATTCCAAGTTCGCTTACATCCAGGTGACCCACGTGACCCCGTTCTTTGATGAAAAGGAGTTACAAGAGAGGAAAACGGAGTTTGAGAGATGTCACAACATCCGGCGTTTCATGTTTGAGATGCCCTTCACCCAGACTGGAAAGAGGCAGGGCGGGGTGGAGGAACAGTGTAAGCGGCGCACCATCCTGACAGGTACGACTGACTTCCTTCCCCCAGGCGCGGCCGGCTCTCTCTGGAGTGAGGATGAAATGAGCTGAAGGCTCGGTGGTTAAAAGCTCTTTCTGTCCTGTCACGAGGCCGGGATTTAATTCCCAGCACCGGCATGGTGACTCTGTAACTGCAGTCCCGGGGGATTTGACACCCACTTCTGACTTTCTCCGGCACTGGGCATGCACAGACATGCATGCAGGCAAAAGACCCACACACATAAAAATAAATAAATCCTAAAAAAAAAAAAAAAAAATTAAGCTGAGTATAAACTCAGCACATGGGGCCAGAGAGATGACCCAGCCAGCAGTTAAGGAGAACTCACCGCTGTTCTGCAAGGTTCGGTCCCCAGCTCCCATGGCAGGCTACCGACAGTTGCCTCTAACCGCCCCCTTTCCACGGGGCCTGACATCCTCTTCTGCCATCCTCAGGCACAGACGTGCTGGTGTACACACCCACCCACAGACACATGCGCACACACCGAGTAAAAATAAACACGAGACATCATAATGTGGCAGCTTCTATTACAGTTTCTGTGAGGGACATGAGATAAGGGTTTTAAAACAAACACAAACGTTTACATTTATAAAATTTCCCCACTCTCGCGTAGGTCACATTGCACTCACAAGCGTGAGCCCCCCCCCCCCAGCAAACTCGTGGTTTCTCTAGTGCGCACCCACCCATAGGGCAGATTCTTAGCAACTGAGAAAACGGTTTCCACATGCCACCGCCTTGTGTGTCTAGTTCCAGTGTAATCTGTGCACTGATAACGACCTCACTGTGGATTCCTGGAGCCGCCAAGGTCACCCGCCCCTGGGAACTTGAACTGCAGATTCCCAGGCCCTGCCCACCCCGCCCCGTACCCCCAACCTGCTGAATAAGAAGCTAGGGAGGGCACCCCAGCTCTGTGTCCAGCCAGCACTTGGGGAGATGAGATTCTGGACGCTCCCTGCTGAGCTGGGCCTTTGTTCCCTTGTAGTGAGCGAATCTTGTTGAGGTGGCATCCTGATTTGTCATAACAACAGGGTGTTCTCCCTGAGCACGTGTCCTTCCGGGTTACGGTTCGCATTTGTTACAGAGCCATGTTAGATTAGATAAAGAGTGTGCGCTCCGCTCTCTGTCACCGAACCAGAGGACAAAGAGTAAGTGGCCTCAGGAAGAGGCACTAGCGGCTCTGAGAAGAGCCACCCGTACCTTTAACGCTGAGAAAGCTGAGTGCCTGGCCACAGTGTGAACGTGGGGAGAGGGCCAAACCTCCCCGTGCCTTCCTCTCCTGGCATTAAATAAATTAAATTGTAAAGTACAGACAGGAGGGGACAGAATGGCTACGCCTCACCTGCCATGAACTCTGCCATACGCTTGATGATGACAAACAAAAGGGGCCACGGTGACAAATGCGCACCGGAAGCAGGTGCGGGGCTTGCCGTGAGATGCCGGGAGTCTGGAGGGACGGCCGAGTGGACAGAGCGGAGCTGGAGCAAAGTTCTTTTTGTGCCAAAGCCACTGAAAGCGCGTAGGCGCCGTGGCAACCTTTAAAGAAGCACACCAGCACTTTCTGAGACTTTGAAGAGAGACTTTTCCCTCCAGCCATTGGGCTTCCGGCCCCTTCCGCTGTTTCCAGTGCAAAGCTAACCTTTGGCCCTCCCTGCCTTCTCCATGCAGGCTTACCTTTGTGGACAGTTCCCAGCTGGGAGACTGTGATCCAGTTACCTGAGAAAACGTCACAGCCGCCCCCCTCACCCCCCACCCCTGTCTGCACCTGCCTTTCCTTTCTTCCCAGTTGCTATTCCCAGGTCCTCCAGCTCTCAACCCCACTCCACTCAGGTTAGAAACATTTGTTTGCTGCCCGCCTTCTGCTCACCCTAGCCTACGGTAGGGTAGATGCACGCATTCCCTGCCCTCCTGCAGGGCCACCGGTCAGGGCAGGAGGGCCACGCATAGTTACTACATCGTAGCTTGTTCACCCGATTCTTCCACCTTCTGGGCCATTTTGTTCCCCCACGTAATCTTTGGGACAGAAATGCCCGCTTCCGCGAGGCCTGATGGATGCCGAGGAGGCTGAGGGGGAGGGGCACAGTGGCTCATTGAGAATCTGGCCTTTGAGTCAAGGCCTGAAGGAGGTGAGGGGTAGCTAGGATGTCTGTGTCTGGGTAGTCCGGGGATGAAAAAGCTGGTGTGGCTGCAGCCAGGGTGGAGGTGGAGGAGACAGGGTGAAGCTGGCGGGAATATCAGGGCACTGGGCACAGACCTACAGCTTTCTCCGAGTAGTGTGGCTGGGCCTGCCTGTGGCCCCTTGAAGTCAGAAGTCAGGACCTAGCCCTGAGTAGGGCCCGTGGTGATTCACAGCCACCTCACACACCAGCCTTAGAGCTGGCTTCCTCTCTGAAGTAATAGTCTGCTGTCAAAGCATGACATCAGAGGTGCCGGCACACTTGGTGGGTTGTGATGCGTCCCCCTCACAACTGAGAGCGAAGGCGTTTTAGGTGGCGCACACCAGCCAAAGGCAAGGGGAGCTGCAGCCACAATACCGCTTTCCCTGGCCGTACGCAGCAAAGCTCACTTCTTACTTAAAAGGAGAGGAAGCTTCTGGGCAAAAGCCGCTGTGTCCACGGGGACACAGAAGAAATTCCAGAGAGGATCCCCAGACTAAAAAAACAAAAAAAAAAACAAAACAAACAAACAAAAAAATAGACCTTTTCCAGCTTTGTCTAGTCATCCCTGGCCCCGTTCCCGTTGTGTGGTAGCCTTTCCAAATAAACTATCCCTAGTCGTTTACTACAGAATTCAAACATGGGGGCCGGGCATGGTGGCACACACCTTTCATCCCAGCACTCACGAGGCAGCGGCAGGTGGATCTCTGTGTGTTCAAGGACGGCCTCGTCTACATTGTGAGTTATAGGACAGCCAGGGCTAGGTGGTGAGAGCCTGTCACACAAAAACGTAAAGAACAAGGCCTGGAAGACCGGAGTATAAGAAGTGTTCGTGTGCAGGCTTGACGGCCTGAGTTTGACCCCTGGATCCCACAAGGTATCAGGACAGACCTGCCCTCACTTGAGCACAGAGGGACACACCTACCATGGTACACGCACCTCCACCATGTACACGATTAAAACATAAACCCTTGAAGTTGTGTGTACAGGTCTGGTAGCGAGTGAGAATTTTACAGGTGTTCCTGCAAGAAGCTGGAAATGTTAAACCCTTGACTGGAGCCTAATGTTTACCCAAAAATGTTTCCGATGTATGTAATTTTATGCGTATGAGTACTTTGCCAGCGTGTGTACACAGCACGCACGCCTGGTGTCTAGGGAGGTCAGAAGGTGGTGCTGCCTGGTCCCCTGGAACTGAAATTACGGGTGGTCGTGAGCTGCCGTGTAGGTGCTTGAACTTGAACTTGGGTCGCTTAAAGAAGGACCAGTGCTCCTGGTCACTGAGCCATTCTCTCCAGCCCCTAAAATGTTTTTTATTGTCCATTGCCACGCTGTTTGGTGTTGGTACAGTCAGGTTTCTCATTAAAAATAAAAACAGTATTTTCTTTCGGTGGCGGGAAAAGTGAGAAATAGTAAATGTTTTTATATTTCTTACAACTGGACGTTTCAAAGCACCTTTCCCCTTGGCACAGTAGTTCTCACCATGTGGACGCGTGCGCGCGCACACGCACACACACGGATGCGCACACACCAATACACACACACTTGCACAGTAGTTGTCATCATGTGCACACACAAACACACGCACACACACAAACACACACGGATACGCACACACGCCGCTGCACGCACACACTTGCACAGTAATTCTCATCATGTGCGCACACACACACACGCGCGCGCGCGGATGCGCGCACACGCACTGAACAGATATGCATAAAAGCAAAACATCCACACACATAAAGTTAGAAGTCTTAAGCACACGGTATTAAAAGGGAAGAGAGTGTCCCAGCTCCAAAGGGCATTGGAGTATAATAACACTGGCAAGTCCTGAGAGTTTTAGCTGTGGGGCAGACATGGCAACTACTGTCCCCCAGCAGGGGAAAGACCACCCGCACGGCAGTAACTCTACACCCCGCCCCCCGCAGCCATACAGTGCTTCCCCTATGTGAAGAAACGGATCCCCGTCATGTACCAGCACCACACCGACCTGAACCCCATCGAGGTGGCCATCGACGAAATGAGCAAGAAGGTGGCGGAGCTCCGGCAGCTGTGCTCCTCGGCCGAAGTGGACATGATCAAGCTGCAGCTCAAGCTCCAGGGCAGCGTGAGCGTCCAGGTGAGCGGAAGGCCGTCCTGTGGGTGTCTCGCCCTCTGTTACCACAGGGAGATTGGGAACTGCCTGGGTAGCCATGTAGGCAAGAGTTTGAGGCCAGCCAGACAAGAGAAACAAAGAGAAACAAAGCGGTCTGCCTAGCTTGCACGGAGCCCTGGATTTGGGCCCTGGCCACGCTAAGCCAAGCCTAATATTCCAGCACTCTGAAGGTTGAGGCAGGAGGATCACAAATTCAAAGTTACCCTTGGTTTCATAGCAAATTTAAAGCTACTCTGGGTACCTGAGACCCTCTCTCAAAAACACGGAATTTCTCCCCACCCCCCCCCACTTCTAAGTGTTGTGTGCCGTTTATTGGGAGATAACCTTTGATCTAGGTACTAGTTAATGCGTGTGTTGTTTGTGAAGATTCCTCGAGCCATATTCTTAAGGAAGTTATCTCAAATAGTTATCTAGGGAACAGGCAGGCTGTAAGTCAGCTCCCAGCATTGACCAGCTTTATATGTAATTAAGGGACTGAAGTTCTTGTCTCTTCCTCCGTGTACCCCAGGGTTCACTGTTTTCTCCTCCAAGTGTAGTCCGTCTGCGAAGCCTGGGCCTAAGTACGACTGCGTAAGCTCTGCCTCCCCTCCGGGACTTGGTTTCTGAAATCTGTTCTGGCCTGTTTTCATCACGTGCACTCATAAAGGATCATGAGTTCTGAGCAAATATTTTTCCAAATGTCACTGACCACAGAAGTGTTTTTAGATATTTCTAGTCAACCCACCCCCGTCAAGTCCTAAAAAGCTTAAGTGCTGTGGTTTAGAGAGGGAGCATCAGCTTTTCCAGCAATAACAGGACTGTACCACAGTCACCCGGTAACTTGACCTAGGAACTTGGAGCCTCTATGGAAAGGCCAGTGGAGGGTGGGGCCTGACACGGTGAGCTGTGTAAGGGTAAATCCGTGCCTTGAAGGACAGTGACCTTCGAGTTTCTATAAAAGTGCCCGATCAGCGTGCACAGCAGTAAACCCCATGATAAAATCAAAAGATGATGCTCATGACAAAGTCGAAAGCAAAGGAAGTTAGCCCTCGCTTCTTTTGCGTGATCGGTAACTCTGTCCACACACACACACACCCGCAATTTCCTGGGGCCACTGCTCTGTGGCTCCTCATGTAGTCCATCTCACACAGTATCTGAAGCTCTGCTCTTCCTGTCTGTGTAAGATGGATCGTCTGCAGACAGTCTGTGTTCTGTCTTCACGTGAGCTGCATTCCCACACAGCCCAGTGCAGAGACCGCCACATTTGGTCACCATGGGAAGCTAGCTAGCTGTCCACCGCTGAAGCCTCATGCTGACGCTGGCTTCTGCTCCCTCTCCCAGCACAGCCTCTGTGAAAATCTCAGCTCTGAGACAGCCACAGCCTCACACATGAGTCAGAACTTGACCCTGAGAGCTCTCTCTACCCCCTTGCTTCACTCGAGCCTGCACCCCGGGGACCTAGCCTCTCTCTCCTCATTCCTATATTGTGTGGAAAATACAGAGAACTCGGGTTGGCTGTTTGGGAGTTGGCGGTATCCTGGATCACTCATCACATCGCTGAATGTTCCCAACCTTTGATTTCCAGCACAAGTCAGCTAAGTCAGCAAGACAGCTGGCCTGTGGCTGTCTGTACCATCCAGGGAGGTGAACAATGTTTCATTTTTGGTTTTGTTTCGGTGGCCGGGGTGGCCGGAGGAGCCTGGAAGATGGCTCAGTCAGTAGGATGCTGAGTTCAGATCGCCAGCACCCACACCTCTAATCCCAGCTCTGGGAGGCAGAGACAAGGCCCCTGGCCACTGTCCAGGAGACTTAGCCTAACCAGTGGGCTCCAGGTTCAGGGATAAAATCTGTCTCAACATAATATAGTAATAGTAATGCAGAGAGGTTAGAGCTCTGGTGTGGACCCGTGGTGCACACATAGAGAACACACACACACACACACAAACACTGCTGCGTGTTTTCATTTCACACTGAATTTACCAGGTTGACATGTTCAGTACCATGCAGCACAAATGCCAGCATCTAAAACTCTGTTTGGAAGAGCCTTTGACGTGGGTTTGGAGACCTGCTATTTTGCATGTCGGTTGCTCAAACCTGAACAAGTCTTTACATTCCCTACCCTGGTTCCTTCTTACATAAATTGAAGGGCGGCTTACGTGATGGGATCGAGCGGTGTATAATGCTATAACTCAGCTTATGTTTTTTTCCCCCCTTGGCATTTATGTACATGGGAGTCAGGGGTCAAGGCTGACTGGGTTAAACAGCATTTAGAGTGTGTGGCACCTGACATACGTAAATGGTGGTGGCCATTTTTTGTCTAACCAAACCTTTGTTCCTTCCCCAGGTCAACGCTGGTCCACTAGCATATGCCCGGGCCTTCCTCGATGACAGCAACACAAAAAGATACCCTGACAATAAGGTGAAGCTGCTGAAGGAAGTCTTCAGGTAAAGACCCTGAAAGTTCCTCTCTGTGGTGGTCAGCTCAGCCACGGAAATCACTCATCTCCATGGTGGTCAGCTCAGCCACGGAAATCACTCATCTCCATGGTGGTCAGCTCTGCCACGGAAATCACTCATCTCCATGGTGGTCAGCTCTGCCACGGAAATCACTCATCTCCATGGTGGTCAGCTCAGCCACGGAAATCACTCATCTCCATGGTGGTCAGCTCCCTGCCACGGAAATCACTCATCTCTGTGGTGGTCAGCTCTGCCACGGAAATCACTCATCTCTGTGGTGGTCAGCTCTGCCACGGAAACACTCATCTCTCTGTGGTGGTCAGCTCTGCCACTGCCCGAAACCACTCATCTCCGTGGTGGTCAGCTCTGCCACGGAAATCACTCATCTCCATGGTGGTCAGCTCAGCCACGGAAATCACTCATCTCCATGGTGGTCAGCTCTGCCACGGAAATCACTCATCTCTGTGGTGGTCAGCTCTGCCACGGAAATCACTCATCTCTGTGGTGGTCAGCTCTGCCACGGAAATCACTCATCTCTCTGTGGTGGTCAGCTCTGCCACGGAAATCACTCATCTCCGTGGTGGTCAGCTCTGCCACGGAAATCACTCATCTCTGTGGTGGTCAGCTCTGCCACGGAAATCACTCATCTCCGTGGTGGTCAGCTCGCCCGGAATCACCACCTCTGTGGTGGTCAGCTCTGCCACGGAAATCACTCATCTCCGTGGTGGTCAGCTCTGCCACGGAAATCATTCATCTCTGTAGTGGTCAGCTCTGCCTCAGAAATCACTCATCTCCATGGCGGTCAGCTCTCCATTACTATAACACAGCTGAGAGGATTCACTTAAACAGAAAAGGTTGACCTGAGCTAACAGTGTGTGAGGTTGTTTGGGGCGTGCCGTGAAGGGGTTAGTAGTAAAGACTACGATAGCCAGGAACCCAGAGAGCCTGAGCAAGGGCCCTGAGTCTCACAACTCCCTTCATAGGCATGTCCCCAGCAACCGAAAGGCTTCCCACCTCCAAAAGCTCCGTCACCCGCCAGTAGCACCACCTTGGGGCCCCACTCAACGGTGGACGTTTGAGGGGTACTACAGAGCATGGTGTGGTTCAGCAGAGGAGAGTTTCTTCCGGCTGGACCAGTGTCGCCCTGATACACGTCTCTGTCCCCTCTCACCTCACCCAGGCAATTCGTGGAAGCTTGTGGTCAAGCCCTCGCAGTAAACGAGCGCCTGATTAAAGAAGATCAGCTGGAGTACCAGGAAGAGATGAAGGCCAGCTACAGGGAAATGGCCAAGGAGCTCTCAGGCATCATGCGTGAGCAGGTAAGCACCACGTCGGGGCAACTGGACTTGTTGGGGGTCTGACATACCCCTAATAGTAAGTTAAGCCTTCCAGCATGCTGGAATCATACATAGCTTCTGAGGGAAAATGTAACATGCCACACCCCTGCTACGTGAATCCCAGATTACTTAGAGAAACAAGCAACGGGCACCTGTATGTCGTCCAAAGCAGCTGAAGAGGGCAGTGCCCTCCTCACTGCCTCCCGCCGGCAAGGCAGAGAAGCCACATCCACGCCTGCTGCTCCCTCTGATAGAACAGGGCTGAGCAGCCTGGTTTTGTTATCTGTGGCCTTAGAAGGCTTCTGGCATTTAAAAAAAAAAAAAAGTGGAATTGTTCCAGCAGGCCTGGGCACCCCAGGAGATCGATCACACATGGCTCCTTCCTCCGTGATCCTTGTCTTCAAGGGCGTCCTTCCTGAATCTCTGGTGCTTTCTGTGGGGATTCTCCATGTAGTCCCTGCAGGCATCAGAGGGAACAGATACATCCAGCACAGGGTGTCAAGCAAATGTCCAAGGGCAGCAGGCACATCAATCCCGGGCACGGTTCCCTGAGCGATAGCTCCTGTCTGTCTCTTCTGTCATTGTCTCTAGTCTTGCAAAATGGAAAGTGGGACTTTCTGTCCACCTACCTTATCGCGTGATAACTGGAAAGTTCTATTTTTTGAGAATTTTATACATGAATAATCTAATTAGACCTATGCCCTAACTCAGCTCTCTCTCTCTTACACATACACACACACACACACACACACACACACACACACACACGCTTCCCCAAATTCATGATCTCTTATTCTTTACCTGTTTTGTTACATACATGCATATGAATTTGTAAATCCCGCCTTCAGAGTCCACTTGGCGTTGCTCATATGTGCGTGTGTCTAGGGCTGCCTGCTTGGGGTTAGATAACTTATCAGGGCCTTGGCCCTGGAGAGGACAGAGTCTGTCTTTCTCAGTAGCCACTAAGTGCCTGTAGCTCTTCGTCTGAGGGTGGAATCTTGTCCTCCCGTCCCCTTCCAGCCACACAGGCATGTCAGTTGGTGCTGACATTCCTCAGCCCCCTTTTTTAGGCAGCTGTATTGTTGAGGTATGGCTGCAGAAACTCTGATCTGGCTCTAAAATATTTCCACCCCTCCTCCTGCAGTATTTCCCCAGCCCTGGGTGAAGGGGTTGTGTGGCAGAAGTATCAGTTAGGGCCGGGCAGATTATACTGTGGAGAACTAACTTGATTATTTGAGCTTTAATATCCTTGTTCTTTTTCCCCCTCCTCCATGCTGCACATGCTCAGATGGGATGGTAATACCATTTTTTTTTAAAGTATATTTTTCTGATAAAACTCTCTGACCTAAACTGAATCATGTACGGTTCTGACCGAGTTTGGGCAACCATGGACTTTGGATAGTACATGTACAGTGAAAAGCAACGCTGTTTGTTCTGAACATTTTTAAAAGTAGAAAAAATGAAATGATCAAACCATTAATGTGTGAATAATTAAGCACAGTGGGGAGGAGGCTCATGGGAACAAACTTTTGGAGAGAACGTGGTCTTTTCCTTGGAACCTCCAGATCCCTGGAGAGGAGCGCCTGATGGATGGAGCCATCGTTCAGGACCTAGAAAGACAGAAGTAGAGAGAATTGTGGGCTGGACCTGTTAAGCTCCTAGATTGAGCAGACAGTAACTGCCATGGTTGGCTGCCTACTGTCCCTTAAACTTGCCGTTGTCTCAGGATCTATGAAGACTAAACCCTTTAGCCCATGCATAGAAAGAGCTATAACCTAGCACAGTGGCTTTGCTGGTTTCCAGAGGAGCCCTGCATGGGTCTCCGAGCGTCCGTGCAACTAGAGAGAAACCCTACACCTGGATCCTTTTCTGGTTTTACTGCCATGAAGAGGTACTTAAGTCTGTAAGACCGGAGAAGGGAGACAGGAGAGAAACCGGATGATCCAAATTAACTTACAAGGTTTTTTTTTTTTTTCTCCAAGGGTCAAAACTAGTTCATGTCTCAGTGGAGTTGAGAGGTAGACCACAGGTTAGCTAAGACCTGGCCAGTCTAGAAGGCTTCCACTCGTTAACTTGTAAAGGAAAACAAAGCACATTCTTCCTGATGTTCTCCTTACGATCCTAACCTGAGGGTGGCCATTTATTAGATAAGCTAAACCATCTATGCAAACTGGCAAGGCCCACGCCTGGCTGCGAGCACCATTCACACAGGGTGGCAGCTGCACGTCGAGCTGTGTGTGGCTGGCTGCCAGAGCCTTGCACTTTGATCACCTTGTCTTTCTGTGCCTCAAGATTTGCCCCCTGGAGGAGAAGACCAGCGTCCTGCCGAACTCCCTGCACATCTTCAACGCCATCAGCGGAACGCCCACAAGCACAGTGGTTCAAGGGTTGACCAGCTCGTCCTCGGTTGTGTGATTGTTTTTCTTTTTTTTTTTTTTACCTCATGAACCACGTGTAGGGACATGCCTTGTCATGTGCAAACTCAGGATGACTTCCAGAGCTGACCACCGGTGTGACCGAGCACAGGAAGAAGCCATGGGAAACCGGAGTGAGAGGGAGTCTGGACTGTGATATTTAGTAGCAGATTTTATAGGAGTGGGGGGGAGGAGGTGCACATATTTTTTTAAAACCTCACTGGCAATATTTAGTTTTCCTCTCGTCTTAACGGAAGTATATGGACACTCTTGAGCTGCAGTTCTGTTTTATTCTTTTTACAATGTAGTATTAACTGGGCGTAAAGGAAAAAAGGAGACGTGCCGTGGGACTTTCGCAGCGGATGCAGCAGCACTGAGACTTTTGGGGGGGGGGCTAAGCTGGAAAAATCTTGAAAATATTTTTATTTCCCCCTGTGGCACATTCAGGTTGAGTACAAGAACTATTTTTTTGTCTAGATTTTGATGACGGAAGGGAATCGACTGTTTTGTACTAGTGAACAAGGAGACGTAGAGCCTTTATACCCATGCCTTGTGTTGAAATCGCGAGCGCTTACGAAGCTGTGTGTGAGCCTAAGCCTGGCCGGGAAGCATAGAACCAAAGGCCTGTACTAACAAACGCACGCCGCTAAGACCTAAAACCCCGTGTACAGAGCAACGGCCTCCTTGCTCTGTTCACATACCTATTACATGTCTACATTTCTAATACGCCCTCTTCCACATTGTTCATTCTGCGAACCATTTGGGCTGTTCCCGGTATAGGCAAACACATTGGATTTTACTGTTTTATTCTTGTACATAAGAAGTGCAATATGGAGATGTACACAATCTTTGCTATATTAGGTTTATAAACTTGTTAAAGAAAATTTTCATCCTTTTGCCAAAGTGGTGGAGTATGTGATTGGTAAACCCTAAATCCTGTGGTGAGTTGGGGGATAATTTAAAATTTTCACCATGTTATATTTTCTTTTAAGACTTTAATTTAGTAATTTTATATTTGGAAAAAAATAAAGGTTTTTAATTTAACTGGAATCACTGCCCTGTTGTAATTAAACATCTTGTATCCCAAGTGTATTAAAAATAACATTGCTGATTTTCTGGTAATAAACACTGGATATTTGTCATTTGGTAATCCTAAGAAAGGGGGTGAGTGCTTAGGGGTAAAATAACATTACCAAACTTTTCTCTAAAATAAAAAATGAAAACAGGTGCGGATGGATACAATAAGGTAGATGGCGGTTGTTGAAGCTGTGAGTGGATGGACATCTGAACACCAGTTCTCTGCTTTTCTGGAAGTTTCTGTGATACAGATTTCAAAGGGTGGAGCCAGGAGTTTATTCTTCCAGAGGACTTGGTGGCTGCTAACGGGCCCTTGAGTCTGGGCTGTCCCCGAGCTGTGCCGTGACCCGTGACCCGTGACGGGGTCCCGCTCTTCAGCTCTGAC